AATATCATTGTTTAAATTGTAAATATTCTTACACTTGGCAACTTTCATTCTGTTGTAAAGATAAAACAATTCTAGCAAATGATTTAGATCCGATATTTTTTTTAAGTATACATACACGTGGTACAATCATGATTCTTGGAGTCATATTGTGATATGTTACATTTGCAATTTATATTTTAATTACTATCTATTGTGATTTAATTATCGTTGCCTTTGTAAATCTTCTTAATTTATTATTAATCATAGTTTTATTGACTTACTATTATTATACATTTCTCTGATACTTTCTACTGTAACTGAAAATTTTTTTATCAGTCATTTGAAAATTTAAATGTTTAATCGCTCATTAGTTTATCATTTGTATGACAGTTATTAGTTTAATGGATTAAATTATTACTTAAATATAATTATATACAGTTAGATTAGAAATTTAAATAAAATTAAATTAACCTAAACAGATTGAAAATGAATGGAATGTCAATAAACGTTGACATTGATTTCTCCCGACTTCTGGTCTTCAAGTATTCGTTATAATTCTACAACTTTTTCCGTTGATTAATTATGAGATTAAACTTAAAAACTTGTTTCATTGTAATTTCTTAATAATGTGACTATATAGCTTAATTAACAGTTTGAAAAATTTTTAAATCATAAATAAATTAACTCAAGTGATTATTATCTGTCGACATTTATTATTTCAGAAATTGAGAATATTAAAACTCTAATTTGTTCAGTAGCTGACCTAAAATTAAAAATGAAAAAAAAATTAAACTTTAATTATAAACCTACGACGTTATTAAAGCTGTAATAGTTAAACGATGTGTGTTTATAGAGAATATATGACGTATTTGTCTGATAATTTGGTGTATGATATAAAAGTGTTGAGGAAAATAGTAAGATATATAATTTGCTATGTTCTTGAATGCATCTGGCAAGTACAAGCTAAATGAAAGTTCGCTGACCGAGACGCTGACGACGGCGCGAATACGAAAGGTTTTATGTTTTATGGAGAGGTAGAGTAAAGTGAACAGACCGTAACTGTGTCCGTGACCGTGACCGAATTGCGTTTACTCTGACGACTGGCTAGTCACTATACTCGATATATTGCTATCTCTATACATATAATACTTCTACATATAAATATTAGTGTAACTTAATAATCTTAACACCACACTTAAATAATAGAAGTTATTATAAAATAAAAAAACGATAAAATAATATATTACAGATAATATGTAAAATTTATATTTAATTTCATAACTGTTCGACGGTTACAATGGCATATCATTTATAAATTGACGTAATTATCATTGTAGTGCGATTGTAAACATACATGAAATTTTTTTTTTTTTATTACTATTATTGTTAATATTGTTATTATTACTTAAATGTGTGCGAACTCTACAGCTCAATGGACTTATATGAAGTTGTTGGAACTATATTTTTTCGTTTACTTTTTTTTTTTTTCATAAAATCAATTTAAAAAAAAAGTTAGTATTTATCCAAAATATAATAACTATCGATGACAAATGTGAGGCACTGTTCTTATGTCACTGAATTTATTTTATTTAAGATATTATTTTTTATTTTTTTCTCTTATACTAAATCTAATTGATGTTAATGACTATACTTTTGCACATTTACTTTATTTTATTCAATTGTTGCACCGAGAATTCTCAGTAATCAAGTAGACAATGATTTTATTTATAATATAAAAATGCAATTTTTTTTTAATTAAAAATCATAGTGCCTATTGCTTCAAAATACTATACTCAATTTTTAATCCATTATATGAAATATTTAATAAATTTTAAAGTACATCAGATAATAGTGGCATCCTATCTATATCTCAATACATTTTTTTTTTTTTTTAATTCTAATTATATTATAGTAAATTAACATGGCATTTATTCTTCATACTATTCGTAAAAATTGTAACAAAAAAATGAATGAATCAATTAAAAAAATCATTTTGGCGATTCTCTTCGTCAATATTTATATATAATATATATAAATGCAATTTAATTTCTTTATTGAAGTTTAAGGCTATAGTGACTTGACGCGATTGCATGATGCAATTGAAAAAAAAAAAAAAATAATTATTACTTTTATAAAATCTACTCTTTCCAATCTTTTTTAATATCAAACGACCATTCCCATTTAAGATGTTCATGTTTATCGTCGTCTGTGAATAAAGAACTGACAGTGTATGATCCACGAGCCATTACTCCAGCTGGTGCATCTTCCGCTGGTGTTGTATAAGATTGTATTTCAGTTTTAGGTGGATAAGAGCCAACCATATGTGTCATCTTGTCCACTAAAAATAAAAATATAAATAAATTATTTAATTATGATAATTTTTATCTAACGAAGATTCATCTAATACCATATTTGTTTATATACGTAAACTTTGTTACCTGTCACTCCTTTAAAGGATCCAGTTAAGCGTAATTTATTTTTTACAGTATAAATATTAGTAAATAGTAATTAAACTATAACTTAACATAATTAAAATTATTTAAATAAATAAATTAGCTTACCAGGTACTCCAAGTCTGTAAGTTTTTTGAATATATTTTAAACCATGAACAATCTCCCGCTGTACAATAAAGTCAATACGAATTCGATAACTGACACCTTCTTTAATCACAAATGTTTGTTTTTTCAATTGAGTTAGATCTTTCGATAAATCCAACTCCATGTCAGCTCTTCCAGCAACACAAAGAGCTAATTTTTTAACGATTACTTTGCGTGGATCAGTTGAATCTACAATTTATTGAATAAAAAAAAATAATGACAATCATTATTATTGTTATAACTATAATTATAGATAATAAAAAATTGAAAAAGAAAAAAAAAACATACCAACGACAATTCCGCCAGATTTAGCCTCTCCCAATAACGTCTCTTTATATTTTCGTAGACTCTCGTCATCTTTATCCGCTTCCAAAATTTGTTCTATCGTTTTCTCCGGTGGTGGTTTGTAATTAGACTCGACTTCCAATTCTTCTTCTCTGCGATCATCAGCATGATCTCCCGATGAGTCTGCCATACTTAATCGCTCGATCTCAATATCCTAACATTCGTAACAAGAAAAAAAAAAATAAAATAGATATAATTTGTCAATGTCAAACAGACCTCCCGAGGAGTGAAATTTATAGTGAATGAAAAATAATCAACAAAGTTACAAGTTATTATAAAAAGTTTTAAATAATAAGTCTTAATAAAATAAGTATAAGTGAACGAAAGGCATTGAAATAAAAGAGCGAATCCTGTCATAAGCAAAAATGAATTTAATTAATTTAATTGACAACTCAATGACTAAATAATAATAATAATAATAATAATAATAATAATAATACGGGATATATTTTTATGAATTAAAGTATTTTAAATTAAAAATTGAATGAGCTTAGATTAATAAAATATTTGGAATAAATATTATTATTGTGGAATGATAATAAAAATATTTTTTCAACTTACCAAGATAACACACACGACACTCCTCTGTTGTCACGGTCTCACTCGGCCGCAAATTGTCGTCGGCTCGAACATACGGAAAAGCAACAACAACATGGCGGAGTCATTATATCAAGGGCGGATTACTTCCTGCTTTTATGCTCTTTTAACTCTCACTATTCATTTCATTAATGAAATATTGCATTTTATTTAATATTTATGGATTCATTATTATTGTTTTAATAAGAAAATTTTATTTTAGCAAAATTACAAATTTTTTAAGAGGGGAGAAAAAAATCAATAATTAAATCACCGTGGATAAAAAGTTTATATTTTACGATAGTGTCTAGAGGTATAATATGTGTTACACATAGCGCGCTCAATTTAAAAATATTTGGTGATAATATACTTAACTTAATTATTTTTTAATAACTCATGACAATGTTGTAATAATTTGTCAAGAGCTGCTTGGTTTTTAAAATTATTTTTACATTTTATTATTTTATTTGCTAATAGTTCTGGATGAATTTTTGCTAGTGACATCATTGCGTCTAAAATCATTAACAAAATAAATTAATTGACAGACAATTAAAATATAAGAAGGGTGAAAATGTCTTTTGCGGATATTTTGATATTTTACAGATATATATTTGCGTGTATACACTAAAATTCTAAAAGCTTTAGACCTCAACAAAAAATCATATTTCTGATTAAGATTCAATAAGAATCCTGAAAAATTATATATATTTATACAACAAAAAAACTTATTTATTACAACTCAAATACTTGTATTTACTTCAGTAAAATTCTATAAGTACAATATGCTTAACATTTGAAATTTTTTAGCCAATTTTTTTTAGATTATGATAATTATTAATACGAATATTTTTTTGTAAAAAAAGTTAACTTTTTGACTTTTGCTATAAGTAGATTGTTTTATTTATTTTGTATAATAGTGAAATCAGCAGACATCTGGCAAATTTTTAGTTTTACTGAAAAAAATTAATCTGTACAAAGAAAACTTTTAAAAAAATTTGCATTTATATTTTTTCAAAATTTTCACGTATTGAATTTAAAAAAAAAAAATTCTTTATGATAATTTTTTCATTAAAAAAGTTATAAAAATCGTCATATGCTTGTCGATTTTAGTATATTATAATTATTTTATTATACAACTATAAGCATTAGCGCTAATAATTTAATTTTTTCACATTTTCTATTAAGTAATTTTATAAAAATTCACAAGAATACTCAAAAAAATTTTATAACTTTTCTTAAAGAAAAAATTTTTTATTTCAATAAATTCTTAACTAACCACTGTTAAAAGTTGTAAATATATTTTATAACTTTATAAATTTTTTGATCGAGTGATCTTATTAGTTTGAGAAAAAAAAAAAAAATTCTTTGTTTCTCCCAAAAATCAATTAAAGTTGAGGTCTAAAATTTTTAGAATCCAAGTACTTACACAATACTCAACTCATTCATAAAATATGTAAAATATTCGTAAAATGTACTTCACCCCTAAAACCATTTCGAAATTATTTACTTACCAAGCATCATATTTTGAAACTCAACTTCTGGATCATCCAAATGAACAATTGTAGTCGTATATAAGTAGTCAATGTGACTTTTTCCAAAATCTAAATCATAATCTTTGGATAAAGCTCGCCAAACAAATACAAGAGCTTCCACTGCTCCATATCTTATATCATCACAACCGTCATCTAATCTTTTAACAAGCGCTGGATAAATTTTAATAACATCATTATCTGTGATACAAGATATTTTTAAGCCTATTTTTATAATCAAATACAAAGCTCGTAGAGCATAAAGTCTTGTTTTCTTTGCATTGTCTTCAATGAGAGACATTAGGATAGGTAAGACCTTTACAAAAATTGGTATAAAATTTTTATCGTTAACTATAAGTTCAGTGCAGCCGTTTTCTAAATCATCAAATCGTAATTTTGGTTTATTTTCGTCCTCAGAAATGGAATCATCGAATAGAGCACACAAACAACCAACAGCTGCAGTTCTTACAGCTTCAGAAGCTTTACCAGCCGACCAAATCAATCCTGGCATCAGAATATTGTCGAAAAAATCCGTTATGAACTCCGTTGGATCTTTGATTAATTTCAATGTTTCATTGCGGTGCTGAAAGAAATCCGAGAGTAAAATAAAAAATTTGAGACGCAATTCAGCATCAGCATCCTTAGTCATCGTGTCTTTTAAAATTGTTAAAACAATATCCATATTTTCTGCGCTCGTTGATTTAGCTTCAGTCAAACATAATCTAAATATATAAACTTCTGGGCTGTAACCAGTCCAACTTTTCGAAGAATCCTTGATATTTAATAAAATTTCACGCAAATTCAATGAAAACAATTCTTGTAAGCTTTCACTCATAGTTTCAACAACTAATTTCTCCATTAGTTGTTTGGCGAAAATTTGTTGAGGTTCTTGATGAGACATTGACCAAACTGTGAAAATTGTTGTGAACAAGTTATTCGCAATTATATTACAGTCCTAAAAAAAAAAAAAAAAAAAAAAAGATTTTTAATTGTTGGTTCAGATGTAAATATGATAAAATATTATTTGTGAATAACTTACTTCTTTAGAAACATTAATTACAGCTTCACAACACCGTAAAATTTGTTGTTGGTAATCAGCCTTTTTGCTGCGACAAATATGTGACAACTGAAGAAAACTTCCGATATCATCGAGCTTATTAAGAAGAGATCTTCGTTCGGAACCACGTAAAATTGCAGCTAAAACTGCCAAATGGCCGGCTGTAATATTCCCATCTTCTAATGTTGGAAGTACTAATTGACAGTAAGTTTCAGGTGGAACAAAATACCCAATATATTCTGCAGCTAAAATTATATTATCTACTACTCTGATATCTTGATCATTACAGGCCCTAAAAATTCATTAGCAACATAAAAAATTCACGGATATTGAATTTAAAACTTAAATTGAAAAATATAAATTACCTGTACATAGCTGGAAGTAATTTTTCGATGTGCTGAGTGATATCTTGCTCAGCATTTAAAGTAAGTACTGCTAACAATTGAGCTGATCTAACACGAATATCAGCCTTCCAGTCTCCAAGTTCTTTAACGATTCCACCGATAAGTTTACCAATATTTTGCTGAACTATTAATCTGCATCCCAAATTTGGCCTTTTGACTAGAATGAAACATTATTTTATCTTCTTCTTTGTTATAAGAAAAAAAATATAAAATATTTGTTTCAACGCACTGTTAGGTGGATAGTGGTCAAGATCTTCAGCTAAGAAATCCATTTTGTTTTTTATTTTTTCATCAGATTCATTTTCCTTTAAAAAAAGTGCACCGGCTGCATCCCAAAGATTTTGAGCTTTCAATCGTATTTCTAATATTTCATCATGAAGTCCAGTGACGAGGAGTGGAATTAATTTATACCACCAACTATATCTATCTCGTAAATTTGAAAACCAATAACCGGCAACTTCAATCACAACTGAAAAAAAAAAAAAAACTAAATGGAAGCTTATTTGCAATAAACATTTAATTATAAATAAGTATTAAATTTCATATATTTGTTACCAATTCTGACAGCTCCACTTTGATCAAACAGCCGTTCAGCTAATGGTGTTGAGACTTCTTCCATAGATTTACTATTGCCGTGCTGGATAACATCACCAATAGCCTTAACACTACTCACTCTTACTCGATAATGCTGATGAGTAAAATTACTCAGTATTGGTTTTACCAGAAGTTCACTCTTGGAATAAAATTGAACGGGAATAGTCTTAGCGAGTTCTGAGATAGCCTCACAAGTTTCTCTTTTTACTTTAGGATAATTATCCGTAACAGTTTTTGATAAAATTTGAACAAAATCATCAATATAAACGGACAAATGATCTTTGTAAAAACAAATTATCAAACGAAGAAGACTAATACAATTAAGACGAACCTCTTCAGAAGGCTCGAGAAGTTCTTGAGACCCCAAACGACGAACAAAAATTGGTATAATATACATAATATTTTTTTCAATAATTGGTAGTGAAGTAATAAATATTTTTATTATTTCAACAGCTGATTCTCGACAAGATTCAGTGGGATCTATCAAAACTTTAACTATATGTTTGTTCATTATTTGCCATATTTCTAAAACTTCCCGCTTACTCCATTGATTATCTTCATCAATTAAAATATCATGGAGTTTTTTTAAAACAAGAAATCGTCTTTTTTTATCATCTGATTGCAAAGATACACAAATCTCACTTAATTGTAAATTTTCTATTCGTGACATGTTTTAGAATAAATTTATATACTTTCTTTATAAATAAAAATTATGTCAATGAGGTTGCTTAGTTACAAAATACTTTGATACCATGGAAACGCTATTTGTTTATTTTATAGTGTTTAGTCTATTGAGTATAAGAACGCATCAAATATTAATGATATGCATGTAACTCATGTAGTACATTATTTCTAAAATAATTTCTCAACGGAGAAAAATCAGAAAGAGCAATTATATTCGAGAAATACCTATAAAGTTTGATGAAAAAATTAAAACTTAAGATTTTTATATTAAAGATGCTCTGGTCGTGCTACCCTGATGAGGTGTTAGAGAAGAACAATAAATTATAAAATTCATAAAAAATTCTTTCTGTTATTTACACTGAGAAAAAAAATTTCTTTAAAAAAAAAATGAGCAATTTGTTCTAATAAGAAATTAATTTGTTGGAAATTTTCAACAATTTTGTTTCTTAGCTGTAGAAATCAAAATTTTTCTTAATACAGTAACTTTCTTATTGTAAGAAAGTTTTCTACATTTGAAAAAAAAAAAAAAAAACAATTTTGGAGGAAGATTAGCAAGTTATCTATCTAAAATTGTTTTTTTCCCAAATCAAAAAACCTTTCTTCCAACAAGAAATTATGTTGTTCATTATTTGGTATATTTAAAAAATTTCCCTCTTTCTCCATTGGATATCGTCACCACTTATCAGTATCATCAAACTTTTTGAAACTAGTAATCGTCTAAGTGTAAGAACATTTTTTAGAATAAATTTATACTATATTTCTAGATAATTATTATATAAATATGGACACTTAATTACAAGAATTTAATACCATGGAAACTATTGATTGTAAGATTTTATGAAATAATCGAATTCGCTTAGCTCGGATTTTTTACACACAGTTTATTTTCATAATACACAATAATTTCAACTACATTAATGATATACATGCAGAGATATTATGTGAAATATGCCACAATTATCCTTACATATCCTTAATAATTATTCTTTTTTTTTTTTTGTTTTAATACTTATGACATAAACGATACAATTGTATCAATTATTATTTAAAAATAAAAATGGAAGAAATCAAAAGATTTCTACACTTAAATACTAGTTGTATTTTTTAAATAAGTTTACAAAGAAGGTTTACATGATTTTCAATAAAAAAAATATATATATCAATATGAAAAAAAAAAAAATAATAATAAATTTAATAAAAAATTATAATTCCAAATGGACTGATTATTATAAAAAATCGAAAAAGTAAGAAATAGAATATTTAATCATATAAATTATTGAAGAAAAAATCTAACATTAGTTCGTTTTGAAGATTCATTTTTTCCTCTGTTTTACAATTGTTCATCGAAAAAATATATAAAAATATCATATAAAAATTGAGGAATATATATAACCCTGATCTGGTCCCTCACTCGGAACTGTTGTACATGTTTTAGTATATATTTCCATTTTGTGTTATGACTATTACTTTTAAATTTTATAAAACTTTCATCACTTTATCTCAAATAAAGTTATATTATATTTTTCCATCCTTTAAGGTGGCGAAATCTTTAACTGTTAACTTAATATTTTATATTAAATCAAATTATTAATCTTCGGTTGTGACATTCTTAAATAGATAAGACATTGATTCTTTGTTATGAATACGGCGAATTGCTTCTGCTACAAGAATACTTATGTCAACCGTCTTAATTTTAGAACATTGACTCTTCTGGATTTCATGTGGAATAGTATTAGTAACAACAACCTATAAATAAAGAACGTTGTAAATTACCAACTTGCATTTCTTTTGAATAAAAATTGAACCTATTACCTCATCAATAGGTGACTCGCCAATGAGTCTTGGAGCATCTGAACTGAGTAAACCATGTGTAGCAAGAACATAAATCTTGTTAGCTCCTTGTTCTTTCAGAACCTCAGCAGCAGCAACAAATGATTGAACATCATCTACCATATCATCCTAAAGTATATAAAATACATTTAATTAATAATAACAGCCATTATTAAATCACTTAATAAATCAAATGAAAAAAACAACTTACGACCATGATTGCAATACGACCATTGACATCACCAACAACATTGATTGGTGGCTTTTCTTTAGCTGGGTGAGATGGTACACCAACACCAACTTCCATAGTTCTCGAGGACAACACAACAGTCGGTGGTGAATTACGACCATCGTTCATGTCAGACTCTGATTCTCGTTGTTCACCATGAATAACAGCTATTCCAACTCTAAGTCTTTCGGCATAGCTGGTAGCTTTTTTAGCGCTTCCTGGATTTTTAGCAACTATCACAGAGTTACGGTAATCGGGTACCTGATTGATTAAAATTTCAAAATCAATGTAAAAAAAAAAGAATCATTTCGACGGTCTAATTAGCAATTGGTTTAACTCTTTATTTTTTAGAGGGTAATTTTTTAACATTTTGATGTAGCAATAATCGAATAATAAATTATTTGAATGATCCAAACCTAAATATAATATCTCTAATAGATATTAAATGGTTTTTTAAAGTGATAATTTTAACTAATTGTTTTATCATACAAATGGATGATTCACTAAAATGGAGTTAGACAATTTGCTAATTAGAACGTCGATTTTATCAATGGGGAAATTAAATTAAATTTCATAAAAGACATACACTTTCTTGAATATACTGCAAGAGGAATGGACTAGCACGCAAGTTATCAACAGGACAATCAAAAAATCCTTGAATTTCTTTTTGATGTAGATCCATTGTAATGATGTGGGTGAGACCACTTTTGCACATCATTTTGGCCAGTAATTTGGAAACAATGCAGCCGCGTTTACGCATTTTGCATTGCTTTGAATACGGTAAGTAAGGAATGACACCGATGATGTTTTTAGCAGACGAAGTTTTACAAGCGTAAGCCATGATCAATAATTCCATTATATTATTATTTACATCTTTAGTACCTGTTTGAATAATATAAATGTCTTTTCCACGGACAGAATCGGCAATTTCGACCATAGTCTCACGGTTTGTTTTGTAATAAACAAAACACCCGCCATTTTTCACACCTAGTCGACTGAAAAAAAAAAAAATATTTTTCATTATCATCACTAAAAAATTTTATTAACAATTAAAAGAAATAAATATTACTTGGCAATTAGTTCTGCAAGTTCGGGATGTGAGTTTCCTGACACGATCACAATGTCTGAAGCAGCTGATTTCTCCATGTTGCTGCAACGAGATGTATGTAAACAACCAATTAATTTTTTTTTGTTTTTGAAAAACGAAATAAAAAATTATCCCTACATTTAGTTTATTTACGTCTCAACTTCAGTATTGTGTTATTCTTACCTATGATATAATACCCGGTAATTCTTAACACGAAATTTGATATTTATTGATTAAACATTTGTTTTATATTTATCAATGACCTGATTTAAATTATTTTAATGGATATATCAAATTTTACGGGAAATACGTATTAGATATCTACGGATTCGCAATGTTATTTTTTTTTTTAATATTAGATTATGTTCGCTTTCTTTGCAAACATCAGCTGGTTTAACAATAGTCTCAACCCCACTAGTAAATATTTACTTACCCTAGATCAGGAATTTTTAATTTAGTGAACCCGCTTAGCAGGTTAGCAGGAGTTCAACATTTTTTATTACAAGATGTAGAAGTTTAGTAACGAGTTGGCTGTCTACTTTTATATTTTCAGAAATTTTATTTTTATAATTAATTTTTAAATGAACTTTTAACTAACCCTTCAGTACAAATGTCAGCAGGAATGCCAGGAGTTTGTATTTGATATTCTAATTCACTCAATAAAAATATCTGGTCTAGGGTAAAATATTGTATTGGCAAAACTGTAACCGAAGTAAAGGGTGAAAAATAATTTTACTGGTGCTCAGCGAAAAATGATAAAACTTCACTAGTTAGCGCTGATTTGACGTTTCTGATTTGATTTATTCTTTTATGTGTGATATAACAAGACTTAATCGATGAAAAAATTCCGAAAAATCTAAAAAATTATTTCAACAAAAAAAAAAACAAATGTTTTGCCCGAAAGGTATATATTGTAACCACCAGTTAGCGCGGCAGTCTAGATGTTCGATCTCTATATATTTAGGATGGTTAGTACTGTATTATGATAGCTTTAACCTATGGAGGGTAGAGGTTTGATTATGTATTTCGAAATGTATGTTTTCTTAATACAATTTTAATAACAATAATATTATGTATTTAATATTGATGAATCTAGTCCCAGCAAGATCGTGAGGAAGTTGAACTGGAGTGAAGTTAGCCTTTGTGGTTGCCTAGAGATGATCTCTGGAGGGAGCCTGACTTCCAACCGTGCGAAGCTGGCTTATGGGGGTGAAAGGAGTTCGGAATGAATTCGTGGACTCGGTTTCGAGTAATTGTTTACTCGTACACTCGTTTGCTCGTTCGCTCGTTCGCTCGTACGCTCGTACGCTCGTTCGCTTGTAAGCTCGTACGCTCGTTTTAAATATGATCTGTAAATCGAAGTGAACAATGTAGCTTGTTGTGAATTCGAATGAAGATTGCGAGAAATTGACAGTGGATAGATTGTGGAGAGATAGTGGACTGTATGATTGAATAATGATTCGAATTTGAGATTCAGATTTTTGAATAGGTTTGCATTGATTGGATGAAGTTTATGTGAAATCGAAGAATGAAAGGAAGTTGGTTGGAATAGTTGATTTGTATAGATTGTAGTAGTTTAATCTCGATAATCGTTTGAATTTCATGTATGTAATGGGATGTAACTCAGAAAGGGCTCAAAATGACACTGCACATGAACAGTTTGAGAACTTGCTCGTGAAGTCTCAACTCGACTCAGACTCAGTATTTGTATTATGCATGGAATGTGAAAGATGTGCAATATCATAATGAGCGGATTGTATTTGAATGTGAAATGAAATAGTAACTCAGTTCAGCACCGGTGGGCGGTTTGGGGCTGAATGCCGGACCGACATCCTCCCGACGCTGAGGAAAGTGTTGTATTGAATATGCATGCAAGTATAAATTTGGTTCGTACCTTTTTGGTATTTTAGGTTTACTAAAATACAATACCATGTGCTGCTTGAGCTCTTGAACGATAAATGAATGTATTGAATGTAGCGGTCTGAGCTGGTGGCTGTAGAGTCGTGGTGATGGTGGTGAATCGACGTCGTAGTGAACTTCAATCACAGATTGATGAAAATACACTGATATTTCACCTCACAATTCACTTTAAGTGAAACTCAGCGATTAAGAAAACTTGAATGTAGATCTTAAGAATTGGTGCTTAGTTAAAAGAAGAGATGCTAAGAAAAAGTATTCGATTTGAAATTGGAACTTGACTGCAATCGACGTGGTTGTCGCTTAGAGAGATCCTTTTTAATACACTGAGATGGTCCTCCTTACTTCTACCCTCCATACTTTAACCGCTGATTTTTCGAAGTTTCCCTGTTTGGGATACGGTGCGGTTAAATTCGATTTCATAAATTTTACAAAATTGTCAAAATTGACGTATCGTCTATTTTTTTTCTTTTACTATTCTATTTTCAATGAAAATTATAAAATATTGTTGTAAAAATATCGGATCACTTCAAATTGTTGGTTGAACGTCAAAATTTATAGTCTAGTCGAGAAGTTTATATCTGAGAAAAATCATTCTAAGTCGCTTAAAAATATGATCGATAGCTTATTCGATCTGGAAAATTATTTTGATTTTTTTTTTCTTGTTTTTTGTTAATAACAATTGCAATTTTTACTTGCGGAGTTAACAAAATAATCGTCTTTCTCAGAATAATTTTTCGGATCGAATGAACTATCGCTCATACTTTTAAGAGATTTGGAACGATTTTTCTCAGATTTTCAACTTCTCTACTAGATTATTACAAATTTTTTTTTAAATTCATGAAAAATTTTTAAGCCATATCATGATTTTTTTTTTTTATTTTTTAATTAAATCAGTTTTTCATGTTCTTTGAGGAAAAAATTGTATGTTACTCTAAAATTGATTCTTCGAAAATTTCGATAAAAAACGAGACAAAAATGAATACTCTTTAAATTTTGAAATTAAAAAATGTTGGTAAGAAATTATTTTTGATCATTTTGGATTGCAGATTAACAAATCCTCCGCTAAAATGAGCAAAATAGAAAAAAGTCAAATAAGTTCATTTTTTGATTTTTTATGCTTTAAAGTAGGTGTATTCCCACATCTAAACATTAACCAGTCTTAAAAAAAGTGGATCCTACTGAGGGTCGTATTTGAGGGACTAAAGTTTATGTTGACAAACATATTCCCTCAGTGCTTAAGGATATTTATTATTTGATGCAAAAGTTTGATAACTAGCATTATAGAGTGGTCTAGCTATTTAGATACATTCCATTAGGTAACTAATTTTATTTATTATATTTATTATAAACGTAAAAATCAAGTGGTGTTTTAAAATTATTGAATATTAACAACGAGATTATTTAAACTAAAATTAATCGAAATTATTTTTCCGTTCGCAGCATTAGCACATTATAAATTGGTCCATACTCATCCATTTACTGACGGCAACAGCAGAACTCCATTACAACTGTATGTCCATTGTCGTTCAATCAAAGTTGTAAGATGAGATCAATGTCGATAGAGAGTCAACATGTTCGTCATTACAAACAAAATTAGAAATTATAATGATAATAAAAAATGTAATAAAAAATATATTGTTTATCCGTATCATTCAATTTTAGAAAATAATTATCTTATAGAACTACAATATGGCACCGCTTTGAGAAAAAAAGACAAAAGCAAATGTTCATTCTTAAACGTTAGGTACGCCAAGATCTATGCTTTAGAACTTTAGAGAAATCACGAAAAGCGACTTGCGTTTCTCTTAATATAAATATTCCATCAATAGGCAGCCCAACTACACAAAGGTCTTGCCAATACTAGCTTGCGGAACTTAGGCTGCCATCGTGATTTCTGTTATTTATGTTTATTGACGTTGATTCATTTAGTGATTGATAAAAAACTTTCCTTAATTTAATTATTTACTTTAATAGTGAAAATTTCAATACAATTATATAAGTTATTTTTTAACTTTAATTATTTCAATAAATCATTTATATTATATATTGATATTTTATTTGTATTACTCGCCGTTTTTTTTAATCATAGAAACAAATCATTTTTTAAATAACTTATATTTCCACAAATAGCTTATGTTTGCTTCATAATAAAACTAAACATTGAAGTAAATAATACTTATTAATTAGAATAATAAATTCTCCTAATTAATAAGTAGTTTTTTAATAGTAATTTGAATTTATTTTTACAATCAAAATTTGAATCTGTTCATTGTATGGTTACAATAAACAGAGCTTTGTGCGATTATTTTTATCACGAACAATTAAAAAAAAAAAAAAAAAAAAAACCCATATATAAGTATATAATTATTATTAATTTTCACTGAAAAACTGATATTTTTACATTTTCGATCATGAAATTACGATAAAATATTTTCAATTTATCATCGATTAAAGTTACTTGAAAAGATTGAAATAATTATAAATAGTCAATCTGACAAAAGTATCTACATATGTAATGTTGATGTTACGATAGAATGACTTTCTAGTAAAATTATTTAAAAAATACAAAATTTTTTGGGTTATAAAATTGTTGAATAAAATCTTTAGTCTTATGAGCTTTAATTTACTATTTTAAATATTGAATTTCTGTAAAATTGAAAATCGTAAATGTTGCTGTTTTAGAATCTAGAAAAGCAATTTTAGCTGATACTTAGCCTAGCATTACGTAAAATTAGCCGATTCAAAATTTTTAAATAATTAAAAATTCCGATTCAAATAATCATTTGTCGTGTTCGGCTCACAAAACCTACCCCGGGGCAGTGAATACAAAAGCATTTGATTGGACCTCAAATTAAATTTTTAAATCTTGAAAACTTCAGATCCAGTCAGCTGCTATTCGTTTGTTTTAGCCCGGGGTAGGTTTAATAAGCCGAATACAATAATTAATATATTTACTTTCAATTGCATATTGGATTAACCTGATATTAACCTACAACAACTGTCAACTTGCGGAGGTTTTATCGTAAATTTTATATTTTATTTATAATTGATATAAATATAAATTTATATCAATTGATATTTATTTCAAAATTGAGAAAATTACTCAATGAATAAAAATCAATCTATAGATGTGTCATGCATACTTTAAGTAATATAAGAAATACATTCATTTACCCTTATTCACTAATCTATTTATTTTATAATCGTTCGTAAGGAGTAAACTCCAGTCGTGCGTCGGACCTGACACACACACACTTTTTTTTTTTTTCTCATTGTTCGTGATAAAAATAATCGCACAAAGCTCTGTTTATTGTAACCATACAATGGACAGATTCAAATTTGATTGTAAAAATAAATTCAAATTACTATTAAAAAACTACTTATTAATTAGGAGAATTTATTATTCTAATGAATAATAAGTATTATTTACTTCAATTTTTAATTTTATTATTTTATTATGAATTTTATTTATGAAATAATTTTATCATTTTATTATGAAGCAAACATAAGCTATTTGTGGAAATATAAGTTATTTAAAAAATAATTTGTTTTTATGATTAAAAAAAAAAGGCGAGTAATACTACACTCCGCGACAAAAGTATAACCCACCCCCCTAATTTTTTCATATCTGATAAAGAATTATAGTTATATTAATATATTACTAATACACAAAATTTGGGTGTTAGTAAGTTTATTATACTATCAATACATTATTTATTAAATGCATAATTAACCAAATATAAATGATATTGAGTTTTGCAGTGCGACAAAAGTATAACCCAGGTAATGAAATTTAAATAAAAATTCGAGAAAAATATAACAAACAATAATCATTCATGTAATCTAATATTTAGTAGATCCACCACTTTTACTTATCACCTCAATCATTCGGTCCGGTAAACTGTCATATAGCTTTTTAATTATGTCTTGATTTATATTTTGCCACTCGTCAACTATCATCACCTTCTTTAACTCTTCAACAGAAGTAAATTGTCTTGATCCACGATAGACAGCTCGTGATAAATTTCTCCAACAATTTTCAATTATGTTCAAGTCAGGAGAATATGCTGGCCATTCAAGAACTTGAATATTTTTTTCATTAAAGTAGTCTCTAACTACCTTTGCTCGATGGATACTGGCATTATCTTGTTGAAAAATGAAATTAGGGCCAGCAATTCGCATTGCGTGAGAGTTAATTTGCTCGTTTATTACTTCTATATATCGTTTACTAGTTATTTTTCCAGAACAAAACTTAATATCACACCTCCAGCTTGCCGACGGCTCAATATAAAATTATCTTTTCTTAAATCGTGAAAATAGTAATTAAAACCATCAGGTCCATCCAAATTAAACTTCTTTTCATCAGAAAAAATAACTTTTAGCCACTTTTTTTTCCATTGAATATGATCTTTTGCAAATTGTAATCTAACTAGTTTATGTTTAGCAGACAACGGCGGTTTTTTTGGTAATTTCTTACATTTTAAATGTTCACACTCACGTATAATACGTTGAACATTTCTTAAATTAGTACTAACACCAGCCTCCGCTGCGATTTGTCTTGCGGTAAGCGTAGAATTGGACGCAACTCTTAGAATTGACCTTCTTTCTCGTGGTGTAGTTGCTCTCGGTCGACCTGTCCGTTTTTTCTTACCATAGTTGTCGGGATCTTTTAAAAAATTTCGCACAACACGATGACTTCTGTTGATGATTTTTGCAATTTTGGCCTTAGAATAATTTTCAGAATGCAATTTTTTAATTATATCAATTTCAGTTTTGTTTAAGTGTTTTCCCCGTGGCATTTTAAATAAAAAATAGACAAATATTAACTTAAACAATTTATTTATGCGTAAGAACTTACGTTATATACTTGAAACAAGTATAAACATGAATAGACAGGTCCAGTGCATCCAGCTGCTTGAGCCAATGAGACGAATGGGTTATAGTTTTGTCGCGCTATCAAACCAATAACTTCGTCGTTGCGTAACAAAGCAGCATCGGAACGTAACTATATAAGTATATATATATATATATATATACACCATAGTACTAGAATCAAGTAAACAATAATGGCGCGTTAGGAATTTATTTATTTGTATTTAGTTTTACAGTAAATATAAAAAAATTAGAGGGGTGGGTTATACTATTGTCGCGGAGTGTAATAAAATATCAATATATAATATAAATGATTTATTGAAATAATTAAAGTTAAAAAATATCTTATATATATATAATTGTATTGAAATTTTCACTATTAAAGTAAATAATTAAGGAAAGTTGTTTATAGCTAACTTTTTCTTTCATTTTGTTCATGTTTTTCTGAATTGATAAATCTGCAATTCAAAATGATGAAAAAAAAAACTTGTTACTGACATATTTTAATTTCAAAATTGAAAAAGTACTTACTTGTCTTGTTTTTCGTCGATCTTTTGAAGGATCAATTGAAAAGTTAGTTGCCATTTTTTTTTCTAAAAGAACATGAAAAACAGAATAAATTGAAAAAAAATGAATCATTATAAAATGATTCAAAAATTTTCTATTTATGTGTATGTTGACTTTTGACCAATAATTTAGATGTGATACGATATTGCTCCGATAGATTTCATGTTTTGTATTAAAAATAGAATAGTACAAAAAAAAATGTCGTCAAGAGGTCAATTTTTCGAATTTTCACAATTTTGTTAAATTTACAATATTGAATCCAACCACACCTTAAATTGCGAAATTTTCCGAAAATTGACTATCTATGAAAAAAAATACTTACATTTAAATTAACCAAGATAGTGAGTAATTTAAAATTATACTCAGAGATAGCGCTTTTGTCATCCTGCAAAATTTTTATAACCTCTTCAAAACAGTTCATGTTACATGGGTGTCAAATGTGTCAAATTCTGTAAATAACAAAGGAATTAAATAGGAAAAAAAAAGATGCAATTCAATAAAAGTGATACATCAGAACGCAGATTTGAAATAGAATGTAAATTAGAAAGTGAAGTAGCTGCGTTAGATGCGTTGAGAGATACTGAAGAAAGAAGTAGAAAATTGACATCTGGTGTTGTTGCAATATTAACATCGTTAGAGCAAAGATTAGCAACATTAAGAAGGACAATTTTACCAGTTTACAATGAAACTGGAAATCTTCAAGCACAACAGCACAGTAAGTACTTGCTTTAACGAAAATAAAAATTATTCTAAACCTAATAATACATTTAATTTTTTTTAGACATTGAGAGAACATTGACAGCTTTAGATCATGCTATTGGGTACTATGGAGTTTGCCAAGAAGTTGAAGGAGCTATTAGAAGTGGACCAACCGGTCCGGGTGGTCTCGAAGGTTTTCTCGATGCTATGAATAGGCTTCATAACGCAGAAAGATACTTTCAGAAGAATAATCCAAGTTCCGTTGAATTAGAAAATATATCATTGTTATTTGGAGTTGGATTAGACTCACTATGTTCCGAATTTCACGATATCCTAGCCAGACAAAGCAAACCTATTTTACCTATAGTTTTATTAGATTTAATCGGTTCGGATGAAGATACGAGTGGTGAAGACGCACCTCAATCACTAAATCAATTACCCGAAAATTCTCTAGCAGAACTTGTCAAAATCGCTAATTGGTTGGATGAACGTGGTCATCGTAGACATTCAAAAATTTATTCGTCTGTACGTTCTGCTATCGTGTTGAGGTCATTACAACTTCTCAAGGAACATCAACGAAGTGCTAGTGGTGGTAGTACACATGCTAGTAGTCCTATGCCGGTAATAATATTTTATTTAAATACTAATATTATTTTTTTTCATTATCATTATGTCAAATTAACTTTTTTTGCGTCTATTTTTAATTTTTATCTTAACGCATATTTGAGTTAATAATTAATACAAAAATAATATAACAACTATTCTTATTAAAATTCTATTAAATTTATTTTTATTAAACTAATTCTCAATTTAATATCGTCTACATTAATTTATAGCAAGCTAAAAAATTGTATAATAGTAAATTTCTTGACAATTAACCTTGATTATTTATGATACTGAAGTCAGCTGACAGCTGTCAATATTTTAAAATTTTACAACAAATCAATTACAATAAAAAAAATGCTTCTAAAAATTTCGGCAGTTACACATCTTTACTCCAAATTACTCTACTCGGCGACATACTGTACTCAACAAAAAAAATTGAATAAGTTTAAAAAAAAAAAAACTTTATTCAATTCATTCACTACTCAATGCTAACTTTACTCAAAGCTAAGTTTACTCAGTTCCAACTGTATTTCATGAAATCTTCACTCAATAGTATTTTATAAGTGATAGCGCGTTTTTAAAAATCTCTATTCAATATTTTTTTATTTAATAATATTTTATTCGGCAAAAACAAAACTGTACTCAAAATTTCTCAGCTCTGTGCAATCTGTACTCCAATAAAATAATTTAATAAATTAAAAAAAAATATTTTTTACTATATATAGATATATAAATTACATGTAATTGAGTAAAGTTGACATTGAATAAAGATTGTAAAACAGTAGAATTTTATTTTTTAAGAATAAAATTATTAAGTAAATTTTTTTTTTAACTTATTTAAAGTAAGCATATTATTAAACAAAAAATAATTCAATAAAGATGTTTAAAAGCGCGCCATCAGTTATAAAATACCATTGAATAAAGATTTCATGAAATACAGTTGGAACTGAGTAAACTTAGTGTTGAATAAAGATAGCATAGAGTAAAGTTGTCTTTTTTTATGTTTTTCGATTATTTTTATTGAGTACAGTATGTCGCAGAGTTGCGAGTAATTTGGAGTAAAAATGTGTAAATGCCAAAATTTCCACTAATAATTTTTTTTAATTTTCACACGTGAAATTTTATTATTAAATTTATTTTACAATAATTTCATTGTTTTCAAATTCTAAAAAAATTTATAATGTTTTATCAACTTCAGTGTCATGATTCATTATCCTTAAATATTATATTTATTTAACTGTTACTTAAATTTTTACACTACGTAAAATTTATTAGTGGGGTTAAATGTAATATAATATAAAACCACCAGAAGTAAAATAGAGGCCTACTATAATTACGTATTGACTTAATTAATTTTTTAGAGGGCTAAATTTGCTCATCGACATTCAATGACTGGTGGAGAAACAGTCAGTCGCCGTACATCTCGCCGCTTACAGCATGCTATTGAGAAAAAAGCTAGTAAAATGTTAATGAGAGCTTCGCAGTCAACTGGCTTGGGACTCGCTTTTCCATCATCAAGAAAACCTGCTCCAGCACCACTAAGTTATGCACCTGAAGATGCAGCACCTGATGAACAAGAAATGGAAAATTATCTCTTATTGACGGCTGGACTCCATAAACTTATGCAAGCTGAACGAAGTCTAGTCGCTAGAATTATTCCAGCGCCATTGCAGCCTCAGGTATTAGAGGCAACTGTACGCGATGCCATGGATCTTGTAGCACATGATGGTGAAAGTATTGCTGCACGTGCGAAAAGATGTATTATTAGACGTGATTTTTCCGCTGTACTTGTTGTTTTTCCGATCCTAAAGCATCTTGGAGATTTGAAGCCCGATCTTGAGCGGACTGTTGAAGGATGTGATTATGCTTTGAGATCAAAATTTGCTTCTATATTAAATACTCTTAACGCTACGGTAAATAATAAATTAAAATCTATCAATAATAATGGTTAAAAACAAAAAACTATGATGAATAATTTACTAATATTTTTTTTTAGGGAGCAAAAGCTCTAGAAGACTTCGCTGAAAGTGTAAGAAATGAATCAGGCACAACATTGCCAAAGGATGGAACTGTAGCTGAGTCAACGAGTAATGTTCTTGTATTTCTTGAACAATTATCAGAAAATGCCGAAACTGCAGGGATTGTATTACGCAAAAATAATGAAGTTGATTCGATATCAACATCAAGCGCTAAACAAACTGACAACACTCATCGTGTTTTAGTTGGAGTTTATATAAGTAAAAATATTAAACATTCAATATTTGATTTGTATTTACAATATTTGATAGTACTAATTTATTATTACTCTAAAATTATTTATAGAAAAAGTATTAGCTCAGTTAAATCTTGCATTAGTCAGCAAAAGTGATGCTTCATATTCAGATCCAGCATTACGTGCACTCTTTCGTCTCAACAATCACAACTACGTTATTGACAAATTACGTAACAGTTCTTTAATGGAACTTTTACTGTTAGCAGAATCTACAGCAGCGCAAACGTATCAAGATTTTCTTGTTAAAGACAAGGCTAATTACGTAGCTGCTACTTTTGCTAAGGCAAAAGTATATCTTGAACAACCACCAGATGATTCTGGTTTGTATTTTAAAATGCAGTCATGCTTATTTAAAACGAACCATGCAAGTTATCATAAAAAAAAATGTTATGTTTCAGATTTAGCAGCAAAAATATTAAAAGAACGATTTTCTGGTTTCTCTCGTGAACTTGAAGAAGCTGCAAAAAATCAACGGTTGTACTCAGTCCCTGATGCACGTTTACGTGAAACGTTACTACGTGAATTGCAGCAATCATTAGTACCACAATACAAAAATTTTTATGCTAAATATCACAATACTCCGTTTTCAAAAAATCCGGGAAAATATATCAAGTATACACCGGAACAAGTTGCTGGAATGATAAAAACATTTTTTGATACCGCCGCGTAATAAATAAAAAAAAACACAATGATAATTATTATCGTAACAGGAAAGCAACCTTATAAATTAAAAAATATACAAATTCATAAAGATATTTAATATAATACAAATTATAGAAATTATCATGATAATGATAATGATTAATGATAATAAATAATCATAGAGTAATGTACTTTTAATGTTTTAATAAACACCCATTTAATGAAGCAAATGAAATTACATCTATTTTGTTTTATTTTTCCGGATCGAATATTCATTATACATTTATTTATAACAATTATATTATATATCTCGAAAGAAAATAAATCAATCGATAGCAGTGATACTTGGCAGATTACCGATTTATTATCCGAAAAATTATATTTATACATCAATTCTCCGAAACACTTATCTTTTTTATGATAACCAAGATCATTAAATATTTGACTAATTAAAATTATTATTACTTTCGAGAATAATTAAAAAAATACTATTTTAAACATGATTTAAAAAAAATCAGTATATTTTCAAATTCATGTTCTCTTTTAATTTTTATTTATTCATTTATTATTATTATTATTATTATTATTATTAATATTATCAACTTACAATTAATTATCGATTTTTGTAATCATTTTTGTATATACTTATATATACTCAAATATATTTATAAAAAACAATTAACGTTTTTTTTTTTTTTCGATTTAAATTCAATTAGTAGTAGCTTACATGATACACGATGATGACAATATAATAGAAATAAATTTGAATTCCAGCAATTATTTACAATTATATATTGATTACATCATTTTCTCTCATTCGCATTCTTTAACTCGTTCTTGTTTTATTTATTAATTTTTTTTTTTTCACTTTTATTATTATATTTTTTCACATTCATTAACATGCATACATTTTAAACACTTCAAGGACGAATCAAACAAAATCATTCTATAATTTTTAATTTTCAGCTTTGTTTTTTCTAGTTTTTTTTTTTTATTTTTCTTTTTTTTCTATCTGTAGAATACGTCTTTTTAAATAACACGCGCTCGCTATTATTATTCCTCCCTTGATTTATTTTTTATTTTTTTTTTTTTATAATCATTTTCGTCCCCCGTGTTTATGCTGTTTCATTCATTTATTAATATTTTTCAATTATCATCTCGATCCTTGCGAATTGTGCGTGAGAATAGATTTTTTAACTTTTGATCCAATAATAATAATAATGTTAATCATATTTCTCTTTATAAATCATAAAAAAGCCCATAACAGTAAGAGCTTAATATTAAAAGTCGGCTAAGAGAGTACCAATAATGTACTCTTTAATGATCATTAATGTATATTGAATAAGAATTATTTAATTTTTAATTTATTGATTAATTAAATTCGAAATCTGATTAGTACTTAAGTTTTTTGTTAGCTACTAGTCTCTCTTATCCGAATTTTTTTACTAACTTATATTGTTTTCTGTTTTTATCATGAATGATAATCGATTTTTAATCACGACAAATCCCGATCATATTAATTCGATTTATTATACAAAAAATGCTTTAAAAAGAAAATAATAATTTAATAAAAATGATTAAATTCAAGTTTCTTATTTCCAAAACATAATTATGTAACCGATTGTGCGCTGTATATTAGCTCTAAATCTTCACATCAATATGAATGTAAAAATATTATAGAACAATTAATGATAACGTTGATGATGATGATGATGATGATAAACGGCACAAAACTCAAGGAGGTACGACACATGTTGAATATTGCCAACAGCCTTTTTATACACCGTCGTCTCGAGTTTAGTATAATATAAGCTCAAGAGAAAAATAACGATGAAGACGAAGGTGGCACACGCTTGCGGTCGATCGGGCGTCGTTAAATAATTAATATTATAGGAGACAACATTTATGTTTGGGTTTTACCTGTGGAACTGGACACAATACTGCACGTATCGCTTCATCAAAAACAGTTTTTAATCCTTTTTGCGTTAATGCCGAGCATTCAAGATATTTCACTGCACCAATTTCTTTAGCCATTGCTAATCCCTGTACAAAAAAAAAATAATTATAAATATAAATAATTTGTTAGAAATTGATCGCTGTGGTAATTATAAAATAAATAATATAAATTGTTGATTCAAGTTTAAAATATGAATTCTACAATGGGCTACTGATAAAAAAATATAGTCAGAAAGACAACAATGATTACAAACAATCGAAGGGAATAATAATCTGATTATTTTTTTTTTCTTTTTCAAAAATTAAAAATATGTGTTTCAAACTTTATGAATCACTTTTGAATTCAATTCAATCTTAATTTTTTATTTTAAAGAAAAAACAACTATAGTTTGACTACAAAGATCATATTATCTTACAAGATAATTCTGTATTTAAGAAGATTGACTCATTTCCTGATGAAATTAATCGTACCGACCATAATTTTAATCAGTCATCAATTTTACGTTATGACAAATAATCATAACACTAGAAAAATTAGAATGATTTTTTTTTATGATTTTCAAAAATTAATCCAAGTATATAGGTTATAATTTTTAATTTTAGTTGCTTGAAATATTTTACTAATTAATTCCAAAAGGATTTATTTTTCTGATATTAATTACTTCAAAACTAAATAACTTATTTAAATGAAATTGACCTCTGACAATACTTTTACTAATTATTAACAGAGAGATTTAAAGGTATCGCCTTGTTTTATTCAACAAATATATATTTAATGAGTTCAAAATATATGTTTACAACCTGAAGAGAAACACATGTCTTAGTTATTTTTTAAAATTCGTAGCACTTGACGTCAAAGTTATCTTTTGACCCGACATACCTAAGGTCATAAAATTTAGTTGATACCGGCCTGATTGTTCTAAGAACCATAATACATATTTTGAAGTCATTTAAACTGATAATATACTTTAATTAATTATTTTATCATGAGAAACTAAAGATATGTAATAAACAATGTTGTAAAAATTGAAGACTTACTTGAGGATAAGTAATAGGAGCTAATTTTTTATCTTTGAGTCGCTCAATAGTTTCTTTATCTTCACGTAAATCTAACTTAGTCCCCACAAGAATGATTGGAGTGTTAGGACAGTGATGACGTACTTCAGGATACCATTTAGCTCTAACGTTTTCAAAACTCGCTGGATTGACAAGCGAAAAGCATATTAAAAACACATCAGTTTGTGGATAAGATAATGGTCGTAATCTATCGTAATCTTCTTGTCCAGCAGTATCCCATAGTCCCAAATTAATGGGTTTTCCATCGACCATTACATTCGCTGAATAATTATCGAAGACAGTTGGTATATACTCACCAGGAAAGGCATTGGTAGTATAACTTATGAGTAAACATGTCTTACCAACAGCTCTGCAAATAAAATAATTATATTTTAGGAAAATACTGTAAATGTAATATAAATCAAACACAATATTAATAATAAATTATAAATAATAATAATAATACTAAATAGTAACAAATAATAATAATAATAATAATAATAACGATGATAAAAATTGATTATCTGACAAAAGGTATCCAACACTAGCGTCCTTAATAACTCATCCCATTGTGTTTTTTAGGTAAGACATATAACATCCAGTTGCAAATAAACGTCACAGATACCCGCGAAAATTTACACCACGCCCGTATGTCGAACACCCACGAGCAATAACGAGAGATTAATATATCCCCCGGCTTGTAAAAAATACTATATAATATATAATTTTTTTTTTATCAAGCTACAAGAGCGTCCACGTACAACACCCGTCCTCTCTAAGCCCTCTAGGACCTAGTCCCCCTTTACTTTAGCACCAATATTATTACACTGAACACTCAGCACTCCATATTCGTACAATACAATAGATAAATCAACATACACTTGTAGCTTACAATATAATTATAACTCCAACTATATTTAATTAAAATGAAAATAATATTACTTACCCATCACCAACAACGACACACTTGATAGCTTGCATCGTTATTTAAATAATAATATTATTATTTACGTCAATGTTAATGGCTCGTCGTTGGATTACGAACCCGAGAACAGAGAACTGTACCGAGTCAGGCTTAAACGTTGCACCGTGAGCCAGCCGTGAGAGACGAGAATCCTCCGACGTTATTCGATTCGAGCTACGAAGAGAGAGCGAGACCGCTGACAGCTCTGAGGTGAGTTAGACAAAGAGCCAAATCTCATCGAGGTGGGTACTACGATCACTGGGAGAGAGGGAACTCGCATGTTCTCTCTTTGTCGCTCCTGCTGCTGTTGGAAAGAAGTGTAGTAAAACTGTAAGTATCTTTGTCGTATTGTAAATAGAGATAGAGATGGCGAGAGTATCGCTGGCGGGAATGAGATAATAATATGACTTACTTTTTTTGCGTTTTCAGCGACAGAGAAGAATTTAAGTCTGGATGAGGCTTACGGAGTATGCTACTCTTGGTCTTTACTCTTTATGAGCAGAATGGTATTGTATAGGAAGTATATATGAGACAGAAAGTACCAGCCATCGGCCAACTGAAATGTTTATTATTTCAAATAAACAAACTCAAGAGTTATAATGGAATTTTGAAAATTTTCTGTATCTAGTTTATGAAGAAGAAATGTTTCAGAAAGTTTTTACAGTATGTAAATTATTTATTTATATTCTGATAATTTTTTTTTTTACATTAATTTTATAATTTTTTAGCAAAATAGTTATTATATTAGAGAAAAATAAAAAATAAATTTTACTTGTAAAAATTTTTAAAAATTATTACTGTATTTTTGTTTCAATTAATCATAAAAATATCAGATGTTTGTGCTAATTTTAGTTTCATTTTTTTTACTAATATTTTCGAGTGTAAGTTGGTATTGACACCAGCAATCTGAATAATTTTTGCTTTTACATAATAATTTATTAAGTATTAAAAAATTATTTTTAAATAATTATTTTAATTATTTTTGACAATTTCTTCATATAGAATTTTTTCTTAATTTAGTTTGCCATAATTTAAGTATATGCACAAAAGTTTTTAAAAAATATATTAAATATATCTGATGATTATTAATAATGAAAATAGTAAACAATCTCCAATATTTAGTATTTTAAATTAATTGATAAAATTAAAGTAAATGAAAATAATTTCACTGTATGATTGTTTTCACCCAATTTAATTAAGTATGCATATATTTATTTTTACAGAATCAAGATTATACACCGTGGCATAGCAGGAGGTATTACAGAGCTCAAATAGCTTTCGTCAAAATTTATTATAAAAATACCACGAGCAACGTAACGAGGAGGGTTTAAGATTATATTTTATGGATAAAAAAAGAAAAATGGCGAGAAGAAGCTAAATAATTATGTTTGTAGGTGTAACATGTATCATCCATTAATTTCTTGAATACAAGTAGAATGGAATATTTTAGTCTTGATGATACATCAAGTTCAATACTTAGTGTTATCACTATGTTTTTTCTAGTGACGTCATTAATAATGACCACATTCCTCATGGTTATGACTGGACTTGGACTGAGGACTTGCCACGGTTGCAGTTCGTTAAATAATTAATTGTGATGCGTCATTAATTTTCTAAGAAACTTTTAAGTTTAATGGCGTTGATTAAACGGCGCGGATTTTTAAGTACTTTTTGGGACTGAGTACTGGTTTGTTAATTTATTCAATTAGTATGGTTTTGATATTTAAATCTCTGAGATATGGCGAATTTCTATCAACTTATCTTAAAATATGATAAAATATTCAATATAAATGAATTATTTTTTTTATACTTTTAAATTTTAAACTTTTGGCCTAAAATTTTATTCTACTTTACTTATACTTTTATCAGTAAAAGAAATTGCTTTAAATCAAAAAATTAATTAGCATAAATAGAATTTTTTTTAATGCAAAGTATTCTGAATACTCATCAAGTATAAAAAAAAAAAAAAGTTATAATTACATTCTCGTTCAATGACAATAAAAAGTATTAATAAAAAAAGTATACAGAAATTACAAAAAAATGATTTTACCGATTGAACGTAATTGTGTCAAACTGAACGAGAAAAAAATTATATTCTTTTACAAAACTTAATAACAAACAACCATTAAAAACATTGTGTTTAAATGAAATATTTCTCTTAAAATTCAACTGTTTTATATTTATTGTCAAAGGTGAAAAAAGATTGAAATTTTGGTCATTTTTCAAATAAAATGAATCAAAATTAACAAATGTTGATTGAGGTTAAAACAGTAATTTGATTAGTAAATAATTTTATTATATGAAAATGAGCACAAATTCATCAATTGCCAATAAAACTGGGTTAATGTGGCAACAACAAGTATTTGCACTTGATGCAAAATATAATTCACGTAGAGCTTCTGGTCAGCCGGGATTTGGTAAGTTATTATTATTATTATTATTATTATTCTATTGTTAGTAAACAATATGTTTATGAAAATTTAATTTATTCGAATTACCTAGGCTTACTATACCTTCGACGACGAAATCAGCTTCTACGTGAAAAAAACCCTGCAAACACAGAAACTCGATTATCATATGTAAAATTAAGAGCTGAACTATTTAATTTACGCTATGGATCACCATCTGACTGCGTAAGTTTATCATCTCGTGCATCAATAGATGGAATTTCGGAAAGCAGTATAATAAAAGAAAGATCAATAAAAAAATCAACAGCAGAAAGCTTTGCTTTTGCTGGTGTTCATCATGTATTTGATCAACATAAAGGTGCGATAACTTCGCTAAAATTTGCTAATAATGATCGATCAAGACTCTGCTGCGCTTCATTTGACGGTACAATCACGATATGTGATGTAACAAACACGCCACCTAAAATTTTGGTTCGGTTAGAGGATCATAAAAAGGGTGTCACTGCAATAGATTGGAGCATTAGTAATGATTTTATAGTTTCTTCATCTCTAGATGCTACCGTAAGACTTTGGGGTATCACTGAAGATTCTACTACTGTTTGCTTAAGAACTGTAGGCGATCAAGTTCGATCTGAAGTACTCTGTTGTGGTTTTGTACCGGCTAATAACAATTTAGTTATCACAGGTAACGCTGTAGGACTTCTTCAAGTCCTTAATATTTCAACTGGAATCTATCCTCGTGGAGGAACATCTAAAATTGGTGGAAAGGTAACAAAAATCATGAGGTTTCAATTAATTTCAAGTAAATATTTATCTTAAAAGAAACATTTTTCCTAGGTTTTATCACTGACTTGTGAAGAAAGTGGTGGATCACTCATTTGGGCCGGAAACGATAAAGGTATTATTGTATCACTAAGATTAGAATCAGGCTCTGGACGATTATCTAAGTTGAGAAGAATTGAAACTGTGGGTAACGCTGCTATTACAAGCTTATCTTGGAGATCATGGTTATCAAGAGATGCCCCATCACCAACGCTTCTTATCAGCAGTGCATGCAATGCTGTTTTTCTCTATCGAGTCACCGATCTTCAGGGTACTCTGAAAATCTGGAGAAATTATCCGTTGAAACATAGGTAGCTTAAGTTATCTACTATTATTATTGTACATTTTTTTTATATTTATGCTGACCTAAAATAACGTTATGCTCTGTTTAACTAAATGATAATTTCTTTTGGCTTTGTTCTGTGTATCTATGTTTTTTTTTATCACTTTCATTATTTTTATATAGGCAATATCTAGTGAGATCAACGTTCTGTCCTCAAATGGGCGCGTGCTTAATAGCCAGTGGATCAGAAGATGGTTCGGTTCATCTATTGGATACCTCACGTGATGGCAAAGCTGCACAGGTTAATAGACTACATGGACATTCCGCCCCAATTCTCGCCCTCAGCTTTAACTACGACGAATCACATCTTGCTACCGGTGATCATCAGGGTCTTATTATTATTTGGCGGAATTAAATTATAAATAATTTTTTTTTTTCTAAATTAAAATATCTGATAAATTATAAAAAAAATAATATTTATATAAATTAATCTGTTTATAAATTACATCAACGTATTTGTACCTCTATAAAATCAAAAAAGTTAAACTAGAAAAATACTATTTCTAAAACCTTAGTGTTGTAAATAAATAAAACTTAAAGATGGGTTACACAAAAAATACCATAATTTAGCAATATATTAATCATCCTCTATTGAAATAATATCCTACAAATTGTAGCGACGGTGCATTCGGTGTTTTTAATTTTAACAATATCTAGCGTATTAATAATAACAATAGTCATAATCGCTATCTTAAAATAAAAATATTTTATTCGTTACTAATCGTTTTACCTGCAAAAATTACAGTATTTTGACATTTTGTATTCTAACTTTCATCTGTACAAAGAAAAATTATTTCGTTTTTCTTATTATTGTTTTCATATTAATAGTGAAGAAGTAAAAAAACCTTTTTATTTTTTATTTTTTTTATTATTATTATTATTATTTTTTTTTTTTTTTTTTTTCTAAGACGATTGTCTGATGAAATTTTATTTCTTTTTAAAAGTAAATTTTCTATACGTTCCGAATAAAATATTCAATATAAATAATCTAACATAAATAATCATTTTTATGTGAAATTAATGTCAATTCGAAAGATTAAAAAGTTAACTATACATATTATATATTATAACGACAAAAAATATCAATTCAACATATTTTCTTAATGTGCAAATTAATTGTACTACAATATAAAACTCTTTAATAAATTTGTTATTTTTTTTCGTGCTTTACCTAATTATTTTATCGCCATTTCATTTGAAAAAAAGAAAACAAAAAATCTTTAATTTCATTATCACAGGGTAAATTCTTGTGAGTGACAATATTATTGTTATTCTATCGTAATTGGTGGTATCTTTAGCAACGTCTATCAAAATTGTTTTTCTATTATTTCCATGATTTTTTGGTTAGCTTTCTCTTTAATTTGTTCCTTGTTTGTTCATTTTGCCTTTTTTTTTTTTCTTTTAATAATAATACTTTAGATATTAGAGAGCTATTGAATGCCAAGTACATAAGAATTTTGTTTTTTAGTCTAAAACAATTCAAGACACTTTTTAAATATAACAAAAACATATTGAAAAAAAAAAAAATATCAATTTTATAGGCACGATTTTCGATGCATCTACAATAAATTAATAAATATTTACAATTATTTAACGAAGAACCAATGTTTCTTTCTTTGTTTTTTTTAAATTAATTTTTCGCTAAAAATTTAAAATGAAACAATTGGAGTCGAATTAAAAACTAATTTATGAATCAAGATTGCGTTTGTAATTTTATCATTCAATTATTTACATAAAAATGATATGAAATAAAAAATATTACTTTTGAAAATTATCTCATTATTAGGACGGACTTTAGCCAATTGAACTCTCTATCGAGAAAACTCATTTTTCCATTGAGACTTTCTCATTCATCTACTTAAGTTATTAATTCATTGCTTTTCATTTATTTTAATTTTTTGCATTTTAATATGGACCTTATTTGTAAGAAGCAAAAAAAAAGTAACACTCTAAAGTTGTTTATTGAACTTTAAGTAGACTCACGGACGGATTTATTGAATTATTCAACATCCGTTTCACTTGTATTTATCACATGATCATTTTCAGACGGTTTTAATGAACATTCGTCTTTTGATAGAACATCCTGTTTCTTCTCCATTACCAATAGCTTTTGTTCCTGTTCTTTAATAGTTTCCGATACTTTTTGAACATTAGTCAATGTATCATCTACCCTTTCAATTACATCATGAGGTTGATCAGGAAGATTATCTTTACTAGCAATATTATTTTTATCAGAAATAACAAGTGGTCTACGTGATGATTTTACAGGTGCATTTTCTTTACAAGAAAAAGAAATCTCGAGTTCGCTGATTTCTCCGTCACTTTCTGCATTGCTCGAGCTTTTAATATCTTCGTGGTTTGAATTTTCAAATGATGATTCCATTGGAGATCTTAAGACAGAAATAATTGATTGGTCATCTTTTGAAATGGAAGATTCTGTACTGGTTTCAGTCTTTTCAGTTTTCGTATCACTTTCATCATTTATGCGGCTGACCTGTTCATTTTGGTCAGTTTCAATTTCAGTAATAATCACAGTGCTTGAAGTGTCTGAAGTATTTTTTATTGGTAAATTAAGCTTCAATCTATCTCTCGTATGTCTGAGTTTACCCAATTGTGTTTGTTGCTGTTGCTGACTTTGATTATCATCAACTGTATTTATTTTTAAATTTCCGTGTGATTCATTTTCTTGTGATGATTCAGCAGCTCCAGGGAAAAATTGACTTACATACTTTCCATCGCCTACTTGAAATTGAAAAGGTCTATTTCCACTACTGACGAAGAATTCTTCGTTATCTAAATCAAAAATTTTATTAATTTTTTTTTTTTTTTAATAATAATAATTTACAATCAAAATAAATATATTTATATATTTACCGTGATTAGATTCATAGTCAATTGGATAATGATCAACCTTAGGCTCTTCCAACATTTCTTCCCAGTCTAAAATAAAGTAAGCATAATTAATATAGTTCTTGAAATATTGGATAAATACATTCATTTTAATCTAAATAATTACCGGCGTAAGATGTTGGTTCCCACGTTGTTGTAGCTTGGCCTTGGCATTCGGGGACTAAGGTTTCTTTTGGATATTCGTAAACACAGTGGTAACGTTGTTTTTTAAACCAAACATTTTTTTTCTGATCCTTAAAAAATATTTATAATTTAATTTGTGATTTTTGTTCATAAATAATCAAGCAAGTAGTATTAAATTGTCGCGCAATATTTTTTTAATTGGAAAAAGTTACTTATGCTTACCAGTTCCTCCTGGCAGTAAGTATTAACACATAAATCCTTTGTTTGCATTAATAAATCCATTCATTGTTTTATGTATTTATAATTTAAAAATTAAATATAATTAATAAAAAATATTAAAACTTACTCCTGTTTTGAGAGTTTTTTCTGGTGACCTTAATGCTGATCTATGAGGAGCTAAAGTTGCATCCCAAGCGGAAGGTGTAAACTCTTCTTCATCTTCATCTTCATATTCAGCTTCTTCTTCAATTTTTCCCTCAGTATCCGTATTTTTCGATTCGTTTTCAGGTATATCATCGTAGCGCTGAAAAGATTTAATTTTAAAAAGTTGTAATAATTAATTAAACAATATAACATAATTGTAGTAAATAGTATATTAAATACCTTCCAGACAAATTCTCCAGAACTCGAACTATCATCGTCATCTTCTTCAGTTGCATCTTCACCAGCTTTTTCATCCTCATCCTGACTATCCCAATCATGTTCAGTACTAAAACTTGTAGACATAAGATCATCTTGGAGTTGAATAGGAAATTGTGCTTGCCACTTAGATTCTTCTTCAGGGCTAGGCATTGGTACACCAGTTATTTTGTCTTGAATTCCTAATAAATTATTTTCAAAATTATTTGAATCACAATCAGCACTTTCTTCGTCTGTCATATCACCATGAGACGTATCTCTGTCGTCATCTTGGCGATCGAAACTACCTTCCACTAGCAAAACTCGATTTGTTCTAGTATCAACAACTAAAACATCTTCGGAAAATCCTGACAATTTTGACGCGATCGATGCATCTCCAAGTGACTCAGATGTTACATTGCTCTCACGTTCTTCAAGAATAGGACTCAAAGGAGTTCCATACAGATTATACCTTATTGCAATATCAATATTACTACTTTCACGTTCATTCTTATCATCTTCATATTCCCATGACTTTTTCTCATTCTCTGAAAGATTTACTGCTGATACTTCGTCATCTCGCAATTCTTGTGACTCAACAATCGACATCTGAGCACGCGGAAGTTTCTCCTGAAGTTCATTTCTAATCGCTGCAACAAATTCTTCATCAAGATTAAAAGAAACGTAAGAATTATCACTACGAAGACTCATTGTTGAACTATCTTCATCATCATCATTATCATTTTCAGGATCCTGAGATTCCATGGATGATTCAATATTCGATTTATCTAAGCTTTCAAGTTTTGCCAATGGTTCTTCGAATTTTTTCTCTATAGAATTAAGATTCCTTTCAACTTCTGCAATTAATTTATCTACATTTTTTTCAATCAATTCTAAATCTGGTTCTGCAGTTTGCTTGTTATCAGGAAATATTACTTTTTCATCTTTTGCGATTGATTCTTCAACAGCTTGTGTGCTAATCAGTTTAAAATCTAGAATCTCTTCATTTACTTTTTCTACAAAATTAATGTCTTTATTATCTTTAATATCTAATTTATTTACAGTATTTTCAGTTGGTTCTAAATTTGAGGCTTCTTCTATTTGCTTTTCTGGAGAATCAATATTTTTTTCATTAATTTTAATATCTAGTTTATCGAAAATTTTTTCATCAATTAATTTTAAGTCAGTATCACTAATAGGAGAATCAAGTTGTGATTTTAAAGCTGAAATTATAGAATCCTCTTCTAAAATATTTAAATTTATTTTACTGGGCGACAAAGATATATCTTGCCCATCTAAGCTCTTGCAGTCCTCTGCATCAAGAATATTATCAAGCTCTAATAAAACTTTAAGCTGTTCTTCCTCTGTTGATGCCGAAAGTGGAGTATTAAATAAAGCACCATAAGAATTTAAAGCCGAATGGGATAGACTACATGGTATTGGATTTTCTTCTTCCTCACACGATTCTTTATCTCTGAAACCACTGTCTGAACTTCTCTCATCATCTGGGGTTGATAAATGTTTTCGATCTTCTTCTTCATCACCATCGGGAAGTCTCCGTCTCTCAGTTTCAACTTCTTCGCTATTAGAAAAATCCTCGTTGTCAACAGATAAATCCTCACCACGTGATTGTGGAGTATTTGGAGCAGATATTGAAGTTTCAAGCAAGTCAGAAGCTGACCTTGATTCACATTTATCACCAATCAATTTTCCAAAATCAATCGACTCAAGATCAAATCCTGAAACTTTACGTTCTAATTCAAATTCTAAAGCATTTTTCCAGAGCTCAACATCAACAAAATTATTAGGAGCTGACGTTAAATTATTTTTTGGTGTTGATGTACACTCTACAATATTTTTATTTTCTTCTTTAGAAATTGACTCAGCAGATTCTAAGCTTTTTTCATTTGATTCTTTCAAGATTTTTACAGAGTTAGAATTGCGAAGTTTTTTCAGAGCCTCATCAAATTCATCTGCACGAGCGGTACTTCTCAAGTCACCAACACTTCCAGATGCTAATTTCTTCCTTGGTTTTTCATTAACTTGAGGGCCTAAGGACCATTCGGCTTCTGAATCCGAATCAATATGTACAAGTACCATCAGATCGGCAACAGATTTAGATTTCTGTCGAACTTTTTCTGTATAAGCACCTCGTTCGACCCTACCTCTCCAACTTTCTTCTTCAGTTTCTGATCCAGATTCTAAATTAACATCAGTTCTAGCTAACGGAGCGTTTCTGATTGGTTCTCCAGGGCCAAGTTTAAAACTTGCTTGAGGTGTGCTAAATGCTTTGTCGTCAGCCTGCCACAAGTCTGAATCAGTACTCTGTCGAAGTTCTTTCAAACTGAGACTTCTCATTGGTTCTTTAGTATTAGGCTTTAATGTCTCCCATCGTAGATCGAAATCAGAATTTTTTTCTTTCAATATCTCAATTATTTGTTTCAGACCTGCTCGATCATTTGGTTCTAACTTCAGACAAGATTTAATAGCTTCTAAAAGATTGTCTGGAGATTCCTTAAGATTTCTGAATGGAAGATGGTCATAAAATCTGCATGATAGAATCATTTCAATTACTTGATCATCACCAAGGTCATCGTAAGGCCGGTCTCCCCAACTACCAATCTCCCAAAGAAGTATTGCAAAGCTCCAAAGATTGGCTTGTGGTGTTATTGTACGTGTTTCAATGGTCGTATCTGTACAAACTAAGCTTTCAGGCGCAGACCATCGTATTGGAAGTGCTCGATCTCCAACGACATAATAATCACCTGGATATTTTTCAACACCAATTCCATAATCACCAAGTTTAGCTGATAAATCTGTTGCAACAAGACAATTTCTTGCTGAAAGATCAGTGTGAGCGAAACCATGACGATGCATGTGATCTAGAGCAATTGAAATGTCTATAGCCATGTTTATGGGTATATTTGTTTGAATTAAAGTTTCATTAGAGTGACGATTAGATTTTAAAAATGTCTTTAAATCACCTCCGGGACATGATTCAAAAAGCAATAAATAAGGGTCCGTTTCTAAACAAACACCGAGTAATTTTAACAGATTTTGGTGATGTAATTTAAGATAAGGTAAAGCTTCACCCAAAAACCACGCTCGTTCACTCGTCGACGCTTCTTCTGTAAGAATCCTTACAACTACCCCATCATTTTTTGGTGATTTTCCTCCAGGATCTAAATCTTGAGTACCTTCTACTACTTTTCCAAACCAACCACGACCTATTTCTCGAAGATATTTAAGTCGTTCACGTGGGACATGTAGACTTGGTGAAAACCATTCTTGACACGGTGATAAATTATTTTCATCTTTATCAAGACTATTATCACTTATAAGCGAAGGTGATGGTGGTTTTGATGGTTTATTTAATATACCTCTTGTTTCAGGAACAAAACGTTCAACAGTCAAAGGCTCAAATTGAAACTGATTTGTTGAATTAGTAGATCGGGACACTTCCAACTCCAACCCACGTTCAATAATTGTTTCACTTCCGACTATGCTCCCATCTTTAAATTCCTAAAATAAATCAAATTTATATATTTCTAATTCTCAATCTTTAAACTAGTATAGAAAATTGCCCTAGTCTATTTAATTTTACTAATACTATTACTTAAAATTAATAAATATTACCTGCTCTTTATTTCCTTTCGTATCCTACAATAAAAAGTAGCATTCAAAACCATTTATTAACGCGGTTATTTAAATTTTTTACAATAACATAAATGTATGTATATTATAAATGGTTTGTTTTTATTTTTATTAATATTTCTTAAGAAGCTTAAGATCACAAAGTAACTTCAACTATCGTACACACTATCTCTCAGTGCTCCTTTTTTTTTATAACTTTTTAAACATACAAAAAAAATTTAATTTTGATATCTGTAATGTGAACATTTTTTTATAGTTTACTCTACTAAAAAATGACTACTCCAGTTTGATCTTATAGAAATATAAAATTATCAATTGTTTTATTTTATTTATTTAGAATGTATCAGAATTTTATCGCTTTTATCATCAAAATAATCAGATTTTAAGCAAGGTATTTTAATATTCCATTTTGATTCTAAGCTTCTTATTTTCACTCATTTCAATGATTATTTAAATAAATTAATTTACCTGAAATCCTTTCGCTCGACGTTCTCGTCGGCAGCAAAGGCATCCAAGAAAAGCTGATACCATTGCTACAACTACAACTGAACCCAAAATATAGTGAAATTGTGGTAACCATAATTTTGATTCAGTGGAATCTAAAATTCATATCATTATCAATATTAATTAAAATAAATAATTATTGTCTTATGACTAAAAAAAAAAATTGTAATTATTACCTGAAGTACCGGATGAACTAACTGGAAAAGCAAGAGCTCCAGGAAATTTTTGATAGAACCAACATATCAACAATACTCCGAGTTTACTCATTCCGAGCTGTGTTACCCAATGCATTTTTCCATGTTTTCCTAATTAGGGCTACTTTTCCCCGGGCATCCTCATTCCCAACTATCAGGAATTTAGCTTCCCGGGGTTATTTAATAAATAACTCCACAAAAATTTTAAATCACATCAATATTTTACTAAAAAAATCCTTGATATTAAGATCCCAGTATATCTCGGCGAGTAAACGATATGCCACAATTTGACTTTAAACTCACACCTTTTTCGGCACGAACCAACAACTTGGACGGTATCTCAGGCATTCTATTCGCATATCATTGTGTTCTTTGCATTTATCACAATAATATATACAGTTTGTTTAGTTGTACCACGCAAGTGATAACAAATAAATAAATATTTATATCAAATCACTTTTATACGAACCAATATTTTAAAAATATTTCCATTCGTTTCGTCGATTTCAATTAATAGAATACTACTAATTAATATATGACAATAACACCAGAGAACACCTTAGAAAACGGCTGACCTAACCAGCTTCACCTCTCCCTCTTTCTTTCTCTGTCTTTATTGCTCGCTTATTCACTCTTTTCTTTTTCCTTTGTCTAACTTCTCTTCCTCGTTGCTCTGTCCCACCAATCACTTCCTATATTCAAGATATTCAATGATTCATGGCCTGGTCACATGCATTATTTTAAATACTATAAAATTTTTTTATTATTATCATTATTTTCAACTTTTCTATAGTTTAAATGTATTAATCACTCTGTTCTATTTTTATTTTTTTTTTTTTTAAGATTTAAATAAGCCCGCCATTACGCAGGCGTATATTTTTTATTTAAAACGATAATACATGTTTGTTTGTTATCAAAATATTTTTTTTTTTTTTTTTTTTCAAAAAATAATATAAATTAAACACAAATTAAAAATTTTTCAACAAGTATTGAAAAGTTAAAAATTCAATTTTTGTAATAGCGGACTCTAAAAAATTTTTATATTTTTATCAATTAATTATATAAAATTATTTAAAAAGTGTCCATGCAAAATTTTTAATATTTTTTGTGCGGATCTTTAAAAATTTTTTATTAAAATGTTTATTAATTTTTTTTTTCCCAATAAAAATAAATTGTCAAGTATCTGCTACTTTCAAAAATAAAATAAGTGTTTTTTTACAAATATAATTTTTTTAGAAAAATAAAGAACATTAGAAACGATAACTATTTATTAACATAATCATAAAAAGTAAAAAATGGAGTATTAAAAAATAGTAAATTATTATAAAAGACGTGTAGGTATGAGTTTAGGTTATAATAAATGTATTGTCTAAGTCAAAAACATGTGCCACGTATTATGTTGGCTAAACCGAACTCAAACGTTGGTTTAGCATAGAGCTTGTAGTGACACGTCATATTTGTGTGTCGTGTGTTCTGTCGGTTTCGTTGATCGCTACGGGCTTTAATTACACACCACTGTTATTTTATTAATTCCATAATAGTTATCAATAATAATATTAAATATCCGAGATGAATATATTTCGTTTACTCGGTGACTTGTCCCATTTGTTAGCTATTATTATTTTACTCCTGAAAATATGGAACACAAGAAGTTGTGCCGGTATGTGATTTTATTGCAATCTATTATAAATCATCTCTATGGCTATTTTCATCACAACCTTTTATTCATAACCACCAAAGTCAATATTTTTTTATTGAAATTCTTTGAAATAATTAAGTTGTTAAATAACTGTCAGTGATTTCATTTAGAGTGTCATAATAGTGGAGATAAGCTTTTCAATAACAACTTTATTATTATTATTATTATTGTTGTTTTTTTTTTTTTTTTCAGGCATAAGTGGCAAATCACAAATACTTTTTGCCATTGTTTACACCACAAGATATCTTGATTTAGTGACTACATATATATCAGCGTACAACACGTTTATGAAAGTAATTTTTATTGGTGCATCATATGCTACGATCTTCCTTATGTATGCGAAATTCAAGGCAACTTATGACCATAACCATGATTCGTTCAGGTAAGTTTTTAATTGTCAAATTTACTTCATTATATATATATATATATATGAATTATTAATATTGACTTGTTTTTATTTTTAGAATTGAATTTTTGATTCTACCAACGATAATTCTTGCTGTATTCATAAACCATGAATTTACAATTCTAGAAATTCTCTGGACATTCAGTATTTACTTGGAATCTGTAGCTATTTTGCCACAGCTGTTTTTAGTATCGAAAACTGGAGAAGCAGAAAGTATTACCAGTCATTATCTATTTGCATTGGGTTCATACCGTGGTCTTTACATATTCAATTGGGTTTATCGTTATTATGCTGAAAGCCATTATGATCTCATTGCAATCATTGCTGGAGTCGTTCAAACTGTCTTGTACTGTGACTTTTTCTATCTTTATATTACCAAAGTACTCAAAGGAAAAAAATTACAGTTACCTGCTTAGCTATTCAGTGAGTGAATTGGATTTTATATATAGAAATCATAAAAATTAAAAGTAATAAACATTGACAATAAGTCAGTGTTTGGTAAATCACGATAATTATTAAACAATCGTGATATTGCCGTTTTAAATTAAGCTAAATATTAAAATAGAAGAGGATATGATCCAGCAATCAAAGATGTTTGAGCGAACGCACAATAAATTTAATAATAAAATTATTTACATGAATTTGTTTATCATTTTGGTTAAATTATTTATTTTATTTCTCATGTCATTTGAATTATTTGTATAAAATTTAAAGACTTGAGAAATAAATTTAATAAAAACAAAATTATTTCATTTATTTTTATATTTATCGCTCATTCTCATTTATGCCATATGCATTTTTATATCAAAAGTTACTTCTATTCCTCTTCATTTTCTTATTAAATTAAAAAATACAGTTTTTCTTTTTGTAAATAACGAGGCTATAATTTTACGATTAAAATTTTTAAATCTATACATACACATATATATATATATATATATAAATTGTAATAATTTGCTTGAATCGTAACTGCCTCTAGAGGGTATATACACTATATATTTGAATGTAAACTTAATTATATTAATTAAATAGTACTATTAATATACACGAAAATTGTAAACAAACGCGTCAATGAATGTTTTTGTGAGCTCGTATTATTATTAAGTTGTTGTAATAGAATTTTTATTGAATAATAACTACTTACAAAGATATCAATAATAAAAAAACAAAAAATTCTAAAAAAATTAAATTTTAAATGTTTATTATAAACTAATTACAACGTGATAGAATATATTTAGGTAACTCTGTAATGTGAACTGATTCAGCTAATGTCGTTAATTGGTTCCATACTTGAATGATACCATTTTGAAGACTCGTATCATCAACAGTGATTATTAAAGGGACTTGAAAACTTTTAATTCCCTTTAAACTTGTTGTAAATATTGTTTCAATACCTTTTGATCTCAACAAATTATTTAAGTACAACATAAATCGTCTTTTCTTTTCAGACATATCTGATGACTCCTCGCATGTGAATGGTAAATGAAAACCGACTTTGTAAGGAGATAATTTAGGATTAAGTTTTAATTGACTAGGATTTTCTGGTGACTCTGGATCATATGCATCACAGAGCAGCGCAAGGGAACCCCAGTCTAGCGAAGTTTTGTGCTCAATTATATGGACATTTGAGTTTAGTTCAATCTAAATAATAAATTTTATACATTAGTAATTTTATACTACTCAAATATATATTTACTTAATAATCGTACTGAAGTCAGCAAATATAAAAAATAAATAAGTACTAAGAAAATATTTTAAAAAATTGCATTCATAATTTTTTTTTAATTTTCTTATTATTAATTATTTATCAAAAAAATTTTTAACAATTTTTAGATGTCTGCTAACTTCAGTATCATTACTTAATAAAAGTTTCGACCTACCTGATTATTTAATTTTTTAATGTCTTGTTGATGTGTTATTGTTTCAATAACAATAGATCCAAATTCAAAATTAACAGTTATTTCAGTGGTATCTTTATTTTTACTTAATTTTTTAGAGTCTGTGAATTTAAATCTTGATGGTTCTCGAGATAATTTTCTCCACCATATTTTACGTTCGCGCTGTGTTTTGTGGTACAACTCCTTACCTTCATTTGCATTTGTAATTATTGTAACTTTACCAGTTCTGTGTGAGTTTAACTTCGGGTAAGCATTTAGAATTTCAGTGTTCCATGAGTTTTTTGATTCCTCAATAATAGCAATTCCCAAAGGTTTTTCTTCAATACCAAGAGTCTTAAGATTTTCAAGTGTTTCAGAAACTTTGTCAGTTGACGTTAGAAAAACATTATAAAATGGTTTAATAATGTTACTTTGGAACCATAAATTTTCTAGATTACGGCGTAATAATTTTCCTTGAGGTCCAAATACAAATCCTCTGTCGAGATTAAGAAAAGTGTTACCTAAATTTTTTAATATTTTATCTATCGTCATTTTTCTAGAGGTATATTTCCTGGAGGTGCTACAAAATATTCTTCCTCAGTAAGAACTGCGTTTTTCAATATTTTCTTTCGATAATTACCGTCTGTAACTTTGTCGTGTCTCAATCGAAGATTTTCGTTCTCCAAAACACAGTACATCGGTTTAATAGAGTCATCTATTTTCAACGATCTTAATTGCTCAGCAAATTTAATAGCAGCTTCAAGCCTTTTTATTCCTGCTTCGTTTCCAAAATCTACTAATGACAGACGTTCTAATTTAGCAATGGTTTCTCTGCTAATTTTTATTTCTGGCTCTTTTGAACTCGGTTTTTTCAGTGCTGATGAATTTTGGTGCCGAACAATAAACTGAGTAAATTTTAAATTCGATGTGCACATTAAACTACGGCTTGTTAGTCGTAAAAAATCCATTTATGCGTTTAAATAAATTGTTAATTTTTTAACACATTTGAATTCAATTAATTTTTCGTATAAAAATTACAATAAATAAGTATTTATCAACACATTATAGATCTCTCTATTTATTACATTGTTTATTTACACATGCTTATGAGTTTTGCTAACCTCAGAAAAATTCAAGAGTTTTCTCCTAGATGTCACGAACAAGCGATAAAAAGCACTAAAATTTATCTATGACTACTTTTATAAAAATTATCAATTTTTTGTAAAGTAGATATCATGTCTTTAGTTTTCGTGTAGACGATATTTTTACAACCTTATTAGTTAATATTATTTTTTAAAAAATTTTATTTTTTTTCTTTTTTTTATTTTAAATACCAAAAAAATCAAGTAAGTTATCTATTCTCTTGTAAGAGCAGTAAAAATAGTAGAACTGAAAAATTAAATAATTTAAATACTTCAAAGCTTTATTTAATTAATAAGATGCAGTTTAACTTAAATTAATGTGATGAAAAAATTGTAAAAAGTAGTTCTTACTGCTTTACAATGTTTAAATAAATCTATCTAATTTAAATATTTAAAAAGTAAAAAAACAAAAAATTACACTCTAATTTTTAATTTTTGAAATATGCATTGTTAAATTTACAATCTATTAAAAATTATTTTTATTAGATAATTTATTAAATAATTGAATAAATTAATAAAATTTTGGTTCATTCAGACTGATAGTAGGTTTTCTTAAATGTAAATATATAAAAAAATGTAAAATTTGTTAATAATTGGCAGCTAAAAAGATCTAAAAAACAATTTTTTTTAAACAAAAGAAGCATATGGGCCATTCACGTGAAATCGACCACTTTCGATTTCGCTGAAAAGTTTTTTGTTTTATACCTTACTAAAGACGTTTCTCAGAATTTTTCAAATTTTTCTATCTAACTAAAATATTTTTTTTCAAGTGAAAAAATGAAAACGAAAAAACGCCACTCTGAAAATTTTACAGGATTTGAAGAAAAGGTCAAAATTTCATATAGAAAAAAAAAATATCGGAGAAATTTATCGGTTTGTTTTTATTAATGGAAAAAAAAAATCACTGAAAATGAATTTGTACACAATTTTATCTAAAAAATACATCAAAAAACAAAAATTTTAAAGAAAAAAAAAGTCCTGACAAGTCAATCCTTAACGAATTTATAAATATTTGAAAATCAAAGAGATTTATTTTCTAAAAAGACGTAATTTATTTTCAACTTCTCACTTGGAAAATTATTAATTAAATATATTAACAAAATTCTTAGGAAAGTGGACATAGGATGTTAATTAAAATACTAATTGTCAATTAATTGCGATATTTCGGTCATATATTTGACCTTCATCAGGCATTTCAACATGCAGTACATAATAAACATCATATATAATGTACACTTGATGTTATTAATAATTTTAAAAAGTAGAAAATTATTGATTCCGATCCGATTTTTATATATAGAATCAAAATTCTTTTAACGTCATTCAATTTTTAAGAAATTTAGCGAGGGTGTTTTAAACTTATTTAAATACTGGAAATTATGAAAACGATTCGCTACAATAATTATATAAATAAAAAGTATATATTCCTTTTATCGAATTCTGAGTCTGTAGAAATTATTAAATATATAAATATACGTAAAATGTACTTATTTTGAGGTATATTGCCGATGAGCATTTGAATAAATGAATAGAAAAGAAAATAAAAATGATCAATTAAAATTACGTATTATTCAGGAAGGTTAATTATTTATTTATTTTATTTTTTTGATGAAAAATATTGATAACTTATAGCATAACTAGAACAAGTCAACACGATTTAAATGATTATAACAAACACAATTAATTGCAAAAGGAGAAACAATTATGTTTATTATTCTGATAACTTTTACTAATACAATATTATAAAATAATTTCAATACATTTCAATGAAATTTAGAACATCAGTTGTCCAAGACATTAATTTATTGAGATGATAATTAAAATAATAAAAATTATTATAAATTTAACGATAATCTGTTTGCTATAGGATTGACGATAAGTATGTATTTATTATAATGATATAATTTAAGGTCTATAATGTATATTAAAATTAAGCTGCGAATATAATACGTATACGTATAATTATAATTAAAGTTATAAAACATGTTTACATGATATCAGCAATTTTTTAATAATTATTTTCGCAAATTTTACAAAAATTATGCCACTGATGCAGATAATTACTTATCGATATTAATAGATCATGAATTAATTTTTTTTCCGCTCAAGTTTATCAGCGCAATTAGGTATGATACATTTTATGAGCACTCTAATTTTATAATTAAGAATAAGTATCATTATCATTTCGCATGCAAATTTAATTATTATAATTATTACTATTATTATTATAATAAATGAGGTAAATACTAAGTATCAACAATTTGCTTAACTAATAAAAACAATAACAAATACTTATATTCTATCCTATTCATTGCAAAATATTCAATAAAAAACAACATTCGTCAAGCTGTGAGAAATTAATTACATATTAACACATATATAAAAACTATTTCGCATAAAATATGTATATTAACAAAATTATCACAATTTCAATTGAGTAAATATACATACGAAATAAGATTTTTTGATATTACTCAAAAGTAAATTAACAGAAATAAAAAAATCAGCATTGATAAATCAATTAAATTATTTACACTACTTATTTAAAAATGAGGTAGTAAATAGCAAAATTACAGTCGTAAAATTTGTACTATAAGTTTTTACATTTTGAGATATTAATACACGAAAGACTTACTTTATATTGCTTAATAATAATTAATTACAGTAATGAAATGAAAGTTGCTTCCGATTTGAAATATTTATAAATAAATAATAAGTAACAATATTTACAAATTCCTTTGAGTGTAATATGAGATTATCAATTATTTCTTCCTATATTATAATTAAAGAAGAATAAAAAAAAAAATTATAAGTATCATTATGCAATAATTGGTTATTCGATTATTATTTGTATAAGATTTTTTAGTTTTATAAAATTCTTAGATACACTATTTTCGTTATTATTAATTAAAAATTACTTGAAAAACGTATTAATTATTTATGGCGATAAAAAATATTCGTATGAAACAATTAACTAAATGTTAATATATAAATAGTATTGTATCACTACTTTCCGTGATACATTTCGATGATTCGATCTTGATCAACGTATTCAAAAATATGAGGAGCATCCATTAGAATGCCGACTGTTCCGACTGTTGTTACGATGAAGAATAGGTAGAGCTGAAGGCGATCAATCACCATTGCAACATATTTCCAGTCCTCTCGTGTCTGTAAAAAATTAAAATAACAATTATAACTTTCAAGATAAATTCATTAATTAGCCGGTTTTCGAGGTCGGGTGGTAAGCACGCTTGTTATTCGAACTCAATGACCAGCTAGATGTGGATTCGATCCCCAGCAGTTGCTGAAAATTTTTCTCAATTGAAAAGTAAAGTTACTAACTTGTATGTAAAGATCCTCATTTCTTAAATGTTCAGCAATGAAATCAACAGCTTCAGTGGCTTTAGCTACCTCTGGACTAAGTAGAACCGAGTTAGAACTTTCAGAACCTCTTCGATCTCCGGAAGCTTCATTAGCACCTTCAGTCATGCCTGAAGTACTCGTTGTATAATGTGGCTTATGATTTATTTTGCAATTTGGATGATGGAGATCAGACAATTCCATCATTTCTACCTTAGATTTAGGTATTGGTCCCGGAAAGTATTCTGTTGGACTTCCAGTGTAAATAGATGCTGGCAGTGTTACATTTGGGCTCTCCATCATCCATCTTAATCGTGTTTTTTTTGGTCGTCGCATTAACAATAATGTTGGTAAATATTTCAAAAAAACCTTACGTATTACTGATGGCATTCTATGGGTTCTAGGACCTCGAAAGTTCCAATTTATAATAACTACTGTAACAAGAATACTAACGGTATTCATAATAAATGTAAACAATAAATATTTGGCAATTAGTGGCAGTACAAGAGAAGTTGGTGGTAAAATTTTGCTTACTAACAGGAGAAATACAACTAGTGACAGTAAAATACTAATACCTAAAGTAACTTTTTCACCAGCTTCAGCTGGTAAATAAAATACTAATACACAAAGAAATGAAATTAATACTGTTGGTAAAATTAAATTAACTGTGTAAAACAATGTTTTTCGACGGATTATTATGTAAAATGTAATATCAGTCTCTGTTGGAAAATCTCCTTTGTAAACATTTAAATACGCTGGTACATTTATAATATCCCATGTACCACTTTTCCAATAATCCGATAAATCAACAAAATTTTTATTATTGTAAAGTGCTAATGAAACTTGATCTCCGTTAAATGTCCAAGAGCCAAACTTCATAACACATGTTTGTTGATCGAATGGGAAGTATGTTACGTCAATCGTACAAGAACTTTGATAAATAGCTGGTGGTACCCATAACACTTCTCCAGTTGGATAAATTAATACGTTACTTTTGTAACGAACTTCATAGTTACCATCAGCGCTGAAAAAATTTGAATAATTATTAGAATTATACTGATTTTTTAAATTTATATATAAATAACATAATTAGATATTTGACAACAGAATAACCAAATTTAATAATCAGTTGAACGTATGTAGTATGTAATTTTTAATTTGCATTTACTATCTAAAGAAAATAATTTGAATCATATTATTAATTATTCACTTGATGAAAAAAGTTTGCCCATATGTAGGTCACGAGCGATAGAAGCAGGGGAACTTCTTATTTGTAATTTGTAGATAGAGAAAAATTATGAACATTTTTTTTATCAGTGATAATACACACGGAAAAAAAAATTGTGGGAGAAATTACCCGTGTAAAAAAAGTCGTCTTAAAATTGTCTTAAAATTGTCGTTCGTTTAAAATCTTAAACGTGACACAAACTAAGACTATTTTAAGACTCTCTTAAGACGCCAAAAGAAAAATTCCGAGAGCAGATTTTTGAAAATTTTGTTCTCGAATTTGTTGTGAAAATTAATTTTTAGACGATTTTACGACTTTCTAACCGCAATATCTTTGAGTAAGATGTTTTTAAATTGAATTTAAAATTGTTAAAAAAATTATTATCTGACAATTTTAAGACTTTTTGAGGACGTTCCGTTTTAATGTTCCGGGACTCTGTCGCTGTTAACCCATCTTAAAATAGTCTAAATTTTTTTTTAAGATTTTTTTAAGACTAATTTAAGACAATTTAAAGACGCTCCATAATAACTTTCCGGAGCTGTCACTGTGATGTCATCTGAAAATAGCCTAAAAATTTTTTAATATCTAATAACTAGGTTTTGTTATTAGATTAACTAAAAAGTTTACGAACATTAAAGCCATCTTAACACTTTATATTGCGCTGGTACGTCCTAAGCTGGAATATGCTGCAGTGGTCTGGTCTCCTTTATATGCTAAGCATAAGCTGGAACTGGAAAAGGTCCAACGTAGATTTTTAAAGTACCTTGCTTACAAAAAGTATGGGATATATCCTGAAAGAGGCACAGAATATCATTCTCTCTGCTTGGATGCTGGGTTACTCACCCTGGAGGAGAGGAGGATCTGTGCTTCGATACTTTTTGTAAAAGGCCTATTCAATAGTAGCATAGAATGTCCTAGATTTTTGCAACAGTTTGCAATAGCAGTCCCACAAGCTAACACTAGGTCAAACCCTACGTTTTATCTTCATTCAGTCCATTCAAACCTGGCTAGAAATTCTCCACTTTACAAACTGATGTCTCTAAGTAACTACATATGTGACAATGATCAAATGAAATTAGACATAATGTGCTTTAATCAGCCCTTGACGGTCAGCGTGCTAGCAACCATTTTAGTATCTAAGAGAGCCAATTACGAATTTATAACCACCTGACGTTTTGACTTATGCATTTCCTATATAATTAATGTTACTAATCTTACTTACTATTAATACTATTTATTTCATAATGTTATTAATTTAATTTACTGGAATGATAATTTTTTTTTTTTTTTTGCATCTTAAAAGAGTCTTAAAATAGTCTTAGTTTGTGTCACGTTTAAGATCTTAAACGAACGACAATTTTTTTTTACACGGGTTTTTTTTTTTTTACACGGTGCTATATCTTCTCAATGTATACATTGAGAAGATATAGCATCGTAAAAATGCTTATTAAAGTGGTAAATATCCGAATTTTTAGAGTGCAATATATGTTATGTATAACTATATCGTAAATTTTAAAATGTAAAATTTTCAAAATGACCTTCAAAAATAATTTTGTTAATTGTTTGAAAGTAGAGTCCAACATTTTTTATGTAATAAAACATCGAAAAATATATATTTTCACATTATTCTGTCATTTTTACAGCGCATTTATGATACTAATCATTAAAATATTTAAACACACATTTTTTAATCAATTTTAAAGCTAATAATGTTAAGAAAAATTTTATGCCAGCCGAAAATCATTAATCAATTGTCTCTGACGATTTCTAGTTTGTTTTTCGATAGTTTACGTGTAAAAACAAACAATTAAAAAAAATTTTTAAATGTAAATTTCTTAATTTTTTTTACAATTTTTATCAAAACATTGACATTTAAAAAATAATTTTCTTTTTAAATTGTTCTATTTTTAATGAACTTCAAGAAAAAAAAATTTTTGATTATTCAAAAAAATTTTTGAAATAGATTGATGCATTATTTTACGATTATTTAGTTTTATAAAGTTATTGTTCCAGTTATGTTGTTGTCAATAATTGAAAATTGTTTATACACTTAGAACGATAAGTTATTAAAACAGACTCTCACTTGTTGAATAGTACGATATCGGGTTTCCAAACTTTATCAGGAGGTAGTCTTAGTACATTAATGCCTCCATAATCAGCCTCATCCCATTGGAGTTGATAATCATTCCATGTTAATCTCAACCATACATTCGATTTCATTATTTGACTTTTTTCGTTCTAAAATTGACAATGATAATAGTGGTTACTTAAAAATTGAATTAATTATGCATTTAAAACTTTCGTTTTATAAACAATGCAGACTGTATAACGAGAAGCTGCGACACGACAACAAACTATTGTTTCCGATGAAAGATAATGAATTATTCAGTTATACATGCTATTTGTCAAAGTTTCAGGAGATAAAGTAACATAAAACTAATTGTATTTGGTTAAACCTCATAAATATTAATAAACTAAAATACCAGAACGTTTTCCTTTCATATTTTGGATAGAATCTAAAAAATAGTCGTGGATATTGATTTTGTAATCAACCGGCGCAATCGAATGCGTACTAAGTATTCTATTATGATTGCATATATCAAAATATTTTAATTAGTAATAAATTTTAATGGTATCAAATATTATTAGTCAAATCGATATTAAACAAAGAGATTATTATTATTTCACGAAAAAAAAAAAAAAAAAAACACTTGATTAATTACATTTTATAGGGCAAATTATAAAAATTAGATCCCTCGAGACAACAACTGGAAAAATGAAAGGTTCAAAAAAAAATTTTCACAATTCCTGGTATAAGTGTAAAAGTGACATTTATACTTGTATTTTATAAAAATTTCATTTAATAGCGAAATTTTTACAGTTTTAAAATGTATGTTTTACAAACATTCAGAAAATTTTATTTTAAAACTGTAATTTTTCTATTTTTTGGTCGAGGAACTTACATACTAAAATTTGTAAAATTCTTAAAATTATGTTTGGTTTCATAACGAGAGTTTTAAAAAATTTTCCCACTTCTGAATAAAATTGCCTAATTGATTCAAGAGATACTTTTAGTATCTTTCAAACCAAATATATTCGAAATATATATTTCACATCTACGGAGATAAAAAATTAAATCGATTAAGTTTAAAGTTAAATTACACAAAATCAATTTGATCCAAGTAATTTTGAATGAAATGTAAATAAATCTTAGTAGATCAATTAAGATCTGAGTGGATCTATCTTAATTAAAATTAAAATTTATCTGAATAAATCAAATTAGATCAACGTAATTTGAGCTCAATTCATTAGATCTCAGTGAATTTTCAAAATTGTCATATTAGATCTTTTTAGATTATTAAAAAAAAATTTTTTTTTTCGATTATACTTTTAAATACCTAAGTTAACGCATATTTTTAGAAGATTATCTAGAAACGGTACACACATATTCTGAGTCAAAAATTTCCATTAATCGTGATATGAAATTGTGTTTTGAGTTTCTTAAATTTTTTTTGAAATAAATTCTAATGAAATCAGAAATTTTTGTGTAAATTTGCGATTAAAATTTTAATGATTAACAGTAACGAAAGACAGACATTGCATAAAAAAGTTTAAATTTTATCTCGCACTTTCATAACTCTGCAAATTATGATGAAATAAAGTTAATTAAAGCTGCTTACATATGCTCTTAATAAAAAATCTTTACATCGGCCGTAATTGTATGATAATAAGAATAAGCAATAACGTCTTATAACCAAAATTATTTAAAAAATTCATACCATAATTAGGCTTATTAATGTTTGCTTAATAAAAATAAACGATAAAAAAAATATTTTAATGTAGTTTAATTAATGCTTATTATAAAATAATAATAAATAAAAATATTACGATTAATTTTTAAATTTACCAAATGTTATTAAAATAATATCACTTATTAATGTAATCTTAGAAATATTAAAAAAGTTATTTTAGATTCTTTAATTTTACTTAATTGTTATTTACAAAAAATAGTAGTTCTCTTTGCACTGCATAGTAATTCTAAATAGCGATTAGGCACTAAGTTCAGTTACTTTTAGAAATTAAAATAAAACAAAATTACTTAGCATTAAAATAAGGAATTAGATTTAAAAAAAACAATAAGATAATAATTAGAATAACCATCAACAATTCATGGGAAATGAAAATTGAACGTTGTTATTATTTTATGGAACATTGTCAACTACGCTTCATTTTTTTTTTATACTAATTTAATTGACACATTTTTAATCAACTAAAATTCGCAGTGATATATTTAAAGAAGATATATCATTGTTCGAGATATTCAAAATAAGAGAAATATTATACAATAACGCTTTTAAAGTAATTCTTAAATTTTTAATCGCAGTAATATCCACTCATAAGTAAAGTGGAAATTTTATGTCTGAGAATATAATTTTTTTATTTTATCAGGATATGTGCTGTTGATAAAATTAATTCTACAGAAAGCTTAATAACACGAGAACATATCTTAAATCGTCTTATTTCGAATGACTAAACAGGCATTGAAGCTGCAGATGGTACATTACATTACGCTGTTGAAACCAGTAATTAAGATAAACTATAACAATGTGGAATGAGGGCAAACATTAGTGTCTGAACACAAGAAACATTTACACCTTTACTCTACTGTAATGATCAAATCTTCAAGCTGAGTATTTCTTAATAGTTTTTGTAAATAGACTTTTTCATAAACTTAAATATTGTTATTATTTTTGTGTTGCAATTTTCTAAAAATTTTTACATAGCTTGTAGGATATAATGAGGCATGTAATCACGATAACGTCTGTAATTTCCAATGAATGTCAATCAAATTTGGTCGTTTTATTTTTTGAAAATTTATCTCGAGAAAGTTGAAATATAAGCAAAATTAATTGATTAGTTTAGAAATGGTTGTGGTTTAATTAATAAAATAATTTTTTGGATTGGACGAAATCATAGGATGCAAAAAATTAAAAAATGATAAACTATAAAATTTCACATTAAAAATTGGGAACAATATTATAAAATAAATTTTACTTTACCACATTAATAAGTTGTACGAACGCAAGACCGAATTCAACATGAACTTTTTCCGTCATATTTTGGACTGGTCGAATAAGCTTGTTATATCCTCTAAACAAATCACGCACTAATCGTTCTTCATCTTCGGAGCATAAAACTAAAATAAATTTTACACATTATTATACTTACACGATTATTCAAGAACGATTTCATAAATTAAAACAATTTGTATTTTTTACGGGAATTTTTTTTTCACTCACCTACATAAAAAATTTTAAGAAATATGAACAGTATGAATATTTTTGATGAGTAACACATCTTGAGCATAGGGGAGTCACACCCCAACTGGCGTATCCTCGCGATTTGTGATGCCAGGACGTCGATAGCAGTTGCGATGCTCGAATCTCAGTTCAGAGAAAACGTCAAGTTTCTGTCTTACCATCTTGTGAAAACTTCTATTAATAACTTTTATTTTAATTTTTTTATTATGTAAATGATTTATCTCACTTTTTCTTCAAATTATGTTGATTCTAAAAGTATTTCTAAGATATATGTAACACTATTTTTCATATATTTGATTTATCTTAAAAATATGATTCTAAAAAATAAATCAGACATTTGAAGACTGTTTAGTATAGAATGTTGTCATTACATATTGCAAAGTATATTTGCGAGTAAATTAATATGAATAAAGTTTTTAAACTTTCCAAATTCTCCAAATACATATGTTTAAATTTATTATAAAATAAATATGAAAGCTATTCAAAGTTACATTTTTTTGAAAAAATTCATTAAATTAAAGTTTTAGAAATCCTTTTCTAAATAATTTTATAAAGCGTATGTTAATTTTATGTTGGTTACACTTTTAAAAAAAATTTTTGGAAGTTTTATTAATTATCTGATCTATTTTTTAATTTTCGCGCCATATTATGTTCTGAAAGTAAACACGAGAGGTATAATATCTTATTTTTTTTTTAACAGAACTTCCTGACTAAAAAACTATCTAAATTCAATAATAGTTTTCTAAAGTACAAGTTTGATTGCGACATTTTCCTTAGTTTCTTTTTTATGCGAATATTAATTATATTGATAGCTTAGTCAGTAAGAGAACATACATGGGTAAAAAAAGTATCTAAGCTAGCAAAAGGATCATCCGGCGCTGAGTAGATATTCCATTATCTGAATGTTGCATGGAGATAAGGTGAAATTTAAAAAAAGTAATAGAATACTTCATCAATTAATAATTAAAATAGACTAATTCCTTGACTCTAAGAAATTGACTTGTTTCAATGCGATTCATATATACACTCAGTCGAAGAATTGTACAAGCCAAAAAATTTCGAATTTTTTTGGTAATTTTTAAAAAGTCGCTATTTTGAAAATAATTTGAAACTACACATATGATATGATACTCAAATTGAAGCTTATTTGAAGAGATTTTAGATGCAATTAACAGATATTCAATAAGTTATCCCATTTAAAAGTTATTCGAGTAAGAAAATGAAGAAACGTGAATTTTTATGATTTTGAAAATTTTTAAATCCTGGCATTTCTAAATTACTTGACCGATTAAGGTCATCTTCGAACTTGACTTTGGTATCTATCTGTAGAATAAGTATGTTGAGTTTGGTGGAGATGCGTTGCTAATTGGAGACACTATCGTCCTGACAAGTCGCGTTATATCCCATATATATATATATATATATATAAGGTAAAAGCTCTGAACGCAAAATAACAGCGGGCGTACCACAGGGGTCCATTCTTGGACCACTGTTATTTCTACTATATATCAATGATATCCCAAAACATAATAAAATAACATTAACTTTATTTGCAGATGATACAGGGATGTTAACCACCTCCTGGTCTAAAGATGTAATAATTAAAAACCTTCAGTCACACATAAACATACTACATGAATATTACATTAAATGGAAAATAAAAATTAATGTAAATAAAACCGAATTTATGATATTTACGCATAAAAAGAAATCTCCCACCGAAATCCTTAAAATGAATGGACAAGAACTCAAAGCAACTGATGACGCGAAATATTTGGGTCTTATACTCGACCCTAAACTCACATTTAACAAACATATATCGACTGTAATTAGCAAAGCTAACGCAGCAATTTCTATTCTATACTCATTAATCAATAGAAACAGTAAAGTATCTGTAAGAAATAAGTTAATTATAAACACTATGTGCATAAGACCTATATTACTATACGCGACTTCTATATGGAGTAATACTAAAGGATATAATTTTGACCGCTTGCAGAAAATCCAAAACAAAATAATATGGATGGCTATAAATGCTAAGCCTCGTATATCTATCATAGAATTACATAAGCAAACAGGTTTGCCACTAATTAAAGATATCATTTATCGTCATACTATGAACTTCTATAATTCAGTCAAAAATTATGAATTCATGAACAATATATGCGGTGATATGAATATAAATCCATGGCATAAGTACAAAATGCCTAATCAAATGCTAATTGACCGTAATCAATTAGCAACTCTCTAGTCCTAGTTTTAAGTTTAGTATGTAAGAAACAACAACTACTGTAATTATAAATCTAATTAGGTTTTTTATAAACTTTTTTTCCTAAAAACAATAAATATCCTATATGTTATTTTTCATAAAATATGTAAAGCATAAACAAAACTATATATATTGAATGTGAGTAGAGACCAACGGTCAGAAATCATAAATACTGTAATAATTTTGTAATAACGATGTTAATTATATGATATCAATAAAAATCTTTTAAAAGCAAAAAAAAATAAGGTAAAAGCCCCAATAGATGATCACTCCATGCATTTGTATATCTATATTCATAAATATAGGTATACAAATACATGGAGTGATCATATACTGGTACATGATCATCTATTGGGACTTTTACCTTATCTTATAGGGAGGCGGGAGTACTGTATTAGTAAAATATCATAAAATGATGTTAGGACGACCGATGTTTTTGTTTAAGAATATGAATATTGAGGTGTTCAATGTTTTTCGAATGGATAGACTTCGAGATTTTTTTGATACATAACTTGGTTGCTGACAATAGTAGAGCATCACAATTAGGGACAATTATTTTTTGATTGTAATGCAAAGCCTTAACTTAAATATTATATCTATTAAATAATAATGATATTAAATGGTTTTTTAAAGTGATAATAAATTTTGAACTAATTGTTTATTTCGTACAAATAAAAGATTCTCTAAAATGGAGTTAGACAATTTGATAATTAGAGCATAGATATAATAAATTTATAATGAAATGGATTAGAACCATACATTATAATATACTTGAATATTTTAGACGTTATGAAATATTTGGTGGCCCTGAAAAGGGCCGTTTGGGTGATTTTGATTAGGTTATTTACTTGGAACTGGTGTACTTTGTGACGGCTTTTGTTCCTTCACTGACGGCGTGTTTGGCCAATTCACCGGGTAACAGAAGACGGACAGCTGTTTGAATTTCCCGGGAGGTGATGGTGGAACGCTTGTTGTAATGAGCGAGTCGTGAGGCTTCAGCAGCGATACGTTCAAAGATATCGTTGACAAAGCTGTTCATGATGCTCATGGCCTTGGAGGATACACCAGTGTCAGGATGGACCTGCTTCAGCACCTTGTAGATGTAAATGGCGTAACTTTCCTTCCTCTTCTTCTTACGGCCCTTTTTATCGGACTTGGTAATATTTTTCTGAGCTTTACCAGATTTCTTCACGGCTTTACCACTAGTTTTCGGAGGCATGATGATAATTGATGTTCAAAAATTAGATAGTTGATACTGCTAAAAATAGTAATGTTAAGCTCAAACAGTTGGAGAGCGACTGTGAATTACATTTTTCAGATTTTGTTTATAAGACAGAAAGGAAGGGAATTGAGAATGTATGAAACGCGATCGCGGCAAAGGGGGGGAGACTATCCGCAATCTGATTCGTCCGCATCAGCGAGCCAATGAGATTATAGCGATCCCTTCCTATTTTTTTCAATCCGGTCACTTTTACGCATGCTCCTACCAAAACCCTTTATAAGCGTTGGTACATAAAATTTTTTTTTAAATCTCACTAGAGTTCGCTCTGATCATTTAGTGTCGTTCAGTTTTACCTCTAACCTATTAAACATGTCTGGTCGTGGCAAAGGAGGCAAAGTAAAGGGAAAGTCCAAGACTCGCTCAAGTCGTGCTGGTCTCCAATTTCCAGTGGGACGTATTCACCGTATGTTGCGTAAGGGAAATTATGCAGAACGTGTCGGAGCTGGTGCTCCAGTTTACCTTGCAGCTGTTATGGAATACTTGGCTGCTGAAGTCTTGGAGTTGGCTGGTAACGCCGCTCGTGACAACAAAAAGACTAGGATCATCCCACGTCATCTTCAGTTGGCCATCCGTAACGACGAGGAATTAAACAAACTTCTTTCTGGAGTTACCATCGCTCAAGGAGGTGTCTTGCCCAACATTCAGGCTGTTCTCTTGCCCAAGAAGACCGAAAAAAGCAGCTCTTAAATAAAATTCTTTAAATTCATAACAAACGGCCCTTTTCAGGGCCACCAAATTTTTCAATACGTTGAAACTATCTAAGTTATGAAATACCTAAATAATAAATATATTATAGAAAATTCACATTACACAGTTTAATCTATAAAATTACTTTATGTTAGGAAATTCACATTTATTTATAAAGAACTATTTACATTATTAAATAACGACTAGAGTGTAATACATTAATCTTAAAATAATATTTACTATTTATAAATAGCTAAATCATTTTCATACACATACATCAAATTTAATGAACAATCTAATTCAGTACATTGATATTGTTCTTCACTTATTTTTCAGTTCATTATCTGCACAATTTGATCATTTTAAATAATCAATCATAATTATTGTGATAGTACTTGACATTCTTGTCGAGTAAATTATATAAATCCTCTACAATATTCATAAATTGAATTCCATTAAAAAATCATCAAATATAATTTGTATAAAATAATTATAACAATCTTAAAAGAAAAATATAAACTAATAATTAAAAGGAAAATGTTTATACATATCTACTCCAATTTTCAATCAATAACATTTGATTCACCATGATGAGATACATAACCTCAAAAAAATATAACACGAATGTACATAAGTATATATTTACAATGATAGAAATTAAATAGAATTATTACAATGTTCATTTTTTTATAACTCACTGTTATTTTTTTTTTTATTTTTTCATTTATGAGATAGGAACTCAGTGAGCTACTAAATAATTTTATTGATTCTTTCAGAAACTTATAAATTACAAGCATTTTAATTAAACATTGATGTTATTTATAATAAATTATCATATAGATTAATAATTGTATCGATAAATTAATATTTAAATACATCTTTTTAATCTGATACGTTGTTAGGCGTAATTTTATAGTGACAAATATATTTGTTGGTGAAAACGGATAATACACCCAATTTTATTAAAATATTATTGAATCTAAAATGACAAATTATTTTCAATGGATAAATTAATGATTCAATTATTCATTACAAATCTTAAGTATTTTTTATGAGATAATTTATGTTTTTCAGTTGTGTAGTAAGTAATTAACTAAAAACATTTTTCAACATTGGTCGATAATTTAGTAACAAGTATTCTCCTTGATTATTATTCATGCAAAAAATGTATAATCATTTTTCAAAAAAAGATTTATATATTATCAAAGAAAGAATCAAACATTAAATTTATGCTGTAAAAATTTGATGTATTTAATTTAATCCTTTCAAGGTAATGTATATGTCACGATGATTAACCTAAAATTTATATGTTGTATTATAGATGTCACATGTATTTAAATTTGCATATAAGTACCTGTAAATGATAAAATAAAAGTATAATTTTTATACTTGTGATTTCATCATATTTCGTTGTATGTATCTATTAAGCAAGAATATTTTTTTTTTATAAAAAAACCTAATTACATATTGTTATAACTTATAACCTTAATTTGTTTAATCTTACCTGTAAATTATCAACTTTTAAAATTAATTTATTACTTTACAATATTTACGCTTAAAACAATGTTAAAAGTACACATGGTTATTTGTAATTTGCCATACCATCATTTCTTTGGTAGTCATACTTACCATGCTTTGTTGCTTTTTTAATGTTAATTTTTCTTCTGTATAATAATTGAGCTAATATCATTTGTAAAATGCTTATGAAAATTATCTTTAGATTGCAATCATTATATTAATGCAAGTACCAAAATCTATAAGAATTTTAAAAAGTTAATAACAAATCGGCTTGTGATTTTCTTCGTATAAAAAATTTGTGGCCCTGAAAAGGGCCGTTTGGTTTGTAATTAGAAAAGTAAAACGACTTAAGCACGTTCTCCTCGGATACGACGAGCCAACTGAATGTCCTTGGGCATGATCGTGACACGCTTAGCGTGAATGGCGCAGAGGTTGGTATCTTCAAAAAGACCAACGAGGTAAGCCTCGCTGGCTTCCTGGAGGGCCATCACGGCGGAGCTTTGGAAACGCAGATCAGTTTTGAAGTCTTGGGCGATTTCACGAACGAGACGTTGGAAGGGCAATTTACGGATCAACAACTCCGTACTCTTCTGGTAACGACGGATTTCACGGAGAGCAACGGTACCTGGACGGTAACGATGGGGTTTCTTGACTCCTCCAGTAGCTGGCGCACTCTTACGAGCAGCCTTGGTAGCTAATTGTTTACGTGGAGCTTTACCACCGGTAGACTTACGAGCGGTTTGCTTGGTTCGTGCCATTGTGACTGAGCGAAGTACCAGTACAAGTTAATGCACAGAGAGAGACTCTAGACTGTGACAAAATTCCCCCGAATTGCCTTTTTGTCAACTTTTTCCAAGATGGCGCCTTTTCCTGACTCTTGCCGGGGGAAAGATAAGATTCTAACGATTTGATTGGTTGAAAGAGTAAAAAGAGGGGGAATAATCCCCGACACTAAACTACAACTGATTGGTTCAAAGCTAAGAGCGAGTGGTGGGAGCAAGAAAAATTTCAGCGGAAGGAGTAAGTCTAAGAAAGTAAATAAATATCTCCACTCGTTTGTCAAAACGCATTCTCGTCAGTGTTTTCGTTGTGGTAACATTGCTTAAACTCATATTTCATTGAAATGACTGGTCGCGGTAAGGGAGGAAAAGGATTGGGTAAAGGAGGCGCCAAGCGTCATCGTAAAGTTCTTCGTGATAACATCCAAGGTATCACCAAGCCGGCTATCCGTCGTTTGGCTCGTCGTGGTGGAGTCAAACGTATCTCTGGATTGATCTACGAAGAAACTCGTGGTGTTCTCAAGGTTTTTCTTGAAAACGTCATTCGTGATGCCGTCACTTATACTGAACACGCCAAAAGGAAGACAGTTACAGCCATGGATGTTGTTTACGCATTGAAGCGTCAAGGACGCACTCTTTACGGTTTCGGAGGTTAAGTTTCACATTCATTCGTCAAAAAAATAAACAAAACGGCCCTTTTCAGGGCCACCAAATTTTTTACACGAAGAACGTCTTTCATGTTTGTTAAATACGATTATCTATCTTAATTGCAATTAAAATATCCTTATTAGCTGACACACCTTGGGGCAGTCAAATGTATAATTTCACGGATACTCTTCCATCTCCCTATAATATTTACTTGTTTATTAGGAAGGTCACATTCATATACCTAAATACCTAAACGAAATCAAAATATCGACGCTGTTCAAGTAATTCCTAATTAGTTTTGTGTCTCAGAACTGATAACAATCAGTTTCAGTAACTACTGGACATGATATGTTTTAACATTTATTGTGACTGTTTTTCTCTAAATTTTAATTACCAAAGTAATAATAATAAAATATGCAATATAAATTCGTGTTTCAACATTATCTAAATCAGGGTGATGACTGAACACTAATTTCAAAATTCCATGACTTTTCCCTGACCAAAAATAAAATTCCAGAACCTACAAAAAAATAATTGTTATTCAAATATTCATTATAATTGCAAATCATTTTAAAAATAATTTTTGCATACTAGAATTCATATCTAATATCCAAAATTGAGTAAAAATTTGGAACTATAAATGTTATAATTTTTTGCAGATTTTCAACTATTCAAAAAAGATCAGTTTCTTTTGAAAATTAAATTAAATAATTAAACTTTTGAAAATAAAATAATTGATATTATGACTATCATTAATCATTTAGAAGTTATACTTCTTTTTTATTATTAATTATCCATACATTTAGTTTTTTGAATATTATTGATCACAAAAAAGAAGAAATATGAATTAAGAAATTAAATAACATCAATTAATATTAAAAATTATCTGCAGTACGATTTTTAGAATGCTATAGAAATAATTTATTATTTCTACAGCATTCTAGTTTATTTTTTAAAATAAACTATAAATTTTCCTGACCGAAGTTAAAACTCCCTGACTATTCCAGAAATTTCAAATTCCGTCATTTCCAGGTCAATCGCCACCCTGTAAATGAGCGTGTTCAGCCGAACTAAGTCCTGAGTAAACTTAGTAAGATATGTATAGTATAGTAGATAGATATATGTATAGCAGGGAATGCTTTGACTATACTTAGGCTAACTAAGTTTACTCAGGACTTAGTTCGGCTGAACACGCTCAATATCTTGTAAAAAAATAGCATCTATTGTTCCTGAATTTGTAGTTGGTCTGTTGAGATTATTATACATCAATCATTGATGCATTACCATCTATAGTTCTAATATCTAACTACTAAATGAATACATCAACCAATAGCGTGTATTTTTTCTCGATCTCCCTTTCTCTTTCGCTCTCTCTCACTCGCTTACTCCCTGCTTTCGCTCCATGGCTATGTGCTGCATACTATACGTTCGCCCTTTTTCACTCTCTCCCTCTTGGACAAAAACGTTTCACATTTTCGTGATGCTAATATTATTATTATTGCGTTTTATCCGTAAAAATTTTACCCTCATGCGCGCAAAATTTTACTTCACAAAATATAGTTCCAATATATCATCAAAAATTTTTATAAGCAAGTCAACATTCAAGCATAATTTAAAATTGAAAGTAGTTTACGTTTTGAAAAATTTGGTTGGCCCTGAAAAGGGCCGTTTATATAATTTTTTTTTAATGATTAAATAAAAAGATAATGGTCTTATTTCTTAGCTGCAGCTTTTCTGGCAGGAGCTTTCGTCGCTTTTGGAGCAGTAGCTTTCTTGGGCTTCGGCGACTTGGGTTTGGCAGTCGGAGCTTTAACAGCTTTTTTAGCTTTTGGTGCAGCAGTAGTTTTAGGTTTCGCTGAAGCTTTAGTGGTTGCTTTTTTAGCTGACGCCGGTTTCGTAGTAGCAGCTTTTTTGGGTCCAGTTGTCTTCTTCACTGAAGCTTTCGTTTCACCAGGAGTCTTCTTGGTTGCTGGTTTCTTGACTGCAGCTTTTTTCGTAACTGTTTTCTTCTCAGCGGAAGCTGCCTTGGGCTTCGGCTTGACTGCAGCTTTGGTGATTGGAAGCTTGAAAGATCCAGACGCACCTTTGCCTTTGGTTTGAACCAAAATTCCCTTGACAACAGCCGACTTGAGGAACTTCTTTATGAACTGGGCCTGCTTCTCGACATCAACTTTGTAAGTTGAAGCGATGTACTTCTTGATAGCTTGAAGCGATGATCCCTGGCGCTCAGCAAGATGTTTGATAGCAGCCTTGACCATGTCAGCGGTGCTAGGATGAGTTGACTTGGTAGCTGGTTTTTTAGCCGTGACTGCCTTCTTAACAGAATCAGTTTTAGCGGCGATCTTCTTCTCCACTGGAGATTGCGCGACTTCGGTATCAGTCATCGTGAGGATGATTATTCTTTATAATAATGAGATAGTACGCGGATTAAAGCTTCTATCAACGGCCGTTATGAAATGATGGCGCCAAAAAACTCACGCGGTGTCCAGGGATTTTACGCGGACCGTGGAGAAAGATTACTCTTCTTATTACCTAACTCTTGTCGATAAATTCTATTCGGCGGTGTTCGAACATTGTATTAATTTGTTATTTTTTTAATATATATTGATTAATTTATTTACAAAAATCATTTTTTCTTACATTAAAATGTTTAAAAATTACTTAAAAAAAAATATTTCTTTTAACAATTGACAAACAGCAAGTTTTATTTAAGTTTATATAAGACACTACAACTCCGAAAACGATGGACGTAACTACAATATTGTTAATAAACAATTAAATAATTATTCAATTTCTGCGAAAATGATTTTATATAACTCTCTAATGTTCATTGCTACGGTATAAATTTTAATAATTACCAAATATATGTTTGTTTCAGATATATGAGCGATTATAATCGGCTTCCCCAAGCCAACTCGCGGATTTGATATTATAGCAGGCCATTATTTTTCAATTAGTGAAAATTATCATTAACATATAAAATAATAATAATTATTAGTCTTTATTAAATAAAAACCATTAAACTTTTAAGAAAAATATTTAATTTGAAAGTGAAAACTATTTTATTATTAGTACTCATCTGTTGTGGTTTCTCATCGGGTTCTAACTATGACTGCCACTGTATTCTACTATCAATGCAATTCCGTAATGAATTTCAAGTCATGTAATATATACTTTTTGATTAACTTTAAATTAAATTGGTTTATTATTGCGTACATATTTAAAACCAGCGATTCGGTTAATTTTTAAGTTATAAAATGTCCAGATTGAAACACTGAAATAATTAATTTATTTTTTTTAGATAGATTTCATAAAAATCTATTTATTCCATTAATATTTATTACTCAATATCTCCGAAGAAGTCAAGTAAGGTTTGGAAACAAAAGTGAGCAAAGAATTTATGTACGTATGTGTACGGTGATAAAAAAAAAAAAACTTGATTCAAGAGAAGAAATCTTGAACCAAAAAGATCATTTTGAAGAGCTTGATAATCTTAAATCAAACCGAAAAATGAATTTTATTTTATTTCTTGATCAAGACAGCTTAGAATTTGTATTTTCATTTTGTTACGTTTCGATCAAGTTAATTTATTTCTGCCCTAGTATGTTTCAACCAATAGACCAAGAACGTAGAAGTATGGAGGAAAGTAATGATGTGTCAGTTTTTAAAATTACTATATACTCAAAATTAATTATATGAAATAGATTGTTGAACATAAAATTAGCTTAAAATAATTAAATCTTTCACTAAACTATCTAATAACAGTAGATTATAACGCCCAAAATTACATATGAGAATTATGAAATTATTGATGGTACCTGAAGATGTTCCGTTGTCACACGTGGTTGCCTTGATTAATTTTCAAATTATTATTTATTCGTGAGTTGATATTTTATTTTCATACGATTAAAAATTTTAATTTTGTTTCATAAATTTACTTTAATTTTACTTTGACACGATGATTGACACACTGAATATTTATTAACAACGCTACACTGATAAAAAATTTAACTTGACTGAAGAGCAAGAATCTTGAACCAAGAACACCAATTTGAAGAAAATGAATTTCTTGAGCCAAGAATAAAAATTCTTGAGTAAAAATATAATTCTTGGTTCAAGAAAATATATCTTGGCTCAAGAAATTCATTTTCTTCAAATTGGTGTTCTTGGTTCAAGATTCTTGCTCTTGAGTGCGGGGGTGAGTGTTAACAATTAAATTTTTAAATTTCCGAGCTGTAGCTCCTATAGGCTCCAAATTTGGTAAGAATCTGTTTTATGGAATGTAGAAATGATTCAAGAGCGGATTCAATGACAGCCTACCCCCAATATGGATTGCGGGGGTGGGCGTTAACGATGAAAATTTTAAATTTCCGAGCTATAGCTTCGACAGACTCACAATTTTGTATGAATTTTGTGTAAGTGATGTAAAAATAATTTATGAACGAATTTTACGATATCCCTCCCCACAGGGGGTTGCGGGGGTGAGTGTTAACAATTAAATTTTTAAATTTCCGAGCTGTAGTTCCTATAAGCCTTAGAGGAAAGAACAATCGGCCCGAGCTTGGCCAAGGCTTGGCGCAATGCTCATTAACTCTGGGACAAGCTTGAAATCCAAGCTTGGCCCAAGTCCGTCTAAGCATACAAATGATAACTTCCTGCCAAGACTGAACATCAGTACTGTGCCAAGACTGAAAATAAGTATTGTACCAAGACTGAGAATAAGTATTGTGCCAAGACTGAAAATAATTATTGTGCCAAGAAGTTAATTTCTAATGTATATACATCAAATTTGTGATAAAAACTACAAATTGATAAAAAATAGCAAATTTTTAATTTTAGAAAAATATAAAGTTGAAATACTTCAATAACATTTTAACTACAGTGATAAAAAATTTAACTTGACTCAAGAGCAAGAATCTTGAACCAAGAACACCAATTTGAAGAAAATGAATTTCTTGAGCCAAGAATAAAAATTCTTGAGTAAAAATATAATTCTTGGTTCAAGAAAATATATCTTGGCTCAAGAAATTCATTTTCTTCAAATTGGTGTTCTTGGTTCAAGATTCTTGCTCTTGAGTCAAGTTAAATTTTTTATCACTGTAGTTAAAATGTTATTGAAGTATTTCAACTTTATATTTTTCTAAAATTAAAAATTTGCTATTTTTTATCAATTTGTAGTTTTTATCACAAATTTGATGTATATACATTAGAAATTAACTTTCTTTGTTGCTGTAAGATGGACAGCGGTGTTTTCGGCCCAACTCACTTTCCCCCTCCCCTGCGCTGTTAGTATGCCCTGGGATGGGATAACAGTGATGGTTAGTAGCATAAAATTAAAAAATTTGCTATTTTCTATCAATTTGTTGTATTTATCACAAATTTGATGTATATACATTAGAACTTTATATTTTTCCGAGCAATACACTTTTCTTGGGACATTTTTATGATCGACACCTTTGGAGATCTTGGACACGAGAGAGAGAGTCTAGGCGAAAATCTTCAAGGTTTCAAATATTTAGGTATTTCCAATTTGCACTAATTGGAGGAAAATAGTGTCCAATGAAGTTACCTATTTCTTTGAGCCCTCACCCTTTCTTTTTTCCGGAAAAGGTCGTTTGGGCTCCCTATTCAGGTCAAGGTACAAACTTTTTGTCTCACTCACTCTTATGTGCTATTGCATATCTAAGTGTTTGTATACACGTGAGCATATTTACGCGTATACAAAGACATATGCGTATGGTTTAATAATAATTTGAAACATATAAATATTGATGTCTTTAAATGCAAGATCCTTCTCCTTATTTATTGAAAATTTTCAATTATTATTATTACATTCATTACATATTAGTTTAATTATTAATATTTGTTTATATAATATGAAATTATTATTAATATTCGATTTTTATCATCTGAAATTATTTAAACGAGTATTGTCTGAAATTATAGTTAGAGATTTTATTTTGGTATTAAAATTCTATTAGTTATTTCAAAATTTTTTTTATTTGAGATAGATACTCTTAACTATTGTTCACTGTCATTGCAATGCTTAAATGTTTTTTATTTTAAATTTAAATGAGTTTATTTACAAACAATAAAACTCCTATTTACCTATCTGGAATTCAATTCCATAAATTTATTTGGGCTTCAGACTGATTATAAGAAAAAAATTCTTGAAGCAAGTCAAATTTACTCAAATCAAAAATTTCTCTACTTAACTTAAAACAATAAAGCTGTTCGGTTTTTTTGGTTCAAGAATTTTGCTCTTGAATCAAGTTAATTTTTTGTTCAGTGCAAATAGATTGATGAGATACTTAAGGAGCACACTCTAATATTATTTAATTTTTGTTTTAAAAAAAATAATCAAATAAAATTTTCATGAACTTTTCAAGCAAAAAAAAATATAAAAATGAATATGACGTAATCAGAAACCAATAAGCTACCGATAGTAATCTGTCTTTCAAATTTACGGGCATTCTTTTCCAAGTCGACATTCTTTTATAACAATGAATTGCTTACGCTAGAAATATAGAAAGAAGTTTTATCGGAACCAAAAACTCCGAAATCATTATTTGAATCATTAAATATTCTTTTGTCATATTTATTTCGATTACAGGTTGAGTGTCAACAAAACATGACAATGCGGCTAAACAAGCTCATAATTTATTTATGGTATAAATATTATGGGCAGCCGACAAGTAGTTACTAGTCAGGGTTTGCTCATTCAGGAAGTAAATTTCAAAATGAATAAACTTATAGCTTTAGTGTTTATTCAAAATTTTGTATCTAGCCAAATTCAAATACCTCCTAAAAATAATTTGGCTTTGTTTAACAACATGATGGTAAGTCAATATAAAAATATGGTATTTTAACATTTTTAATAATTATAAAGTAATATAATATGATTACTAATTAAAATTTTTATTTATTATACATATAATTTTTTAAAAACAAGAGAGATTTGTTCAATAACTGCAGAGCGGAATTTAGAACCATCGGATTTTGGGGTCACGACCAAATTTTTCCAACCGACGATAAGGCTGATATTGTTTTGCTGAATAAAAATGAAATGTTAAAGGAACCGTCAACCAGGCGGATAAAATTTCTGGTGGCAATTCTTGGAGAATTCAATCCTGATCCTGAAAAGACTTTGTTTGAAGTGATGCCGACTCTTGAAATAGAAACAATGTTTGTTTTTGACAAAAACAATTCAAATGAAAAATCCATGGACAGCATATTTGATTGGTTTCAAAATAGATTCGAAAATTCGAAATTTTATTACTGCACTGCGACAGAAGGAAAAATTGATATAGTAACTTTTAATACTTTCGCGGATGTAGCTCCAGCATTCTGGGCCAAAATTGGAGAAGTTCAATTTCCAGATGACGATGGAGATTGGAGCATTTTCAAAGCCGAATATACTGAAAACACTAAATATATTTATGGTAAATCTAAAAAAATCACTGATTATATTATTTTTCCAATGAAAATGAATTATTTAATATAAAAAAATTATTGTTTCCAACAGGTTCCGAGCTTTGCGAAAATATAATCTTCGATCGGACTAAAAAATTACATGGCTACAAAATAAAAGTCTCAGCAAAACTACAAAATTTTTCCGAACCAAAACTTGTCGTCCTAAACGACTTAATCACTAAAGACACTGATGTGTTACGAGTTACATCTATGCTGTTTCCAATGCAAGGATTATTCAGTAAATTCTTAACGAACTATTTAGACGTATCGGTCAATATTACTCATGGCATGCCATTATATCGCGGCGTAGACACCAGCGTAATGATAATGGATGGAACTTTAGATTTGGGTCTCACACCTACTCATTGGATAGCAAAAGATAGGTTCTTTAAATTTTCGACCTATTTTCATCTGCCATGCCCATCACTATTTTATTATAATATAATAGTGACCCACAATCGCGAAATGTCACCTCTGGAAAAAATATTCGAATTTTACGGGTGGCTGACCATCATTGTAACTCTCATCATCATCTTCATTGCATTCATTGTTATTTATTTATTAAACAGTGAATCTAACTCTAGTTTATCTTTTACCGTCTTCGAGTGCCTGAGGTTGCTGATTGGTAGTTCTATCTACACGCGCATGGATTCTGATAATACGCGAATAGTTTTTTCTGTTATATTTTTATACTTCCTGATCATACAGGCAACTTTTTTTGGACACCTCGCGGCTTTTTTAACAAAACCTGCGTACAGAAAAAATGTTGAGACTCTAAAAGATCTGAAAGATCCTTATTACACTGCAATTTATTCACATGTTGGGGGTCAAAGCTACATCACGGACCCGGTCTTGTTGAATAAAACTAAATTTGGCGATTTTGAGTGTGGTGATTATATCAATGATACTTCTATCGCTTGTATCGATGCTAAATCTAATTTGAAGTATTTGGTGGCTGAATACAACTTGCATACACCAAGGAATTTTATTAAGTTCAGCTACGCTTCCCTGACAATGCGTCATAATTGGGCCTTGAGACATCGTGTTAATAATCTGATTATGCGTTTAGCACAGTCTGGAATTACGGAATTTTGGGAAAAAAAATTTGAGCAACCTCTACACGAAAAACTCAAAAGAAAACATGATATTGAAGAAAACTTCCACCGACCCATAAGTGTAGCAGATGTTATGTTCGCTTTTATTCTACTTTCCGTCGGTTTATTTTCCGCATTTCTTTCTTTTGTCGTAGAATATTTATTAGAAATTTTTACAACTATCAACATGTTTACAAGATAATAAAATTTAAACTGCACTTTAAAATCTGCAAATAATGTTTTTCAGATTTTCGTTCGTATTTAAAGAAATCTATAGACTGATAATATTTTTTTTTGCTAATTAAACTTAAAAATTCTTCTATATAACTTATTTCTAATGATTTGACCAGTATTAAACCGGTAACGATTTGTCGCCGAGTTTTCGATCAAAGCGAAAAATTCCTTTTTGATTTTGACAATTAATTACTTTGGAAGTAAGGGTGGTACAGAAAATCTGAATAGAGTTATAGAAACAGTAAGGTACTCTTCAAGAGGAAACTCTCTGCAAATTGTAAATATTAGTTTCTAATAAAAACAAATTCCGAAGCGAAATTTTTAATAGAAAGACAGGTAAAAAATTATATGATTAGAAACGTTCACATACTTTCGGCTTAAACTAGATTTTTATATGTATATTTTTTTTTTTTGAAAATTAAATGTATTGAGAAGCTGAATATTTAAAGAAAATTAAATAACTTATATAAATTAATCTAAGTTAATGTTATAAATGTAATATTTTTTTTTTTGATAATATATATTGTCAATAAATTATTTTAAAATAAAAAATTGCATAACTCCAATTAAAAATAAATAAAACTAGCATACACTATACAATATTGTGTTATTATTTGTAATGTTACAAAAATTCTACCATCCACTTGGATTAAAAAGTTCTCAAATGGATAGAAGTTCCAAAAAAATGATAAAAAAACATTTCAAAGAAATCAAAGTACTATTTAAAAATTCTCATAAAGTTTTTTTTTTTTAAGTTAATAATAAAAACTAAAAAATAAAGTTCCTATTCGATTGTTTAAAAAGTTTTGAGCAAAACACTGAGAATAGAAAATTTTTTTGTAAATTCAAGATCTTTTGGATTGGTCATCAAAAAAATCGAAAAATTGAAAAATATCCACCGGAAAAGTTTTTTCAAAAGGTATAAAAAAAATTTAGAAAGAGTGAAAAAAATACAAATAATCGGGATTGTTGAAACAAAGGCACTGGTAAACAAACACCACATCAAGCATGGAACCTATTGATGAGATATGATACAGATATGGGAAATTTCGAACCAAAACCTGTGAACGTCATTGATTGTGGGCACAATCCTCATTCAATTATTCGCATTCATCATTTTATCAATCTAGATACGTTAAATTAAGCGAACACCAAACAGAAGATTAAAAATAATAATTTTCGTAATATGAAATAAATTAAATTACACAAAATGCTAATGTTTACAGAATTTATTTATTCCTTTCCTTTCATTATAATCCAGTATTGAATAAATCAATCAATGAAAGAATATTTTTCAATTGTTCCGGATTCTGTTTAATTGTTTATATAAATAATAAATGTTTAAATGACGGCATTTGAAATCGAATGAAATCGAACTAGGAGTACAAAACGTTTGAATTTACATCTTCCTCACCCACTGGAAAAAATTAAGTAATTTTATAAATTTTATTTCACTTAATGTTCATGTAATTGTTGAGATTACTTTAAATGTTCATCAGCGACCGTAACCAATTTGGCGCCGAATATTAATTTTTTTTCAAAAACTAAATGCCAAAAAATTGCTCATGAATTGCTCTTCCGATATAAACAATTGCTCCGCTGCTATAATTAATAATTAATTAATTAATCGTAATTAAAAAATCAAAATTTAATTCCCGATTATCTCTAATTGTGAGGACTAATGTTAATTGTAATAAGTGCCAAAAAATTGCTCATCCTTTTTTCTACTGGGAATGATAGTTATTTTGTGCGTAAAATCGTTTTTAATTAATTAATACTATAAATAATTATATTGCACCTTTAAACCTGCGAATGACAATTGTGACGTCATCGTCGCGCGACAATTTGATTGTCGTTCTTATGAGACAAGCTATAGTGATGTATTAAGTTACATGCGTATATGTCCATGTAAACAAACTTTTTATAGTTATTCTATTTAGGCTCAATGTTTAATTATGAAATAATAATTATTTTTATGATGCTGAAATTATTGGATTATTGAATTACAGGACAGTGTTTCAGATGCATTAAAAGTAGAATCATCCCTTTACTGCAGGTCGTGTTCACAAAACTCTGTCCAAAAATCTACTTTTACTAATGTATTTTTAAGCTTAGACATAAGTCATTTTTATATACCTTCGACTTCTCTCAAAACTTCATAATAATCAACGTTTAACCGAGAACTTAAGTAGTATTCCAACAAAATTAAAGATACTTGACAAAAATTACTTATTATTTGGTGTAGTAGAGTTTGTCCCACCAGTATATTTGAATAAAGTCGGTCATTATGTAGCTTATACAAGATCGATCAACAATAATTGGGTAAAAATTGATGACTTTTGGTTTAAAAACCTAACCCTTGTAATTCTAAATTAACTAATATTAAAATTTTATTATTACTTTATGTTTTAAGGGGTTATATTCACTTGTAATTTTGAAAAAATCGAAATTTTTTTGCATATTTTAACATTGAATATGAATCTGAATTATTATTATTTTTATTTTTTTTTTAAAGTACATTTAAAGACAAAAATTTCAAAAAAAAAACATCCCAAAAAGTCAATTTTCAAAAAAGTTATGGTTATTTAACAAAAAAAAAGCTGTTTTTTTGTAATAACTCGTAACTTTTTTTTGGTTGGGTAAAAAAATTTGAAAAAATTCTGAAAATTGTTTTCAATAGGGTAGAGAAAGATACCAAAATTTCAGAAAAATCGAAAAGGGTCGGTGTCAAAAGTGGTCGATTTGGCATGGAATGCCCCATATATATATATATTCGAGAATATTGTCTGTAAATTTCAAAGTAATCCGGTAAATAGTTTCGGAGTAATGAGCGTATTTGTAAAGACGTCTCCGAGCGTATGAAAGTAGTTTAAATAATAGCCAAAACTTCAAATGCGTTTTTCTCGAAACGATGTTTTCAAAGTCGGTGAGGAATATATATATTTTATGTATATATTTAATTAAAAGCCTCTCCAGAAAAAATAAACAAAAAAACACATTTTTTCGAACTTACAAGTGGGCATAACCCCTTAATTTGATAATATCTATTATATTTTAAATATTTTAAAAACTGAATTATGGTGAAATGAAATAAAAATAAAGAATTGACCTGTATAGATAAAATTATTTTTTTTGAATTCATACACAAATAATCCTAAAAAAGTTAATTATTTAATTAGCAATTTGTAAAATTAGTTACTAATATTTTTTTAACATGCGGACCTTTTCCGAGTCAATATTAAATAGGACAAACAAAACTGACTTTCTTTATTAGTATAAGATATTTCATAAAAGAAAATTTACTGTATACTTTCAAATTGTCGCGACGATGACGTCACAATTGTCATTTGCAGGTTTAAAGGTGCCATATAATTATTTATAGTATTAATTAATTAAAAACGATTTTACGCACAAAATAATTATCATTCCCAATAGAAAAAAGGATGAGCAATTTTTTGGCACTTATTACAATTAACATTAGTCCTCACAATTAGAGATAATCGGGAATTAAATTTTGATTTTTTAATTACGATTAATTAATTAATTATTAATTATAGCAGCGGAGCAATTGTTTATATCGGAAGAGCAATTCATGAGCAATTTTTTGGTATTTAGTTTTTGAAAAAAAATTAATATTCGGCGCCAAATTGGTTACGGTTCATCAACGCCATACGATAGTTGTTTCTAATGTATAATTTTGTTACCGACGCTCGCTCTTTTACTGGCAAAGCCTGTTGCATACAGGTGACAGTATATTATTTTAAGTGAGAAAAAGAAGGTTAGAAACCATATAAGTAAGTATGATAGTAATATTATTATTATTCATTCAATGTAAATTATACAACCGGTTTGTTTATTTACTAAACTTTTTGTTTCCTTTTAAAATATAGATTAAATAATAAAAAGAATATCAAATATTCAAATATACAAATAAAAAGCTGATTCTTTACATCGTCAAACAATTTATTGATGTAATTATTCGGTGAGATATGTTTTTTTATATAAAATATTAATATTAAAAACAACAACAATTATGATACTGAATTTAACAGATATCCAATAATTTTTATAATAATTAAATTATAAAGAAAAAAATTTACCGAAAAAATTTCACGTGTAGAAGATTTGAAAAATTGTAAATGCTAATTTTTAAAAATATTTTTTTTATAATGAATTTTTTATAAAAATTTTAATAATTGTCAGATGTCTGCTAATTTCAGTGTCATCAAAAATTATATGGTTATGTTATTTTTTTATTAAAGCATGTTATGAATATCACTCAATTTTTTAAAATTAACAAAAAAAAATTTTTTTCCAGTACATAAAAAATGTCCAAGGAAGCCAAAATAGCATTAAAAGAAATCCGAAGTTGTTTGGATGAACACCAATATGTTGAGGCCATGAAAAAATGTCAAAAATTATTAAAAACCGATAAAAAAAATTACATGGCTCTTATACTGCTTGGAGCAGCTATGAAAGATATTGATCAGTATAAATCGCAAGCACCTTTGGCTTATAGAAAAGCCATTGACTTACAGCCAGATAATCCATTAGCCTGGCGAGGACTGGTCAAGTTTTATGAAGGACAACCTGGGAATGTCGAAACTTGGCGTGAACTTGTCCCAGCTTACTGTAAATTATTAAAACTCGATAGGTAAAAACAGTTATTAAATCAATTTATTAGATTTTATAATTTGTTAGTCACGAATTGACAATTTTGCTCCAAAAAATTCTACTGAACAGAAATCTTCAGTTAGTTAAAGTTACTATCAGAGAAATTCTATTTTTAGATAAATAACATGAAAATATATTTTTTTTAGTGACGTTCAAAAGAATTTAAATTACTTGGATCAACTGTCACGTTTATCAATCATTTTAAATGATAATGGAATTTTTGATGAAGTTATTGTTCTTATATTAGAATTAAAAGAAGATAAGGATAAAAATGAATTGTACAAAATAGATGAACTATTAATATCAATGATAAATGGATTTACAAATGCGCTTCCAAAATACCACGAATTATACAAAAATGTATTACTCTCATCACTTGACAAGGATATATCTTCAAAGCATTTAGAATATTATAAAAACTATTTAAAATTATTGTTTTCGGAAAAAAATTATTCTGGATTATTTTCTGCTGCAACCCAGATGAATCTAAAATATCCTCGTGAAATGTATCCATTAGGTAAAGAAATAACCGATTTCAGTTATTTAATCATAGTTTTAATTATAATTCTGTTCATAAATCATAACACTTGATTTTTATTTTTTAACTATTGTTTTAGAATGGATCTGTCGTGTTTACGCTGAACAGATTGTTTTAGAAGATTATGAAACTGTTCAAGACATTGCGATTGACTTATACTATCAATCACTATTTGATCTTAACTCTGATTCTTATTTGGCTATTTTTGCAAAAGCAATGCATTATTGGCTGAAGGATAATCTTATCGAATCAAGGGATTTGCTTTATCAAGCAATAGCATTACATCCTAAATTACTTTTCGCTTGGATTGCGTTAAGCAATGTCAATTCAAAGTTACATTGTTGGGCAGAAGCAGAAAATGCAGCGGAAAAATCATTGCAACTAATAAATAAAAATTCAAAAATAATGATTGAAAAACTTAATTTACAATTGATTGAATCATTAGCGAGGAGTGAAAGTAAAAAAAAATGGGAACAAGCCGCAGAAAAATGTAAAACGGTAAGTGATAAAAATTATTATTTTTAATTATTTTTGTTATTTTGTAATTTACATTAAAATTTTTTCAGTTACTTGAAAACAATAATTCATTGAAAAAATTAAAATTACTTTATGCTCGAGTTCAAATTCTTCAAGATATTCCTGAAGCCTTTACTCTTTTGAAAGAACTAGAAAATGATCCAGAAACTCATCAAGAAGCACTAGTAATTCGTGCATTGTATTTGAAAAATCGAGAATCATTTGAAGAAGCTATTGATGTTTTGGGAGCAATTTTGGATACTTCCGAAGCTTGGTTAATACTTGGTACAATTTATTGGAAGATGTCCAATTATAGCCATAGCTTGATGGCCTTCTTAAAAGGTATCCATGCAGATCCAAACGACTGGGAATGTTTAGTCTATCTTGGGCATTATTATCGTGAACATGGTAATGATCTTGAAAAGTCAAGAAAATGTTATCAAAAAGCGTTAAGAATAAATCCTAACTCCGAGGAAGCTGGCTCTGGTCTAAGTACAGCTTATAGACTTTTAAAAAATACCGTAAGTACATTTTAAAAAATTTTACATTTTACCAAGTAATTGTATGAATAGTTTTAAAATTAAATTATAATTTTAGGAAGCAAATATGCAAATGCTTCAAAGAGTAACAACTGAGGAAGGAGGTGGTCCAAAATGGGCATGGCTGCAATTGGGTCTTCAGCAATTAGATCAAGGAAAAATTGAACAAGCCATCAAATCACTGCGATATGTTATTAGAGCAGATCCCAATGACAAGTAAAATAATATAAATATGTGTAATCATTAATCTTTAATCGATTAATTAAGCTCGAGTAATTTATTTATTTAGTCACTGTTGGGAATCACTTGCTGACGCTTATTGGGCCCGTGGTGCACACACGTCGGCATTGAAATCTTATCAACGTGCCCTAGACTTGTCGCCTGGTTCTCTTTATCCAATGATACAACTTGCTAATATTAAATTAGTAAGTTTTTAATTACAAGCAGAGTAATGAGTAGTTATTAGAAAAATGAGTACAAAACAAAAAATTTCAGGTTCTCGGTCGACATGATGAAGCTAAAGAAGCTTTTATTCAAGTTCTAAGCCAAGAGCAACGTTATATACTAGCACTGAAAGGGTTAGCAGAAACTTGTTTAGGTCTTGCAAAAGAAAGTGCCAGTAAACAATTACTTGGGCGTGCAAGGAGAAATTGTCAACAGGCAATAGATTGTATTACCGACGCTATCATTGAGAATAGTAATTTATCGTGTCTTTGGAAGCTCCTTGGCGATGCTTCTTACAGGGTTGCAATTTTACCGGAAAAATATTGTTACGTTGAAGTAACTCCAGGATTAATTAAATCAATGAGCGAGAAATATCGAATTACAATCCATCAAAGTGAACTTTTTACTCTTGCAGCAAGGTAAGAAAAAAATTGGTAAATATTTACAAGTGCGGTCAACCATTTTAATTTTCATTTTTTTCAACGAAATTTCTATTTGATTTTATTGATATATTTTTTTTTGAAAAATACATAAAAAAAAATGAACAATTTAAAAAAAATAAAAAGTTGATAATCACAATTTTAACAAATTTACAAAAAAAATTTATAAATTTTTTTGAAAATTGTGATATTCAACTTTTTTTTTTTAAATTGTTCGTTTTTTTTATGTGCTTTAAAAAAAAATATATCAAAAATAGATAAAATAGAAATTTTATCCAAAAACATGAGCCAAAATTTTTTCCAACTTTTGAAGGCAAAAAAGCTATCAAAATTTTTTTTATTCCTAGGGTCAACTATTTTAATTTTCATTTTTTTAAACGAAATTTCTATTTGATTTTATTGATATATTTTTTTTTGAAAAATACATAAAAAAAAATGAACAATTTAAAAAAAATAAAAAGTTGATAATCACAATTTTAACAAATTTACAAAAAAAATTTATAAATTTTTTTGAAAATTGTGATATTCAACTTTTTTTTTTTTAATTGTTCGTTTTTTTTATGTGCTTTAAAAAAAAATATATCAAAAATAGATAAAATAGAAATTTTATCCAAAAACATGAGCCAAAATTTTTTCCAACTTTTGAAGGCAAAAAAGCTATCAAAATTTTTTTTATTCCTTTCACGACATTTTTTTATCATAAATGTTCCGTAAAAACAAGCAGAATGAAAAAAATTTGAAAATGTTAATTTTTCACCTAGTTATGGCCCTAAAATGGGGTTGACCCCACTTGTAAATAATTACCAAAAACTTTAATTACAAAATTCTTATTAAAAAATTATTCGATGTCTCAAAATTTATTTCAGATGTTATTGTCGAGCGTTGAGTATTACCAAAGACTCGTCATTACTGTGGCATGATTTAGCATGTTGTTATTTATCACAACTTATTCATGATAGTACGGTAAATCGTAAAGTTACAGCCGAAAAAAGTCTCGAAGCCGCTAAACAAGCTGTTAGACTTTGCCCAACAACTTGGGTACACTGGAATATTCTTGGAGTTATATGTATGATGCCAGAAATTAAAAATTATGCATTAGCTCAACATTCTTGGGTTATGGCGATTGATCGTGAGCCAAATAATGGAGTTGCCTGGACAAATTTAGGAACTTTGTATTTACATTTAGGTATTGATTAATCTTTTATACTTTATTGAAAAAAAAAGTAAACAAAAATTAGTATAGATTTATTATAATTTATATTATAGGTGAAACTTTTAAAGCAAATAAAGCATTTTCACGAGCCCAACGTGCGGATCCCGAGTATTCAAACAGTTGGATTGGCCAAGGAATAATTGCTGAATCTGTAGACAATAAAGAAGCAATGGATCTATTCCGTCACGCCATACAACTTGGGTATCATCCTCAAGCTGCAGTCGGTTATTCTCATTGGGTATTGATGACTATTTTAAATCCTGATGCTAAAAAGGATGCTCTTTATCATTATATGATTGTAAACATGCACGCAATACCAGTAGCTATAGATGCCATGACTTGGTATACCGGTAATGAGTTTTAAAAATTTATTTTAAAGTTATTTTTTAGTAGATAATTATTATTATTTTTTTTTTTTAACTCATAAAAAACAAAATTTAAACTTTAGAGCGAGAACCTGGTGTAATCTACGGCCGAAATGCTTTAGGATTGCTATTAGAACGGGAAAAATTATACAAGTTAGCAGCTCATGAATATTCTGTTGGTTTAAAATTAGGAAAAGAAGATTCTCAGGAAGATCATGTAAGAGTAAATCTTGCACGAGTTTTAGTTCAAATGGGAAAATTTGACGAAGCTATTGAAGTTTGTCAGCGTATTAAAATAGCTAGCTTTAATTCTCACTGTCAATTAGCCTTAGCTTTGTTCAAAGGTATTTATGAACATGAATAACAAAAAAAAACTGTGCTTATATGTGAAAAAAAATATATATATTCAACAAATATTTTTTACAGCTGCAAGATATGAGGAATCATATGCGGCGTATGAAGCAGCTTTAAATTGGTTAGCAGATGATGGATCTGACAAAGCACATGTGCTCTGTGCAATGGCTTCAATGGCGTATATGTTCCAAGAAGTTGATGATGTTAAAACACTTCTTTTCCAATGCATCGAAATACAACCACCAACTGTTGCTGGTCTTTTAGCTGCCGCAGCACTTGGTCTTCTTCATGATGATCTAAATTTAACGAGTCTTGTTCTTAAAGAACTTGAAATTTATAAAGATGATCCGAAATACAGACATCATGTTGCTCGTCTTTCTGCTTACTCGTGTCTTATGCATCACGATATTACAGGAGCTATTCGTATAATCTCTAAATCTATTCACAGGCGTCCAGGTTTCTATATTTTTTTATTATTGTCATAAAAATACAATAATTATTTATTATTTAAAATAAACAAAATATTTTCAGATGATGTTGGCTCGTGGATTAGTCTTGTTAGACTTTTACTTGAAACAAATTCAAGTGATTTTGGTTACTGTGCACAAAAAGCGTTATACCTTGGTCGTAAAAATTCAACAGTTGCTGTCGCACAAGTTGCCTGTGTATCATCGCTTGGTCAATTAATTGATATAAACAATGATAAAAAACAATGTGGATTACGATCTGTACAAAAAACCATATTTTCTTTTCCGGGTATTGCTGAAAGTTGGGCTAATTTAATTGTGGCTACGTTACCTCGGTAATTAAACGTGTTCTAAAATTATTCATTACATATTTCATTCAGTTATCGATCCAAAATTAAATAAAAATTTTTTCTAGGTGTGAGAAAAGCGATTCAGTTCCGAATTTCAAATGGTTATTATCATTGGTATCTATTATCCGAGAAAAATGGAACTGCTCTAAACCAATGAATGAATGGTTACAAACAAATCAGGAAAAAATTTTAGAAATTTCAACAAAATGTTGAAGTAAATCTGAATAATAACGACATATTTAAAACTCAGTGATATAAATTTTTTCATACCAATACTTTATAATTGAAAAATTGTATTATTTTAATAAGAATAAACTACATACATTGTTTATAATTATAATAAAAAAAAAATGGTTTTTTATCGCAATTACTTAGCTACTTTCTTAGAAAGATGTATTCCCTTGTCGATTTTGTCTCTCATAGTAATTGACTTCACTTGAAGATTCACTCCAACTTGAACTTTGATATCTTCTTGAGGATGGTTCATTATCTTTGGGTTGTGTTTTAATTTTTTGTGTCAAATGCTCATCCAGAGTCTGAAAATAAATGTCGATTAAAATTAAAAATTAAAGTAAAGCTCAATTTTATTTGTAAAAATAGTCAAAAAATTACCAAGGGCGTAACATAACCCTGAGATTGAAGAACTTTTATTAAATTACAAATTTCATGGTCTTCATCAATCTTCAAGCGTTTCATAGCTTCTTGAATTCTCGGAATCTAATAAAATAAAATAATTTTATCAAAAATATTTAATTGATTTATAACATAAATAATATTATATATAATAAACTTACCACATCAGTGTAAAAACCATTTTTCTCAGGTATTCCTCGCTGAATACAAGATTTCAGTACAATAACAATTTCATCGATTCGTCCTAAGTCAGCGAGTGCCATTATTCTGATACATCTAATTGATATATAATCTACTGTTCTACTTAATGCAACAAGTTCCAGTGTGACCTCAGGCGATTTTAAATTAAGAGCTAAAGCACCTAACGCAGCGATTACTTTCCTCAGTGGTATACTACCTCGGTGGTCTAAATCTTTACAAATATTTAATCCATACTCCAAACTCTCTTGTGTATTCTGTTAAATGGTAAAAAAAAATATTTAAAAGGTGAATTGCTAAAGACATGATAGAGGGAATAAAAAAGCCAAATTACCTCTTTGTAACAAGCTACGGCGACAATGTTGATTACTAATTTGGGATGACTGATACCATTAACAAATTTTTGTTTTATTTTATCGTAAGCAGTACGTAGATCAGCGTATCTTTTGTTCTCATATAATAAATCCATTATCAACATGAACGTTGACATTTGATTAAAAAATTCATCGTATTTGGGGTTTAAAAATAAATCCAATGCAATTTCTGGTTCGTTTAAATAATAAAGTGTTCTCATGACAACAGGTCCAAATTTAAATGTTCCAAAACGTACTTGGGAATTTTGAGAATTATATTTTTCCAACATGCTAACGAGCAATTGAATGTCATCTTTTTCAACTAGATGTAATGTTGATTTTAAATCTTCAGTGAAAATCATTGCTTTTTCATCAGCGATTGACTCTTGCATTTTACTTTTAAATGAATCAAGACCTATTTTATATTTTTCCATAACAATGTTCCTAGTAGACTTGTAATTATCCAAACCCAAACTTGCTTCATCATAAAGAGTCCGGCTTCCTAAAAATAAATATATATTTTATATGATAGTCGAAAAAAAAAAAACATGTGATATTATTAGGTTATGTTTATTTTCTTACCATTGTAAATCAATTGTTGCTTAACCAATTTATTTAATATGTTTATATTAAACTTAGAAATACATCTAATTGTTCCTGCCATTATATTACACAAGTATATTAATTATTTAATCAAGTGATAAAGTATTAAAATATTTTTTTACTGAACGAAGATAGTAATATAGTAAGTTATAACACCTGACTAGTGATGCAAAATGACGGTCATTTTCAACTTTGGTCAAATCACGAGCAATTGACGAGCATTTGACGAGCACATGCTTTGCTTCACACCACTAATCACTATACACCTGACTAGTTGACTAGTTACTCCATTGGCATTAGTACGAGGAGGGGAGAGAGCTTGTTCAAATCTTCAAGGGATAAAAATCTCATACTTAGTTTATATAGTTACTGGCTTTAATAATTTCTGAATACATTTTTTTTTTTTTATCATTTAATTAAATTTCTATGGAACAGTGATTAATTATTAATTAACAATAATAGTTAAACGGCAAATTTCTCTAAATTTCTTAATCGTTGAAATGAACCTATTTTAGTTTTTTCTATGACTAAAATTTTACATTGAAATTTATTTTTATGTCTTCACCGCAAGTTATAAAAATCAAGCTGTTGCAGTTCTGTTTCATTAAAATACATTTGATAAGTAACAAATATTTATTTTTATGTATAGATTATAAATTGTACAATTAGTGATAGTGAAATTGATGAACATCCAATTTTTTGGATTTTTTTTAACAATCAAATCATTTTTTAAATAATTTAAGAAAAAAAGTTTCACATTCTAAAAATTTCAGGTCTAATTTTCTTCAATAATAATTAAATCATCTTATACCAGTGTGAATGAAAATTAAATTAGTCGACATCTGAATATGTTTAGAATTACTTTGTTGAAAAAATAATAACAAAAAAAATTGAAAGAAAAAAAGTCAGCGGTAGGAGATTTGAAAAATTGTACGTAAAATTTTTTAAAAGTATTTTTTTAATTCTAATTTAATTGATGATAAAAATAAAAAATTGTTAAACGTCTTCTAATTTTAGTATTATCCAGTGTGATAAAAGACAAACATCAATTATTGTTATACGAATCAATAATACAAAAACTAAGTTAATGACGAATAAATTAAAAAAAATTATAAGGAAATAAAAAACAATTAAAACACATTGAATAGTAGTCAAATATATAGCCCCAACGCATATCCACTGTTACTGCTAACTTTTGTTCAAAATATTTTTTTAATACTTATTAATAAGTTGAGGACTTTACGGTTCTTATGACGACACGAAAATTGAAAATTTTTTTTTACATTTTTATTGAAAATTTTCGCGATATCTTGTTTAGTTTTCGAAATATCGATATTTGAAAATCTAAAAAAAATTTTATTATAGAATTTGATACATTTTTGAGTAACTATATTTTGAAAACTAAGCAAGATATCGAAAAATGTTCTTCCTTTTCATCTTATTTCGTTGAGAGAGCAATACAAATCCGTAGTATTGTCGATAAGTTTAATAAGACCGAAAAAAAATTGTTAGATTTCTGCTGATTTCAGTGTCATTTTAATTAAGATGCTTAAAATATTTATGTAATAATTGTTTTTTATAAAATTTTATTTTTAACTTAAGTGATGTTAACAACTGAGATCTTTTACAATATAGTACTCTTTGGATTATACTTTTAAAATAAATACTCTTAATATATCCATTATTATTAATTTAGACAAAAGGTTTCAAATTTCATAACCAACTTGAAACATGAAAAAAATAAATAATTTTTTTTTTTTTAATTTCATGAGATTTTTGTCAAACCTAATCTGTAATCTGTGTATTTTACAGCCGGCAAAAAAATTCGGATAATACTGAATCGTGACGTCAAAAACTTCGGGTATTCCCGGCGATCTTTTCCGTGATTTTTAAAATTATTTTTTTGCGCTCAATATTAAAAATCTAATTTTACAAACAATGGTATAAAAAAATTCTTCTACAAAATCTCTGACGAATTTATTTAAAAAATACAAACTGTTCATGTTACAACTTATTTGTCAAATCTTTACGTAAAAATTTACGAATATTTTCAATGCGTATTTTTTCGAGATTTTATTTTTTGACACTTAATAAGTTTCATTAAAATTTTTAAATCAACCAATTCCTAATTTAAAAAAATAATTGCAATAATTTTTTTATTAAGGTCCTTTTGAATATGAGTCATCACACAAATGTTGTCATAATTTAAACTACATGATAATATGAATCATCAGGGGGGCGTAAAAAATAATTAAAAATAAATTAGGTGTTTTGATAAAATTTTTGATAAATAATTTGAGTAATTATGACGTTAAAAATAAAAATAAATTAATTTAGAAAGTATTTTAATGAAGACCGCAACGGTCCGGAAGTCACGGAAGAAATTCAAAGTGACACTTTACATTTAATAAAGTAAGGACGTGTAATATTAAAAATCAGTCGAAAGGAACGGTTGAACGTGACTTATTTTATTTATTATCTAAATATATATATTATTACCTTCGGCAACGGCAGGATAAAAACTTTATCAGCGACACCTGGGAGAAAATCAAAGTGAGCAAGTGTGGGGAGTTCCATTGCCCTTTCGTGGTGTGTATACATTTGTGTGAATCGATCCAGCACAGCATAACATATACACATACACAGTACAGGTAGGGCTGACTGAGTTTTGCTGGATGCCTGGAAACAAAAAAGAGGGGGCAATCTTCCGTTTGGATAGTAGTAGTCCATAGTTAATTCTCCCATTAGTTTATACCTACCTTACTTTAGTAAACATTTTACTGCCTAACTGTATTCTTTATTTTATAATAATTTTATTTAAACTTGATAAATTATTTAAATTAAAATTGAGTTATATTTTGTTTTATTTTTAACTTATTGATATTGTATTTATTAAATCTTAGAAGATAAAATTGGTAAAGTTCATTAAACCTTATATACATAAATAATTACATGTGTTCTATAGTGTGATTATTTTGTTTTTCTGATGTTCTGTCAAAACAAAATAATTATACATATATTCTAAATAAATGAATAAAAATTTATCAATAAATTGACGGTAAGATATAATGATAATTTTTAATTAATTAAGAATTAGTGATTGTATATTGAGAGACAATAAAAATTTTTAAATTATTAGCAGATATAAATATGGACAGTTATGCTGAACTCTGTGGATTTATGGACGCAAAATTACCTGGAAATTTAATGCGAAAAAGATCATTTGTTTCATGGAAAACTTGGCGACGACATTGGTGCACTGTACGTAAATTAGGACCTGGATTAGGTGCTGAAGTTCAATTGGAGCGTGGACTCACCATTGATGGTTTAAATGCATATCGTAACACCATTAAAATTCCGTCTGACTCAATAATATGCCGCACCGAATCTCGAACAAAATCATATGCATTTGGTATATTTCCTGCCAAAGAAAGAAAACCATTTCTTTATTTAAGTGGAATGTCTGAATCAGAAACACAGAGATGGATGGCTAATATTAGAGAATTATTAAAACCTCGGCGATGTCGTTTTTTAGAAGGTACATTCAATATTTCAATGGTTGATAACACTCATTCAAGGTCCGCTGGTTTAACAGGTAAGACATTAAATGTTATAATTTTTTACAATAATTTAGTAATAAATTTCTAATGGTGAAATTTTTTAGGCTTACATGGAGATTTAGTTGCTAGTCGCAGTGGAATTTTTGTAAAAGATGTTCATAATGGCAATATTATTGAACATTTAGAGTGGACTGAAATGAATCAATTTAATTTAGCAACCATTGGTCATCCGGATGATGTGAAAAGAATTTGTGTCATTCATACAACAAAATCATTTCGCGGTGGTATTGGAGAACTTTATATATTTTGTTTAAATGCGAGTCAATTATTACAGAGTTTAGTGAAGCAAGGCCGTGAGCCTTTTAATAAAATTAACAAAGTCGAAATAATTAGGCCTTTAAGCTTGAGCGAAGGTGATTTGAGATTTACAAATGATAATGAAACGGGAAGTTTAACTATAAAAAATAAAGTATCAAATATTAGTAATGCTGGATTATTGTTGTTACAACCAAGGCTGGAACGCGAGGGAAAGTTTATGTTTAACGATACCAGTGATTCTGGTAATACGTTACGAAAGATAAATGAGGATAAATTAGATTATTATATGCGAGCTGTGGATAATGTCTATGAAACTGAGCCTGCTAATTTATCAAATATTAGTGCAAGTCTAGAAGAGCTCGAAGAACCTCTGCATAAAAGAGTGTCTAATTTGTCAGTAGCTTCGGGTATTTATGAAGAAATTGTGGAGAATCATTATGACAATAAACTCAGTATGGATAATTTACATCTATATGAGAATCTTAGTGACATTAAACTTAATTCTTATAATAAAAGCCGTATACCACCACCACTACCTCCTCGAACACGGTGTGCTTCTGACTCTTCAAAAAATGGAGTATTAAGTGATGAGGAATTATGTCACGAAGAAAATTCAAAGTTATTGACATCAAACACACCATTGACTGATATTAATTTAGAATCTTCACAAAAAATTTTAATGCCAGTTTATACGACATCTGAGCATTCTGACTATGTTCCAATGTCACCAAGACCCAAAGATTTTGCTGCAGAGCAAGAAAAAAAACAATTAGTTTCTCATGAAGAAGACATTTATATGGTTATGCGATAAAATGTCAAGTAGGAAATTTTTTAAATACTTTATTGCTCTGTTATATTTAGAAAATTGTGAAACTATTGTGGCCTCCGTGATAATTATTTTATTTGGCCTATTTTTTATGGTAAAATTTAGAGTGCCAACTATATACAAAAATAAACAAAAATTAAATTTTGAAAATTTACGATTCACCAACTATTAATATTTAAATAAATAATATAGCAATCCCACATAAAGTATTTAAAGTCCATATCTCGCTCAAATTAATACATATAAAAAGTAAAATAATGTCTCATATCATTCAGGAAAATGAAGTACAAATATTTCTCAAGAAAAAAATTCCTCAAGTTTATATTTTTTCATTTTTTTTCTTTTGAAAAAGATTTTATTATAAATGATATTCCAAATTTTACCAGAACAAATTATATACATATCAATATTTATCAAAAAAAAAAAATCTTATAAACAAAGCTTCTATTTTATTTTCGGTTTCTTATAGTATATCTTAACTATTCACTGCCTTTCGCTCTGTGCCTATATATATATATATATTGTTTTTGTAATGTCTATCAACATTCCTTGCAAATAAGTAAATTGATAGGTGGGATGTTTTAAACAAAAAAAAAAATTATTCAATATTATTAAATAATTTTTTATCTTTATTGATAATTTAGAAAAATTAATAATACTTTATTTTCTTACTTTATTTAGTTATAAAAATATTATAAGTTAATTATTTTTAAATTAATAAATTTTGTATTCGAACTGGATTTTTAAAAAAGTTTAGGTTCAAAATAGAAAAAAAAATATTAGCTAAAAATTTAATAAAAATGTGATAGAAATTACTGCTGTATTATAAATTGTGAAATTGTCAAAGGCCAGTTGCATTAACTTGCATTTATGTTAATATATCTGCTCATTGTTTAAATTAAACATTTAAGTGATTAATTTGTTGCCTATTGTAAATTACATATTTAATAAAAAATTACATGAATTAACTTGATGAGTATTTAATTTAAGTTAACGTCGTATATAATTTTGTAAAAATTTTTAAAAATGATTCATTTAGTAAATATACAACATAAAAAAAGTAATAATTAAATCCTTGCATGTTTTTGTACATGTTCACGAGCTTTTCTCTCAAATTCACTTTTATCAAAACGATATTCATTTGCGATATTTGGCATCAATGGATCATCTGGATTTGGATTGCCCAGTAATGATTGTACAGCAACAAATAGATTTTCTAATGTGAATGTAGGCTTCCATCCACCATTAGGCGGCATTTTTAATAAGTCCATACAAATTCTACCACCTGTATCAACATTTGGATGGTAAACAGGTGTAACAAACTTCATCCTCGGTGGCTCATATGGATAAGTATCATCAACTTCAACTTCTAGTTTAAAAACTCCATTTTCATAGGGACTCCCATTTGGACCCAAAATAGTTACAATCAAATGATTTATTTTATCATCCTTCTGATAGCATGCTATTCCTTCTGTAGGATTTTTCATAAGCTTTTCTAGCTCTCTTGTTAACCGTTTGTTCCCTGGTGGTGGCATTTTTTCAGTTCCTGACTGCTGTGAAAAAAAAAAAAAATTTTTATTGATCAGTGAAATAAATTTATTTGATTTTTCACTATCACGTTTAAAATTAATGATACTGAAATCAGCGGATACCCTATAATTTTTGTTTTATTTAAAAAATAAATTTGTACTATTAAAATATTTTTAAAAAATCCATTAAGTAATTATTTTTACATCTGGAATAAAGAAAAATTTTTTTTTCATTGATACTTAATTTTTTAAATAAAAATCTTAAACATTACAAATGTCTGTTAATTTCAGTGTTATATTATCATTATTCAGATAATAATTAAAACAAATCATAGAGAATTGTACAAAAATTTTTATATTTAAATACTTTTTAATCAAAATAGTATTAAGTAAAATTTGAAAAAATGTAAGGATTGTGTGTTAAAATTGTCGACCTATCCAGTATTTTTTATTCTTCAACTTTTTAAAAAGACGCATTTAAAAATTTTTCAAAGTTTCATTTTCTGTCATTAAAGTTGTATTTCTCAACCTCAAAAGAGGACAAATTACAATTACAGGACAATTTTTTACATGGTCTAAAATCTGGTTTTTGAGAATAATAGTGAGCATTGTAACAACTAATATTTAACTTTAAACTAATAAATTGTTCAATTTATTTAATTTTAAGCATTTTTTTTAATTCAAAAGTTTTTAGATTTTTTTAACAAATAAATTATTACAGTATGAATTTAAGAAGATTATTCTACATGTAGAAATTTAAAAAAAAAAAAAAACTACGCAAATGTTTTGTAATATTTTTTTATACTAATTTATTTGATGATTAAAACGAAAAAACTGTCAGCTGTCTACTGATTTCAGTGTCATTAGAGATCAACTTACCACGCTTACTCAAAATTTATTAACTAATTAAATAATGACTTAATTAATTATTTATTTATTTATTAATTACTTTAGCTTCTATTGTCTCAATAATTATGAGCGGTGAATTTATAAACAAAACCACATGCGGTACTTCACAGTTTTGTGTTATATCACAGCTACTGTAGATGGCGTCGCAGTATTAAAAAAAAATTTACATGCTCTGTTTAAAATTTCTCGCAAAAAATTAACCGCAACTTCTATTTTTTATTGACTGCTATAATTCATCTTTTAGATATAAATAATAAACAAAATTCGTAGTAAAATAATGATTGTGTAAAAATGAAAAAAATTAAAGATGATTCACCCGCATATAATAGTTAAATTGTCTATACATTCTATTTAAATTTTAAATTAAATAAAGAAAATAATTGAACTAACAGAGAGACAAATAGGTCACGTGTACAATGGACAGAGAAAATATTAAAAAAGTGGGAGATGTTTGTTGCGTTGTTTCTGATGTAGGAGTGCGCTAGTGTCAGCGCCCAGGAATGTTGGTTCATACTCTCGATAAATTCTCATCAGTACCTAAAGAGATATGAATTAAATCCTGTAATATTATTCTGGGTACAGACTGCAGTTATATTTTAAGAGTTTTGTTTATAAGTATTAAAATTATTTGAGTATATAAGTTGTTTTTTGATCCGTTAATTAAATGAGCATCAGCAAGTGTTTGTGTTTGAAAACGTAAGGTAGAGGATAACCGCAAGTGACTCGTCCGTTGAAGCGACAGGTAACTTTGGGCGTTAACCATTCTTTTACCTCATGTATACAATTAAATTTTTACTATTATTTTTATTTAAAATACCATAATTTCATTTATTTTTACTGGTTCAATTTTATTTTATTTTCTTGTTCAGTAAAACGATTTAAAAATTTTTTTATAGTTGATGGGAAATGGAGGGTGTGTCTACTTGACAAGTTTTTAAATTGAAATGTATCAACAATTTGAGTCATCGTATGCACACGTATCATGCCGCATACATTCATTATTTTTATTAATTATTTTAATATCATTTGATAGTACTATAATGTCGGAATCACAATAAAAAGGTTTAATTTTTTAATAATTAAAAATTGACATTCGTTTTTTTTTTTAATTACATAAAAAATATATTTATTTATTCATTAATAAATAAATAAATAAATAAGTAACTACTACAGTGTGGGCGTGTGATTTAAGTATAAGCAGAGTGTGGATCAGTAATAAAGAGAGAAACTACAATATAATCATTATTCATTATCATTATATTTAAGTACCTTGGGCGCGTCATGTATCAATGAATCAAATATATACAATACACGGTGTAATTCTGTGTTTTAATCATTCGACGAAATTGTCATTTTTTTTTTCTTTTTTTATTTCTATGAGTTATAAGTTGAAATAAATTAATTTTTACATTTGTTTACAGAAATAAAAAAAATGTGGTTTTTAATATTTTTGTTATTGGCACCAATAAATTGCCAATTTTCACAAAATGAATATGAAACATCATCAAAATCACCATGGAACAATCGGTATGATGATGTCAGTAATACAAGGGATCAAAACCCAGGATTTTCATTTCCACGAGCGAATGAAAATGTGATATTCAAAGAAGCGTAAGTAAAATAAAAAAATTAATTAACTAAAAATTTATAGCAGTGTTATTCAGAACTAATTAAAAAATTTTTTTAGAACTTACTTTGTTGTGGCATCTCGCTTGTGTCGACCGGGACAAATATACCGATTGGCAGTTGATGTTCTCCAAAGTGCGCTACCGATGACAGTTCGAGCGTCAATTCAACGTGATGGTGTTGAAGTGGGATCTGATTATAAAGAAATAAAAGAAGGTATTCCAGAAAATTTAATGATAAAAATACCTCATGAAAAAAATAAAGCTCAATACAAACTTCGATTGGAGGGTCTCTATAACGGCTTAACTGGAGGGCAAGCTTTTTTTAACGAAACCAAACTCATATATTCTCAACGAACCATGACAATATTTATTCAAATGGACAAGCCAGTTTATATGCAAGGTCAAACAGTACGTTTTAGAGCAGTACCAATAAATACTGAATTAAAAGCTTTAATTGAACCTGTAGATATTTTTATGCAAGATCCGCAAGGGCGTATTATGCGACGATGGCTCAGTCAACAAAGTAATCTTGGTACAGTTTCTATGAAATATCAATTGTCTGATCAGCCGATTTTTGGTGATTGGCAAATTGTTGTTAAAACTGAAGGACAAATAGAAACTAAAAATTTTACAGTAGAAGAATATTATCAGACACGTTTTGAAGTTAACGTGACAATGCCTGCCTTTTTCTTTGATAGAGATCAATATCTTCATGGAGTAATTCAAGCAAATTATACGTCAGGTGCACCAGTAAAGGGAAATTTAACTATCAAAGCTATAGTAAAACCACTAAATGCGTATCGATCATCACAATTACCATCTTCAGAATTTTATTTTACTTTCAATGAATATTATCCAGCTTGGTTTAAACAGCCAGAAGATTATAGAGATTATCAGGTTATGAGATTTTTCAATGGTACTTACAGATTCCAGTGGCCAATGCAGGAAATTTTAACACGATCATCTATTAATGAAGGAATAGAAGTACATATTGTTGCAACGGTAGGTGAAAACTTTTTAAATGAAGTTATTGTTGGTCATTCAACTGCTAGAATATTCAACTCTACTGTACGTATACATTTTTCTGGAGGTTCACCTCAAGTATTTAAACCAGCTATGCCATACTCATTAAATATTGTTGCTTCATATCATGATGGTTCAGCATTATCCAAGTACAAATTGGAGCACACATTGATGGAAGTACGTGCGGATGTTGAATCTAAAAGCGGAAGTCATAGAACTATAGATTTTCCAAATCTTCACGTTTCTTCAGATCACAACGCTGTTTGGCCAATGAAAATTGACTTAAGACATCAATTAAGATTTGACAATCCTAAACAGATTCAACAAATTCTCAATGATGTGAAATCAGTCAGAATACATGCTTCATTTCTTGATGGAGAAGGAGAAAGAGCTAATACTGAATTACTTCTTTTGGCTCATGACTCTCCAGAAAATAAACATATTAAATTATCAACATCGACACAGCATCCAAAAGTTGGTGAATACTTGGTACTACACGTTCAAACAAATTACTATATAGAAACATTTAATTACATTATAATGTCTAAAGGAACAATACTTTTGACTGGTCAAGACATTATGGAACCAAATATTAGAACATTTTCTATTCCATTGAGTTCAGAAATGGCACCTATTGTTACTGCTGTCGTTTATCATGTTGGTAGACACGGTCAAGTTGTTGCGGATTCTTTAACTATACCCGTGAACGGTATTTCTGGTAATAACTTTACTGTTTTCATTAACAATAAAAAAGCAAAGACAGGTGAAAAAGTAGAAGTAGCAATTTATGGTGAACCAGGTTCCTACGTTGGGCTATCAGGAACTGATCGTGCTTTTTATTCAATGCAAGCTGGCAATGAGCTTACTTACGCAAATGTAATTTCTAAAATGTCATATTTTGGTGAAGATACAAATGGCACTCATACTCACTCGTGGGTCTTCCACAGTGGTGATCCCGACGAGGCTGTTTTCTTTCCATCATCAAGCTTTGGAATTGACGTTAATCGAACATTCGACTACATTGGATTAGTTGTATTTACAGATGCTAATATTCATCGAAGACCTGAAAATTGTAATCGGACACAAGGACGTGCGGAATGTTTAAGTGGACAATGTTACAGGATTGAAAAACAGTGTGACGGTTTCTTTGACTGTGATGATGGTACCGATGAAGCCAGATGTAAAACTGGTAATTTAACAGACTTGAATCTCTTCCGTAAGAATCGATTCAACAGAATCCAGCGACAGTATGAAAATGTTTGGTTATGGAAAGATATCAATATTGGTCCTCATGGTCGTTACATATTTAATATTGATGTGCCACGTAGACCTGTACATTGGATGGTAACTGCTTTCAGTATGAGCCCAACAAAAGGTTTTGGTATGTTACCAAAATCAATTGAATACACTGGTGTATTACCTTTCTTTATTAATGTTGAAATGCCAAATCACTGTCGTCAAGGTGAACAAGTTGGTGTAAGAGTATCTGTATTTAATTACTTATCATATAACATCGAGGCGACGGTGGTTTTAGCTGATTCACGTGATTATAAATTTGTTCACGTAGAAGAAGATGGTATAGTTAGATCATACAACCCAAGAACAACATTTGGAGAGCATCAATTCTTTATTTGGATCCCTGCTCAAGATGCAGTAGTTGTATATCTTCCAATTGTACCCGTTCGTTTAGGTGATATTAAAGTTAAGGTTTATGCACTGACAATAATAGGCAAAGACACGGTTGAACGTACTATTCACGTTGAGTCTGACGGAATTCCTCAGTACCGACATCAATCAGTTTTATTAGATTTGAGTACTCGAGGTTCAGCTTTACGCTTTATGCATGTAAATCTTACAGTAACACCAGAAGTTACTTATGCAGAAGATCGTTACTACGTATATGGTTCAAATAAAGCAAAAATAAGTGTTGTGGGTGATGTAGTTGGTCCTGTTTTTCATACAATGCCAGTAAATTCAACAAGTTTATTAGGACTTCCCATGGATTGTGCTGAACAAAATATGTTCAGTTTTGCTGTCCACATGTATACAACTCTTCATTTGAGATACATAAATCAAAGAAATTTGAAACAAGAAAGAGAAAGCTTTAGATTCATGAATGTTGCATATCAACGACAATTATCATTTATGAATCCTAATGGATCTTTTAGTTTATTCAGAAGTGATTGGAATCAATCAGCATCTAGCGTTTGGCTTACAGCTTTCTGTGCTCGTATTTTCCAAGAAGCAAATTTTGCTGAGTGGGAAAATTATATTTATATTGATCCAAAAGTTATTGAAGCTTCTGTTAGTTGGCTTTTAAATTATCAGTCACCAGAAGGAGCATTTTATGAAATAACTTGGTTACCGGATAGAAAAGTCAACACGTCATATATTGATGAATTTGATTACATACGACATAGAAATATTAGTCTTACTGCTCATGTCGTGATGACACTAGTTGCAGTAAAAGATATATCAGGAGAGCTTGGTACTAGGATTGCATTGAGTCAAGCCAAAGCAGTAAGATGGCTTGAAATAAATTTAAATCATGTAAATAAACACGGGTCACCTTATGAAATTGCTATTGTTGCTTATGCTCTCTCCCTTGCTAAATCTCCTAGTTCAGAGATGGCATTTAATATGCTAAATCAACGGCAAATTCAAGAAGAAGAATTTCTGTACTGGGCTCGTCAGCGTCTTCCACCATTACCTACTAAGTCAGAAAATAACAGGCCTTATGGTTTACCAAGATTACCATACGCCTATGATTCAGAAAATATTGAAACTTCTGCATATGCTCTTTTACTGTACGTTGAACGAAGTCAAGATTATAAGGCCGATGGAATAGTCAAATGGTTAAATTCACAACGGCTTACTGACGGTGGTTGGGCATCAACTCAAGACACCATGTGGGCAATGAAGGCTCTCATGAAGTATACGTCTGCATCAAGGCTTCGTGAAGTTACTGAATTAACTGTTAAAGTCGAACCAACAGCTTTAAAAGGAGGTGTTAAGAGATTTAATATTAATAATAAAAATATTGCGAAGCTACAGAGCTTTGAAGTAAGTTTATTTGTTTTCATTAGAAAAAAAAAAAAAATAAAATAAAAAAAAAAAAGTAATTATAATTTTCTTATTATTTTATTTTAGGTACCTGAAGCATGGGGAACAGTACAATTTGATATCACAGGATCTGGATATATAATTGTTCAAATGTCAGTGCAATACAATGTTGATTTGAAAAAATTCCAAACAGAGCCACCAGTAAAAGCATTCGATTTGGTTGTCAGACACAATTCTTACGGAAGAAATCAGTCTCACATTAATTATCTTAGTTGTCAAAGGTAATGATAATAATAATAATATTTTTTAATTGTGTACTATTTTCTTTTGAACAATATTATTTTTCCGAAGTGAAATTAAAATTAAAAATTTTATGAGGATATAATATTTTATTTTAATTTTTAAAGGTGGACTAACTTCAATGAGTCTGAAAGATCTGGAATGGCTATATTGGATGTAACGATACCAACGGGTTATATTATTCAACAGCAAAATTTGGATGCATATGTTCGAGCAAGAGAAGTAAGAAATTTACAACGAGCGCGATTTGCAGAGCAAAAGGTTTTGTTTTATTTTGACTATTTGGATAACGAAGAAACTTGTGTGAATTTCACAATTGAGAGGTGGTATCCTGTCGCAAATATGTCACGTTATTTAGCGGTCAGAGTTTATGATTATTATGCTCCTGAACGTTTTAATGAAACTATATTTGATGCATTGTCAACATATCTTTTGAACATCTGCGAAGTTTGTGGTAGCTCACAATGTCCATATTGTCCAATTTATAATGCTGCCATGACATTGTCTACACCTGCAGTATTTATGATTATAATTTCAGTTATTTTCACGACTGTAAGATATCTTAAAACACAAGAATTTAGTGTTGGGTAGTCTTCTAAATTATTGTTTTTTTTTTTTTTTTATTTTATTTTATATTAAGGATGAGTACAAAAGAAATTTATTAATCATCCGCAATCAAAATTTGAAAAAATTTAATTGTGTAACATCATTGATGTTAAAATGTATACCGAAGTTGCCTTCTTAAAACTAAAAAATATTTAATATTAGTTTTTAAATTATTTTTTTAACTAAAGAAAATGATAAAGATTAATATAGAAAGTTAATTATTCGGAATACGCACATATTAATTTTTTATATTCATGTACAGTGCTACTTTTAATAATTTTTTTATATGATTTAGAATTTCATAGAAATATATTATTAATATTAGTATTTAAATACAATAATGAAAATGTTTAATTATATATACTGGTTTACTGAATTGGCAACTTGTACATAGTAGTTGATATTTTGAATTTGAAAGAGAAGAAAAAATATACTTATGTTGACATGTTGCTTTAAGCCGTCTACGTAAACACGAGTATTAATGTGTTTTACAAAAAATATTTTATAGATCAAAAATATTAAAAAAATTTAGATAATAATTATCTAAGTCAATTTATTTGTCATGAAATTTAAAATTATATATTGAAAATTAACATGGCAAAATTTTCTATAATATACTTGTTATTGTAATGTATTTTTAAAAGTAATGTAGTTATTTCTTAAACCGTCCATTTTTATTCATGAAATTATTTTTTTCATCGAAACTATTGTTTCGAGTGTTCATTTGTATGTTAAAAACTAGTGTTAAGAATTACTAAATAACTGTATTTTTATGTTATTGAACAAAAATTTTAAGCGTACAACGACAAGTTCAAGTATTTCTTGTTTACTCATTATTGTAACTCTCTTATTATATTGTTACAATATATTAAATCTATGCCGTCCAATAAATTATAAATTAATTTTATAATCTTTGTATAAAAAATAAATATTTTTAAAAAAGTTATTAATTTTTAAGTTTCTTGAATCATTTATTCCTAAAATCCTCTAAATTTAATCCTACTTTGAAATTCCTTAATGCTGTATTTTAATTTGTAAGATTAATTATAACTTATAAGTTTTTGAATTATAAATAACTACTGGTTAATGGTAGTTATCAAATATCTAAAACAAATTTTTGATAAATTGATAATGATAATAGAGGAAATAATGATTTATTATTAACGTTGACGTAATCATCGGTATTTTTTTTACATTGACTAGATCGGTCGGATTAATATGTAGTGTATGTACCATACGTTAGTGAACATACCAAACTTGAGTGTCTAGGATAAACATATACTTACTCATATTTATTTATATGTATATCGTGAAATTTGGTAAAACCCATCTAATCAGTATATACAGTATAGGTAATTTACACAGTGATGACGCTTCAGTTGCAAGTAAATATATATATATATATACATAACTCACACATATTATAGGTATAAAAAGTAAAAATATACTTATACGCCATATAGTGCGTAGCAGTTTATTTATTCAAGGATATTTCCCAAAAAAATACATTTAATTTATAAAACATTAAACATTAATAAAATAATTGCAGGTATGTTTATTTATATTTTTAACTAAGTAATTAATAATAACAATGACAAGGGTTAAATTTTATTTTGGAGTAGACACTATGATAAAATAAAATATATAATAATTTAAAAGTGTGGTTATATAAAATAAAAGCCGTAGATAAATTGTGAAAAGAACATTCTAAATGAATTAAGAACTAACGAAAAATATTAAAATTTTATATTTCTTGGTTTTAGAATAAAAAAATCAAATAAAAATGACTGCTGCTAAATTGTATCAGAGCAAAAGCAAACCTGAAGATGAATCTCCATTATTAAAAAATCAGAAATATCGGTAAGCATCATAAGAAATCAATCGATTTAAAAAAAAAAAAAAATTATACAAGTATTTTTATTTATTTACAGAAAACAAGTATTTGACTCGATAAATTCCATAAAGTTTTTTGAAAACTATCCGTCACTAAACAGTTGGTTGATTAGTTTGTTGTATTTCATATTAATTCTGGCTTTACTATTTTTACTGACACCACCCGCGTTAGTTTTACTTTCAATATTTGTATCATTATTCTTGATAAGCATTGTCGCTGCCAGGGGATCATTACTATCAATGACTTCACAGATGGAACTCAATGTCTCAAGCTCTTGTATTGTTAATACAGTTGACAACTATTATTATCACCATCTAGAAGAGAAAAACTTCACCATTATACAGTCAGAAAATGAAAGAATGATGTGGATTTGGTGTATTATAATTGCATACACAATACCAGAATTAATCAATTCAATGTTATGTTTTCACAAGTCCAAAAATAAGCCATCAGTTAAACAATTCTTGTCAGTCGTCATACCAGAAACGTTGTATGCAATGGGAATAGCTTTAATGGTCTTTTTTGTTTTGCCAAAATTGAATTTAAACTCTTTTGTTTTGTTTCTTATTTGGTGTATTTTTGAATGGGGATTACATACTATGATATCAACGATTTATGGAATTAACAATCTGAAGTTTAAGATTTTACTAGTTATTATTGATATTATCGTTTTGGCATGTTATGTAACATATACAATGTTTTATTCCTTCGATGGAGTGGAACGTAATAACAGTACATCATGGATTACAATTTTGGCATTGGCATTAATTCATGGTGGATTTTGGCAAGATGTTCCTGATTCTAAATTCAGTTTTACTGGTAAGTTATTTCATGATATAATGAGTTTGTTACTACAAACGGTTCATAGTATTTATTTTTAATAATTAAAATTGTATTTATTTAGGCAACAAACTTGTTTTAAAATGGAATTTTTTGATAATAGTCGATTCCCAACAACTATATATATTTTACTTTTTTCTAGGATTTCTTTCGCCGTTCGTGAAAGCTCGGAAAAATTTGGAACCCGTGAAACATTATACTTTTGCTTTAGTGTCAATTTGGAAAATAATTGTTTTCATTGCAAGTTCATTAATGATACTCTCCTTTAATGGTATTGAGACTAAAAAAATATTTTCGATGTTCGAATCTGCATTCAGTCAACACAATGTAACTATAATCCCCAATTTTAATGGAGAAGAAGACAGTCAATCACCGTATTACTCTTTTGTCTCAATAATTATAACTAAAGGCTTAAATTTTCCAATTTTGGTTGTATTCTTCCAAATATTCGTATCTTCAGTAATCTATATGAAACGTAAGTTAATCAAATGATTATTTTAAAAAATACTAATGAAATTCTCATTAATATTATAGAAGTTATATAAGTAATATAAATAAATAATTTGCTTAATTTCAGGTAACACGCTATTTTTAAGTCTCTTCCATGGATTTGATTTTCGATCTCGTTGGGGATTAAATATTCCTTGTTTAATTTCTATTGTATTCTTTTGGTGGTCAGCCTTGATTAAAAAGCACTATTGTAACTTGGTTGATGCACGAAGTGCTGAACTCGTGTATTTCTTTGACCCTTTGATAGAAAGACCCTCATCTGAAATCCTGCGTATTTTTTCGCTTAATTCAACCGAAAACTGGGAAGCAATTTTGCTGAAATGTGCAAGTTGCTGGATTATGATTTCGTTCTGGTTCCGGTCACGTTTCAGCTCGTTGTTTGAGAGCATAAAACAAACGAATCAAGAAAATAAACCTTCTCAACCTGTCAATGTTTATCTGGTTACAATTGATGAAAAACCAGTCGACACAAAAAATCCTGGTTGTTAAATAAGTATAAAATTTAATCCAAAAAATCTTCATTAAATTTAATAATCAAATAAATATTTTAACAATTTTTTTTTTTCAATCAAGATAATTCGTCTATTATTGTAACTCGACAATAATTGTGAAAAATTCACAGTTTTTGAGGAAAATTGAAAAATAAAACTAGCTTTGTAATTTATATTTTGATACATTATTTTTATATCATCTATTGTATTGGTAATGAAAAAAATGTTTTCAAATCTATAAAGTTTGTTGAATTGCGATAAAATTTATAATATAATAAGAACATTTTTTGTATATTTTTGTATGATACCTGTTGGTGTATTGATTACACCAATGTATTTAATTAACTATTCCATAATTAAACATTTTCAGATTACAAAAATCAAGTTTATTTGTATTGTATTATTTACTAAAATTTATTAGATTTATTAATAGTATAAAACAATCTAAGCGTTTAATTTGGAGTTATTAAAGTATATAAGTTTGAGAGGTATGTTTTTAAAGAAAAACTAATAGCTGATATTATTTTGTTAAATATAGTATAAAGCAAAACATATTTAATTAAAGTTGAAGAATAGGTGGAAATTTTTATTATTTTATTGATAAAAATAAATATAGTAGCAATTCGGATTGCCATTTTTAAATTTTTTATTGTATATTTTTGCTAGGAGCCTAAAATAATTTGGCTAAAATTTCTATTTTGTTATCATAATCAACGTAAAACAAAGCAAGTAAAAGATTTGAAACTTATTAATTAAGCATGTTGATTCATCAAGTAAATATTTTTTAGAATCATAATAATATTCTTGATTTACTGTTTATTAAGTGCGAGTGCAGTATGTATGAAATCCTCTGAAAAAAATTATTTTCAGAGCGTGACATCCACCAATCATTTTGAAATTGTACGTTTTTCATTTAAAAACAAAAAATTAACTCAAATTAAAGCTAGGTACCAAATTTTTGCGATTTTAATTTTTCTTACTTTTTCTCAACTTTTATACGCATTTAAATAATTCTGAAAATAACACAAATACATTATTTTCTAATATTCGTTTAAAATTTGAATTATTTATTAAACTATAAATAAAAAAATTACAAAGCAGATAAAATAATTTAAAATGTAATCATCGCTTTAAAAATTTACCTGTTGTAATGTTGTAGAGAATTTAGTTGACATTAGTTTGTCATTGTTCTATTTTATAAATATTTTTGTTAAAAACAAAGATTATTTTTTTTATCACGTTATCCCAAGCTGATTCTAGGTATACTAAGTAGTAGGTAACTAGTATAGTACTGACTAGACGAGGACATAATGACGTCCAAAATTTAATACGATGTTTCTTTGGCCGTGTCCGATGAATCATTTTGCTTTGGCCCCTACTAACTGTGTATTTTTCGACATCACATGCAACAAAACTCCTATAATTTCAAATCACTTAGATTCGACTGGACCTATAGGTCCACTCGAATCTATACTATAAAGAGAGTTGCTTCTCCGACTCCATAGAGAGTATCACTGAGAGAAAAAATGGGCATTGTTATGACAAGAAATTAATTTGTTGATAATTTTCAACAATTTTATTTCTTAATTGAAAAAATAAAAAATTTTCTTGTTGAAAAAAAGTTTTTTTAATTTAGAAAAAACAATTTTAGATAGACAACTTGCGAAGTTTCATCCAAAATTGTCCTTTTCCAAATCTCGCAAACTTTTTTACAATAAGAAAGTTACTGTGAGAAAAATTTGGATTTCTTCAGCTCAGAAATAAAATTATTAAAAATTTTTAATAAATTAATTTATTATTACAATAATGTTCATTTTTTTCAAAATGAATTTTTTCTTTCTGTATACAAATAAGAGATATGAGCGAAAAGAACAACTGTTTTCCTTTTTTATTTGATGGATATTCTAGAAAGATTCACTAGTGAAAAAGGCAATAAATCCTGTAAATTCTATTTCTTGGGATTTTGGCTCCCACAACTTTGAATTTATAGGATAGGAGTTTTGATGTACTAGTTAGCTGACAGACCAAGTTTAAAATTTTCAATCAAAAAACGATTCCAACATTTAAAATCCGATTTCTGATAAAGCTATCTTGAATCATCATTTATTATGTTTGACAATAATTAACAATTCTCAGAACCCAATTCTAAAACTATGTATCACAATAATCTATAATAATATTAAGTATAAAGAGGAAAGATTTGATTGTTTGTTTGTATTGAATAGGCTCCGAAACTCCTGGACCGATTTGAAAAATTCTTTCACTGTTGGGAAGCTACACTATCCCCGGGCAGGGTACCCAGACTTTCTTTTCAGCGCGTAGCCGACCTGTGGCGCTAATTCAAATTGTAAAAATTAAATAACAATTTTTTTTTTTCAAATCTGGTTTATTGAAAATTATAAAATTATTATCATTCAACAAAATTATAAGTAAGAGAATACAAAATTCAAGTAAATTTTATGAAGTGAAATTTTCATCATAAAATTAGTTTAGATAAATTAACATATATGTTATATTAGGGTATCCGTTATTTACCAATTTGGTTTTTGACTTTGCAGTGCCCATTAGATTTTTAGTTCGTGACCTATTAAAAAATATCAGACCTATATAAGCCCTTAATATTGATATTGAACCGTGCCACAAAGACGATACATTTCTCATTTAAATAACATGGGGTTTTGGGACGTTTTACAATTAATTTTTTTTGTTTCTATGTATAGAACGTTCAATTTTCTACAAAAATACTTGTTTGCCATTGCCATTTATAGATTGGCATATAAACAAAAAAATTGATTGTACAACGTGCCAAAACCCAAAATTATTTAAATAGGAAATGTATCATCTTTGTGGCACGGTTTAATATCAATATTAAGGGCTTATATGGGTCTGATATTTTTTATTAGATCACGAACTGAAAATCTAATGAGCACTGCAAAGTCAAAAACCAGATTGGTAAATAACGGACACTCTAATATTACTTTCAATAGTTATGTTGTGATTAAATCACTAAGGCGTAATCAGTCATCGGCATTGAATAATTATTTTTCTTATTTTAAACTGCGCTATCAAATGAATTGCAACTGAAAATCGTCACCAAGCTTAGTAGAATTATTCCCCAAATATTTAAATTAACATAAACATTGACTAAATTTTATGTAGTAATATTCATGAAATATAAAATTAGTTTAGATGAATTAATATATATTTTCATGGTAATATTGTGTTTAAATTACTCAGGTAATCACACTCAGTCATCAGCATTAAATTATTATCTTTCTCATTCTAAAAGTATGCAATTATACGTATTGCAATTGAAAATCATCACAAAAAACTTATTAAAATTATTCCACAAATATTTAAATTAACATAAAACATGACTAAATTTCAAGTAGTATTCATGAAACATAAAAACTGTGATAAAATTCTTCGTAGTCTTTATTAATTTTTATAAAAATAATAAAAAAAAAATTTTCGTTCTGTTGTTTAATTTCCAAAGTCGCCTTCAATAACATTTTAGTCGCCGAGCCTTGTTAAAAGTAGCCTAAATGGCTATAAGTCGCCGCATCTGGCAACCCTGGTCCCCGGGTAACAAAGGCTATATTAATTTTCAAATTTTTGTTAAGTATCCACGCGAAGTAGTAAATACTACAAAGTGAATACTATGTATACTTAGAATTATTGTAAACTGTGTACATAATCAACTTTTGAGAATCTGTTATTGGCCATCAGGCTGTTGTTAATAAACAAAATCAATAAATAAACAAATTCACTGTTATAAATTTGAGATTTTGGCTACTATGAAATATTTATTTTAATTATGAAAATTATCTAACGCATTGAAAAAACTTATTTCAGTAATAAAATATGATTAATTATACTTTGAATAGTAATGAAAAAAACTAATTACATCGGAATAATTAAAATAATATCTAATCAAAATTTCGAAAGTTTTAAAAATAAGAGATTTATGACAAAGTATTATAGTAAGTAAAATAATGTACAAGGTAAGTCAGATAAAAGATAAGAATGACATAAAAAAAACCGCTATTTGTTATTAATAACAAAAGGGTATTTATTAGCTGCAACGGAAGTAAAATTTAATTAATAATGGTTTAAGTAAAAATTATTATAGAAAAATATGAAGCCATTATAATTAAGAACACTTATACGAGTTTTATAAATTCACTTGCTAAAAATTCAACAGAATGTCATATTCAAAAGTTATTTTTGCAAAAAAAAAATATAGAGTATTTGTTAAGTTTCACAGCCTACAATATTTCAACCCATAAAAATAATGATCCAAATTTTTTTTTTTAGGCATCTTGTATTGTTTTCTTAAAATTTATCAGAAATTAATTTATTATAGAAGAAATTAAAAAAATGTCAATTTTTCAATTTAAAAAATATCATTTTTAAAAAATGATCAATAATAAAAAAAATTTTTTTTCTTTCAAATTGTTTGATTTTAAATTAAATTTTTGTTAATAATAATAGCTTTAAAACAGATTGAAAATATATTTTCACAAATTAAAAAAAAAATGTCCTAAAGTGTTGATTTTTTATATTTCTTATCAGTACTAAAAAAAACAAATGAGCATAATTACCAAAAATATTTTCAAATCTAAAGTTCTAAAAACAATAAAAGTACCTGTAAGAAAAATTAACTTTTTCATTTTTTTTACCACATTTTAAATCATAAAGAAAACATCTGATTAGTAAACATCATGGAATTCAAATTTTCTATCTCTGAAATTTCTGACAGAATTGACAATTTCAAGTACCTAAGTACATCAATAATTATTTGTATAAAAACCAATTTCCATAATACTATATATAATTTTTCCAGGAAGCAAAAAATTTATAGATGGAACTCAATTGAGTCACTGAATCCCTTTGAACGTTTTCTAGGACAATGTCTTGCTTTCGTTACATTTGCATTAATAGCAATTTTCATTATACTGTCAGGATTATTTTTACTTGGAATATTTATATTGCTTTGTCTGGTTGTAATTACATTTGCCGTTTTTATAATTATTTCTATTGGAACGATCGCTACTATCATATTGGGAATTATTGTGAACATTATCATTGCTGTCAAAGCAACATTGTTAATAATGGCTTTAGAAATGAAATCAAATTACACGAAATTTGATTTAATTAAAAACTCTCAAGATGCGACAATATGGGAAAGTATTACTGTCATTAAATCTGAAAAAGAAAGAATAATGTGGATTTGGTGTATCATAATCGCATATACAATACCGGAATTAATTAATTCACTATTATGTTTCAAAAAACGTTAAAATATGCCGACTATTAATCAGTTTTTATTAGTAATGATTCCAGAAACTTTGTATGTAATCGGAGTTGCGCTAATAGTTTTTGCTATTTTGCCGCAATCCGATTTTCATTTTATTATGTTTTTCGTTTGGTGTATAATTGAATGCGGATTACACAATCTAATATATCGACATTCTACGAAGTAGACAACAAGAAGCTCAGACATCTTCTTATAGTCATCAATATTATTTGTTTATCAATTTTCATAAATTATGCCATAATCCATCCACTTGATGGAATCACAACAAACTTCAATAATGTACTATAGTTACTATATTGGCACTGATTTTATTATATGGTGGATTTTGGCAAGATGTTTCAGGCTCAGTATTAAGTTTAACTGGTATGTACGACTTTTTTTTTATTTTAAGTATAATCCTAAATCATCTTCTTAATATTTTTGATAATTTTCATATAAAATTTTTTCATTTTTGTTATACGTTTAGAAGTGGAATCAACGCACATTTTGAGCAAGAATTTTAAATAAGTATGATTGTAGTTGCGTCAAACAATTTTTTTTTATCTATAAATAATTTGATTACAATAGAAATGATATAAAAATGCACTTATAGAAACAATTTTAAATTCTTCTTGTGCAGTTTTTTGATTTCTTTTATTACTAATTTTAAAGTTACTTGAAAATTTTCTAATATTAGCTGTCGACTAATTCCACATTTTTGAATTTAAGAAAATTGTAAAAATTGCATTTATGATGCTTATTCTTCTTAAGTCGCTCATTATGAGCAGATCAAAATGATTCAGGTATACCTGCAAAAATAAAATAATTTTTAAACTTTGGAAATTAGATGGATATTTCTAAACAATAACATCATTTTTTTATCCAGTTAGAGAACAGTATAAGTTACCATAAAGAATGAATTAAATTGAAAAGTTTTAATTACTAAAAATATATCTCAAGTAATTATAGACGATAAAAAATAATATACTTATTAATTAAATAACAATTATATTTTTAGGTGACATAGTGACCCTCAATAAAGTTCGCATAAAATTGAAGCCCGTAAAAAATTTTATTTTTGCATTGATATCAATTTGGAAAGTGATTGCTTTTATTGTAAGTTCCTTGTTAATACTCTCCTGTAATGGTGATAACATAGGACACATTTTAACGGAAATTGGATCTTCGTTCAGTGAACATACAGTCTCTTTTATTGTAAATAAAACTGAAACTATACTGTAAAAAAAACCGGGGTAAGTCCAAAGCGGTGTAGGTGTTAAAATTTGCGGCGTTAAATTCCAACACCGAAAGCGGTGTTAAAATAACACCGCTGCCGGTATAAATATTTTTTTCCGGTGTTGAAGCGGTGTTAAAATATTTTTTGATGTTGAAGATATTTTATTTAAGTCTGTTTTTTTATGTCATACATTTTTTTCTTAACTTTTATAGGCACAATTTTGTTTATTTCAGTAAAAATCATAAAAATTACACCGGCCCACAAAAAAAAAGTGGTCTGTACTTTTGACCGGACTTACCTATCTTTATGTATTTTGACGTGCTGAATCCAAATCTGAAGTCAGTTTTGTCCGCACACCGTCAAAATTATGAGTAAAATGCAAAAAAAAACCCTCAAAAAAGGCAAAAAATTGCAGTCATCGTTCTCTTCATTCTACTTATACTTCATTTTTTATAGATTTCAAAATTTTGTGAATATTTAAATTCTAAGATCATATTTTATACATTGAAATGCACCTGAGTCATTAACAATCGTGATTAATAGATTTTTTCTTATATTTAATGCAATTTTCTCGATTTTTTTTTATTTTTTGAAATTTTTTTTTTTTTATTTTAAAACGTCAATAGGACAAGAAAACTTCAGATTCAAATTCAGTGGAACAAAGTACATAAAAATCATACTCAATCTGAATCCAAAAAATTTTTTTCATCTCAATAATTTCGATTTTTCATGATTTCTTGCCTTTTTTTCAATTTTTTCAAACTTTGATGGATCAAGGGGCTACTTAACGTTTAGATTTAGATTCAGTGAATTGACGTACATGAAAATCATACTTGATCTGGGTTTACAATTTTTTCACAATTTTTTGCTTTTTTGGGGGTTTTTTTTTTGCATTTTACTCATAATTTTGAGGGTATACGGGCAAAACTGACTTCAGATTCAGATTTAGCGCGTCAAAATACATAAAGTAAGGTCTGGTTAAAAGTACAGACCACTTTTTTTTTGTGGGCCAGTGTAATGAATACTATTTTAATATATTTTCTATTTATTTTTTTTTTGTAATTTAAAAACTCAATTTTATTATGTTTTATAGATTTTATAATCTTGATATTTTAAATAGAATGGTTACTCCTCTTTTATACTGATATTACTCCGTTTTACACCGATTTAACACCGGAAAAGTTACGCCGGTGTTATTTTCTTTTAACACCGCGCAGTGTTAAAATAAGTCCATTTTTAACACCGCTCTTTTTACAGTGTACTCAAGTGATTCAAAGCATAACTTTCCCAATTTTGATTTTATCAATTCAAATAATTTTTTCTACTTATGCCACATTTAAAGGTGAGTTAGGCTTACCTTATCTAATTAACCAATAATAAAACATGAAAATTATTAATTCAAAACAATTTTTTTATTTTTAGGTCATGATATTGAATTTTCACGATTTTTACAAGGATTTGACTTCAGATCTTTCTGGGGATTCAACATTCCAATTTTCTTTTTGTATTTTATGAAACTGATTTTGGAATTGATTTTACCTGAGAAAAATTACTTGAATATTGATATAAGTGGTCAAATTATTCTCAATGATGGTTTATTTGAGGCAATAAATCAATCATCGTCAAATAAAGTCGAGCCGGATTTACTTTATCCTTTCCGAAGCTGGAAATCAACTGCATTGATGATTCCGTGTGCCTGGATATTCATACACTTTGTTTTGAGGATATATTTTAGATTTAATAAAAAAATTAATAAAGATTTTGATGATGACGTAGAATTAGATTCAAGACCTTTGATAGCTTAGAAAATATTTATAATCTAAAATAATCAATTAAAAGAAATAATTAATTACTTTTTTCTTTATTCATAATTATAATAATTGAAATTACATCTCAACTGAAGTCTATAGTTATAAAATCTAATCAAATTTACGAATTATATTTTTTAATATTCTAAAAAATAAAACAATTGATAAATAATTTTTATAAATTGAGTTATATTAATTATCATATCGCTTTATGAATTGTTTTATGACTTTTAAAATTTTCAATCATTAAAATTAAACAATCCTAAAAATTACCAACATATTGTGAAGTTAAAGATTTGGATAAATTTTATCAAATTATTATTTATTTTTTTAATTCTCTACAACTTTTTGTTACTATTAATAATCAAGAATGATTATCACTATTTTTATATCGAAATGCCTACCTCAATAAATAATTGTGTAATTTTATATTTTTCTAAAATTGAAAAATTTTTATATGTTAAATTATTTAAATAAAACATGAATAAAAATAACTGGTCAAGATTTTTATTCTTAATTCTATACATTTATATATAATTTTTACTTATTATTATTAATATCAACACCTTTTACAATTGCATTTGATTAATCCGTCTAGTTACGTTAATTTCTGGTGAAAAAGTAATTTTTGTATTAAATGATCGAAATATACATTATCATAAGAAACCTTTTTTTTTTATTAATCAATAAATAAATGATTTCATACGCCAGATAATGATATGATGTGTAAATTATCAAAACATAAAACTATAAATTACGAATAGCGTGTTAGATTATTTTACCTTTGACTCTATTTTACTCTAATCTTTAAATCTGATGTTATACTCAGTTTGTTTGATTCAAATTTATGATAGTGTGCGGATATTATTTACTTTGTTGTCTGCAAAATGCATATAAAAATATGTTTCATTGTTCTTTTCGGTTTTTTTCATTTATGTTTTGCAACAATTAATATGAACTTTAAGTGGAATGAATCATTGGGAGATTTCGTTCCTATTTTGAATCATTATGTCTATCAACTAAATAGTTCGTTTCGTAGACGGATTCAACAATTAGAGGATCACAAATTTCAGGGTGAAATAATAAAACTGGCTTATTATGAGGTAAGAATAGATATGAAAATGTTTCTTAGTATACCAAGTAAACCTTTTTTTTTCTTTTTAATTTATTTAGGAAAAAAATCTTGTCAACTTTTACGATAAAGATTCAAAAGTTACTGGGATTTGTGGCGAGGTGTGGAATGCGTTGTCAGAATACTTAAACTTCACGTAAGTTTGATGACATTGAATATTTGATTTTTAGTGAAATTGCAATTATTCTAATTTTGAGTAGTAGATAAACTGAATATATCCATATACATTAATTTTTTTAAAGACTTTTTCCAATCAAAATTCACGATACTACGTTTGGACGGAAAATGTCTAATGGAAGTTACACCGGTTTATTAGGAATATTGCAACGAAGAGAAGTTCATGTTTTACCAAGAGTTAATTATTATCTAGCCCACTGGAATATGATGGATTATACTATTCCGGTGTGGGAAAATAGGTAAGTTTTGATTTAAATAAGAAATTTTTGTTAATTTGAAACAAATGAGCTTTACTTAATTTCGGTAATAAGCAAACAATTAATTTTTCCTACATCTTCTAATTTAATTTCATCACCAAAAAGCTACTCTAAAAAATTACTGTCAGAAAATTAAAAAACTTTTTTGAAGATTTTTATTTTAGTGAAAAATTGCCTTGTAGATGAAAAACTATTTTTTGAAATAGTTGGTGACAAGTTTCAAATTTAAAGATCTTTTAGTAACTAATTATAATGAGCTGCAATTACCGCGCACATTAAAAAGTAATAGGTATGCAAGAAAAATATTTCCCAGATGTTTTCTTCTCCTGGAATTTCGTGCACAGTAAAAAGTATTTTGTAAAATCAACACAATTTTTGTGTTAAATACGATTGACACAAAATTTGCGTTGAAATTTAACAACAAAGTCACCCACCTAATGTTATTTTAACACAACAAATTTGTAGTACAGACTTATTTAACACAAATACATAATATTTTTTACTGTGTACATTAAAAATAACTTCGTTTTTTTTTTTTTTTACTTATACAATATACTATATTATGCAAGTTTTTAATTTATTTTTGCCTCAATCTAAACTCGGAGGTGATTTTAGTTAAAAAAAAAAAAGGATTCTTTGCTTTTAAGGGGTCATTCTGGTTCTGGCGCTCGAAAAATATTCATGATTTTTTAATTCAGAAACTGTTATAGATATTAATATAAAATTTATTCAGCTCAACAAATAATACACTCTTGAATAACACAAAAAAATATTAAAATTGTTTCATTTTTAATATTTTTTGTATGATTAAATATTTCTTGTATATGAAGAAATTTTTTAACACAATACTTGTCAGTAAATGTAGGTACTTTCAGAAAATGTTAAAAAAATTTTTTTTAAGTTACAAACCAGAATGATTCCTTAATATGATTGGCTTTAGAATTTTTAAATAAAAAAATTAAAAACTGAAAATTCTAAATCTTAAAATTTGCAAAGCTCTGTAACTAATTAGTTATTTGAGTAAAATTTTATTCAAATAGATAACTGAGAAATTATATTATTTCAAGCGCTCATATATATAATCGTCCGGAATATAAAAGTAATGGCTCATGGATCTTCCATTTGTTTACTTGGCGAGTGCGGCTGGTATTAGCGTTGATACTAATTCTCTTCAGTGTGCTAGGAGTATTGTCTGAGAAAGCATCATCTACACAAACTCGAACCTATCATTTAAGTCTACAAGATTATGTGTTTTACACATTTGCAACATTTTGCTATCAAGGTATGAGATATTTGCCCTTATTCAGAAAGATGATTTGAAATGATTACCTTTATGTTAATTGTATATTTATATAGTTCAAATCAGATGCTTTTAAATTATTTCAAATTAGATTTCTTAATCAGGGTTATCATTATCTATTCATTATTATTATTATTATTATTATTAATAATTTAATTATTGTTATTATTTATTATTTATTCACACTTACAGGTTGGCTACCCCAAGCTTTAGAAGAAAAAAGTAAAATACTCGAACTGACGAAAAGAATTTTTTCTTGGTTTCTCATAATTAATCTTAGCACTCATTTGGTATCTCACATGACAAACACTAACATAGAATCATCCTTCAATGATTTAAAGTCACTTCTCAATAATACTAAGTATCAGGTTTTGGTTACAAATGGATCGTTATCTTTTGAAAGAATAAAAGTAAGTCATTAACTAACTTTTATGTAAGTAAATAATTAGTAATTGTTTGGAAAATAAGGATCAAATTACTTATGGTCGGTAAATAAAAGCAGCAGAAAAATAGAAAAAATCATTAAATAAGAAAGTAGTACAACGTCAATTAAAGCTAATTACATTTGATATAATTTAGTTGTTAATGATAGTTTTAAAGTTATTTAGAAAAAGCTTGCAAAATTTTCATGAAAATGAAAAAATTTTTCAAACACCACCAACTCGTTCATAGAAAAAATAAGTTGAATTTCATCCAGAATTTTAGCCGTAATCTTGCTGACAAAGTTAATTCTAACATATATGTATATACATCGTACATATAAACTTTTAAGCTGATGCTTATTTATCAGCATATAACTTAAAAAAATACGTAAATAAATAAATAATAAATATTGTAAAAATTTGTTTTTTAAATATGAATTGTTCAACTAAAAGAAAATTTGTAAACATCATAAAAAGTTGATAAATTTACATTTAAAAAAAATGGAGTGAACTTTATACTTATAAACAATTATCAAGACGTTGTTTTGCTTATTTTGTCATCTAAATAATTTTTAACTTCAGATGGAAGCTAGCCGTTATTTAGGCGATTACTCTTCACGTTTTCAATTTATACCTTCTAAAGAGAGAATGACAGCAAAAGCCTGCTGGAGTAAGAAAAAGTATGCAATAATCGAAGCTGATGACAGACAACAAGCTTCAGGTATGAAAAGCTGTCTTTTGGTTAGAACTGGCTCGCCGCTTTTTTCTACTTGGACTACCAACGGAATTGTCAAAGGATTCAAGTATAAACGTTCATTTGACATAGGGTATTTCATTTATTCAACTTACTATTTCATTAGATGATTTTAATTAACTGTATTATTAAAATTAACTTAAATTTTTTAGAATTATTAAATTACATGAACGTGGTATCATTGATATTCTAAAGGATCGTTGGACTCCATATAAGTTTGCTTATTCGAATGATCGCAATACTAACGCTATTGAGTTTTATCACGTTCAAGTGCTCTTTATTTTTATTTTTCTAGCCGTGATAGCTTCTATTTTGATTTGCATACTTGAAAATATTATTTTTTTATTTCATCGTCGTTGCAAGAACAAAAAACAAATAATTTGCCAACAACGACGACAGAAGAGGCTCCATGCCAAACGATTTTTGTTTATAACTCAAACGCAATTGAGAACTTTGAAAACATCTGCAAAAGTTGGACTGTTTTTTAAATAGTTACAGTGTACTTCTTGTACGTGACAGTTTTATTATATCTGTTCTTTTTACATAAAAAAATCTGTTAAAGCTTGAATGTATAAAATTACTTTTCAATCATCACTCGAAGTATTAAAACTTCAAAAATTATATAAATGGTTTTCTTACTATTACTTGGTTTGATAAAAATTTTATTGGACTATTAAATGCTTACGAATTATACCAAGTATCATTCAAGACATAAGTAAGATTAGCAACCCAAGCGTCACATAAAAAACTGTTGACTTTTTGGTAAATTTTATTTAACAAGAAATCAAAAATTAATAATTTTCAACTTAAATTCAACAAAATATTACCAAAATAATTATTGTGCCGCTTGGGAATAATTCATTGATAAAGAACACATAAGCACCTGAATCAAAATTTAAAGTGATTCTTTATAAATTTTTAAGGCTTGATTCTAAGATTTTTTGGGTGATATTTAAAGTAGGGAATATGACGAGTATTTAAAATAAAATGATAGTCACTTATTAACATAAATTTATACATAAAAAACTACGTAATAAAATTATTGATTGTATTTTATAATGTTGAGGTTGCGTGTATGAATGAATATTATACTTTATTTGCATTTTTACACAATAAAAAATTTTTCATCATTGCGTCAAAAAATTTTGTGTTAAATACTGGTGTATAGATAAATGAAAAGACTTGAGTTTGTAATAGATTTATTATATTATATAATACTGAATTCAAAAATGGATTTTTAGTATTGACGAGTGTGCTGTTGAATCCAACTCAAATAATAGTAAACTCGTGTGAAAACATCTGGATAGCCCTCAGCACAAGGAACTACCCATGACGCGATTCCATGAACCTCATTATTATAAGTTAAGGGACCACCGCTATCACCCTATTAATGAGAAGAAATCATTTTGCCATTGTTTTAAGTTTAAGTATATAAATATAAATAGCAATAAATATTTCGTAACTTACTACACAAACACCAGTTCCCCAACCCTTCAAAACACAAATCTGACCAGGATATATATTATTTGAAAGAGCATTTGAACATTCTGTATTACTAACAATTCTCATGTCTAGTTTTTGCAAAATTAGAGGGGCTGATGATGGAGTAGCAAAAGTTAAAGCGCCCCATCCACTTGCCATGACTCGAGTATTTGGAGGCAAGTTTCTGCTTGGTAATTTAATTGAATGTTGAAAACGATTGAAAGTTATGGATTTTGCAAGCTAGAAATATTTGTTATACAATTAATATTTTTTATTTTATTTAAATTTAAATAAAAATTATTTAATATTACCGTCAGTATAGCAATATCATTTATCCAATTGTTTTTAGGGTCATAGTGTTCGTGACACACGATGTTAATGACTTTATGAAGTTGGCCGGATTGTTGTCCAGATTTGTCGTTTGTACCAGTCAAGACAGTCATATCCTGGTACACACTCATAGTTTGATCATTATCCACACAACAATGGGCGGCTGTTAAAATATGAGTATGGCTGATAATACTACCACCGCAAATATGCTGGTCATACACTCGCAATGAAGCTTGATGTCCGAATTCACCCAGTTGAGCGATTGCGCCGTTCACAATTTTACTGGGTTTTTTGGATTCTGCACCTGTAAATTTTGATAAATTCTAATGATGATTATTAATCTTATTTTTAATATTATTTGTTGAGATATAACATAATATGATTTTATTATACCATAGATGCAAAGTATTAAACTAATTATAACTATGCGTAGCATATTTGAAATACGTTTGAGAAATTAACTTTTCGAAACGATAACTGTAAGTAAAAATGAAATTTAAGGAGACTTTATATACATTCAGCAGAAAAACAAATTAAATACAAGCTATGATTTGAAGAACATAACTCATATCAGTTACTTGTAGATCTTGCGCTATAAATTTGTCGAAAAATATTTAGAGCGAAAAAAAAAATGAAAAAAATAAATCATTTATTGATGCACACTAATCACTTCACTTGTCACAACTGTGTAACAACGATTACATAGAGGACTGTTGGAAATGACTTAGGAGTTAGCGAAAAATGCTATTTTATACATATTTTAATGACAATAAGCATACTGACATAAATTTATTCATTTACGCACATCACCAAATTATTATGCCGTAAACTTATTTTAAACAATATAATGATTAAAGTAAGTATAACAATTTATAGTTTTATTGAATAAACAGCTGTGTTAAGCTATAAAACTCATAATTTATAAATTTTGCAATTCATATATTTACATGAATTATATGATTTATATTAAATCATAATTTAAGCGTGATATATTTTATCTATAAATAATAGTGAATATTTTTTAAATTTTAAACTAGAAAAATTGTATCAGTTTTAAATGATGTTTTTTGATTAAACGATAATTATAAATGAATGAAATTCTTAAAATAATTGAATTATCAGTAAAAAAAAAAAAAAGTAATTGAATAATAAATTGAATGAGAAAATAAATATTAATCAATTTAAATTATTTTAATAATCAATTTCAAGTCGATTTCTTGGATCTTGGTACTTGACTTATTTTTGGATTACAAAAAATATTCTCCGGGGTAATTGATGTATCAATAGTTGATCCTCGATACATATTAAGACGTTGTGCTATATCCTGAATCTACAGTAGTATTATGTCCAGGATAAAGATATATTTTAAATCATTGTGATCTCTAGTGATACATAACAAATAATTTAATAATTAGCAAAAAACAACTTAATAAAAATAAATTCAATAAATATTTTAAATTATATAACCGATGGTTACGGCGACGTGGCATGGGTTGCTGAGGTAAATTACGTGTAGAGATTGTAGCAGAACTAGAATTGATTTGATGCTGATATGAATTATCAACATTCGAAAAATTATAACCTTTTGCGTTGTTAGCCGAAGTACGTTGGTGAGAAACATAGATTTCCCTTGCTTTCAAATTATCATATTTTTCTTGCAATATTTGTAGATCTTTCTTCTCTCATTCAATACGTTTGCGATCTTCTCATTAGATCTATAATTTACATTAGAAATATAAAAGATATAATATTAAATTTATATGATATATTGAAACAAATACTTTCAAATTAATATTAATATAACATAAATTAAATTTTAAATTATAAGTAGATTACAAAAATAATAAATATAAATTATCGGTTTTTCAAAGCTCATGTTTATATAATCGCACATTGCTTGCTCTAAAATTTCAAAACCGATTCCAATTGTTCATTATTTTGAGATAAAGGAACAAACAAATTGGCAATGGATGCATGGTGGTAAAGGTGCCACTAATGGCGTTGATTGGATCCCAGTGGTTACAGGATGGACAGTGGTTTCCAACTATGCAAAGTAAATATTTATTGGCGTCCAAAATTTGATATTTTTTCATCAATGTGTAAAAATTTTTTTACAACTCACCTTTAGTGATGCATTTATAAAAATAAATATGTTGTCCACACTGTGTCAATGAGAATGATGGACTACTACTACTATCTGTCGGGAGCATATATTTGTTACAAACAAAATTCGAAGGTTCCATATCTTCAATGATATTTATAAACGGAAAATCCTTTTAAAATAATTTACTAAAATTGTATTTATCAATTTTTTTTTTAGTGTGTATGAATAAAGAATCTATCGTATTCGTTTATTATTGATTATCAGTTTCAAGACAACCAATTATAACACTTATTGTATGTACTAAATAAAAATTTGAAACAAATGACAAGGACAATAGTACGAAATTCGGTAGCTTTACTGGTGAATAAAAAAAAATAAGTTTTTTTGAATTCAAATTTTTGAGTATTATTTTCTTATAAATTATAATAAATAATTACTGTTGTCATAAATCAAATTTTCGCTACTATTAAAACAAGGCACTTAAACAAAATTAAGAAATTTTGTTTTTTGAAATAATGATGATACTTTTAAACTAGCTATCATGTAATAATTTAATTGAATCCCATTTTTCTATCTTCAAGTCTATGATTCTATAGATGTGAAGTTGTTTAATGTTAAAAATTCAGTCCATGAACCTTATTGGATAAAATTGAGTTGAGTGATTCGAATTTATGGTTATTGAAAAATAAAAAAATTATGCAGTAAAAAAAATTATATTCTTGCATATAAAGAACTTTTTAAGCTTTTTATGTACCTATATGCTAAGACTATGAAGATTGTTGAAAAAAACTATATATAAAATTCTGATCAATCAGTATCATAAAAGAAAGAATTTATAAAATTAGATCGCAACAAAAATTAGCCTTAAGTACTGAATAATAATGAAGAAATTCTGGGTGCATCGTCTGCTGTTAAACTTGTGTATTATATTCAAATATATATTGCAAAGTAAAATCATAGAAGAAAGTATATTAATATATCTAGCAAATGTAAGTAACAATAATTCTCGATTTGATGAATTACTGTAAAGAGAGCAGTCAAAGAATCATCGATTAAGAAAGCATCGATATCAGCGCTAGCTTGGAAAAGAGAAGACAAAGTAGTGCTTCGGTCCAATTCAAGATAATCTTATGATGATTTTAAATTTATTTATAAACTGATAAAAAAATTAACTTGATTTAAAACGAAAATTCTTGAAAGAAGAAAATTCTCTTGAAGAGTTTGATCATTTTGAATCAAACAGAAACATTGTTGAATTAAAATATTGTTTTTAATTTTAGTAAATTTTACTTAATTCAAAAACTTTTCTGCTTGTGGTACTATACAGAAAAAAATAACTATAAATATTTTTTTTTTTTTCATGTGTATTAGAAAAATTTTGCAAAATCAATAATTCAATTTTCGAACCAAGAGACGATTGTATGAATTACTTCTTAAAGGTACGGGAAATCAGATCATCACTTTTAATATCAAGAAATTATTCTTGCAATTTCTCTTTCAGATTTTTTTTTTTTTTTTTTTTTTTTTTTCGTATTTTTGTTCTCTAAATTCTTTTTCTTTTAATTACGCCAACAATATTTTAAAGATTCTAATATTTGCTCTAAATGAAATGGTAAGTTTAAATTTAATAACGTCTTTTTACTTGATAATTTTAAGACATTTTGAGTTTTATTAATTATAAATAGTAGCATCATTATCTTTACATACTTTTATACTGTAATTGTTTATAACTTTTATTTTTATTCTTGTAAACATATCTTCTTAAATTTAGTAGGCTTGTTTTTTGTCAAATAAATCTGTACACCCATCGAATATTTCTATACAGTTTTATCTTATAATGCGATTAGATATTTTACATATGTATATCCTTTCTGAGAACTTATATTACAATGAAGAAAAATATAATTATAAAAAAATTTTATTCTTAAATTATTCTACAAAAATTTACAGATCCAAAAAAAAGTATGGATACTATATAAATCTTTTAATTAAGTAGATAATATCTCTTAAACAATGGCTTGTAATCATGTCTCAAATGACAATAGATAAATTTGTCGTAACTTAATTTCTTCTTTAGTATTACACCGATTTATTAGTCATTTGATGCAGTAAATTACTTTTTCATAGTAATATCTTCCTATACATGAGCAGTGATTACTCCGAAATGTGCTTACCACTAATAACAACAATTCAAGTGCATAAATACTTTCAATTTGTGTATTTATTCTACATTAACATGTTGATAATTCCTACAATGCATAGTTTGGTGGCAATGAGTCATTTGTACTTAATTATTAGGGCTTTGTATCAATAAAATCATTCACAATATATTTTTCGACTTAGTTGGATTGTCGATTCGTATCAAGAAGAATTGGTGTTCATATTTGTACGATCCAATTTTTTGAGTAAGTTTATTATTAATCACCACGTTTTTATAATATTTATAGTTTTATGTGCAATAGTTATCGTTTATCACGAGTAGTAATTTATTAATTTTCGTGTTTCAAGTGAGTTCCTGTGATTTTCATTCGAAGTACGAATTCAACCAGGAGTTTTTATAGGATTTTATAAGACAAGAAAAAAATCTACCCACAAATATTATTCAAGAAAAATATTAAAATGGATCAAGGACATTCTTCAAATCAACCCCAGTTCCGAGATTCCCATACTTGGGAATCAGTGCCTTACAACCAAAATAAATCAGTTCAATCGAAGTATTTTAAGCTTTCATGTAATATTAAAATTAAGTGTTGTTTATCAGCGTACCGATTTCAAAATCCAAGCGTTACGGTTCTGCACGTAAAAGTTAATAAAATCTGTCTATTGAGACCCTACGGCGCAGCTGACATTACGATCACATTGAGCGATGGATGTAGTAAAACTGAAAAAATTCGCGACTGGTTCAAGGAAAGCAGTATTTTTTGTTTCTCCAACACGACTGGCGGTGATCAATGGCGTCCAGATATCAAGTGCGACATTGCTTGGTATGGTTTCATCAGTAAAGAAGAATGGAAGAATGTTTTAAACAAGAAGAAAGTTCTTCCATTAGAAGAACTGTTATTTTCAGACAATGGCAAAGACGTCAGTTTGGTTGTTAAAAATAAAGTTTTACGAGCACACAAATGTATTCTCCAGTATTACAGTCCTGTTTTTTGCGCAGATTTTAAAAAAATAGGTCCTGTTAACAATATTGCTTTGCGTTTAGACGATTTTGAATTTGAAGCAATAAAAGAAGTATTGACATTCATGTATACTGGAGAATTTGAGATAGATGATGCTTCCACGTGGTTGCAGGTACTGAAAGTCGCACATTTCTATAAAATCGATAAATTAGAAGAATATTGCGAAACTAATATGTTGAAATTCGTTAAAGCAGGAAATTTGTCAGCAAATATGATGTTCGATAGTCGGCTCATTATGTGATGCTAGTTTTTTGCAAGCCGTAAATGTAGTTTATTTTTTTCTATTTATTTAAAATGTAAAATGTAATAAATTTGTCAATTATTCCGCTTGTTTCATTGATAAGGTCAAAATCAAATGTTAATTATCTCTAAAAATATTTGTGTAATTCTGTAAATCTAAGTAAACATATATAACCATTACCCTGTATATATCATCGCAAAATAAAATCATTATTTTCATATGTAACAAACTGGAATTTTTTTTTTTTTTTTTTTAGATTTAGTGTAATACAATTGTTGAGTTTATTATCACGATTATAACGTATATAATTATATATACGAGTAAAAACGAAGATAAAAAAAAATTTGTTATATTTATTAGAGAATTAAAATTAATTCTAATAATAGAAGAGTAGTAAAATTCAGAATAATATTCATTGACGTGTATGTCCAAATTATTACAATGAAAATTTTTTTGAACTCATGACTATTACATTTAAATTTATGAAAATAATTGTGATTAAAAATTAAATTCACAGAACACAAATATTTTTGTTGTATTGTGTTTAGTCACAAATATCTACATCTTAAATGATAAGTTTCACTTTATAGTCACTTATTTAAGTATAATTTTGGATGAATCAAGCACTGATTTTTTTTCAGAATATTAATTAAGCCACCAATAAATGTTGTAATAGTTACATATACTTAGTATCGAATAATATTTGTGTTATGAATAATACTACAAGAGAAAATGATAAATAAAAAACTAACGACTAAAAAATCGTTTACAATTATCACAGTCTCGATTATCGAAGAACTCAGTTGAAGAATTCTTACAGCAAAAATATAACTTTCTTCAGTTGTATTACTTTTTAAAATTTTTCTAAAACTTAAACTCTTTTACAAGCATTTTAACTCTAATCTCAAGTAGAAGTTTAAATAAATTATAATCCCCTGAATTTATATGCATATAAATTGATAAAAAACAACTTGATTCAAGAGAAAAATTCTTGAACCAAGAATATCATTTTGAAGTTTGATAATTTTGAATTAATTGAAAAAAGTTTTGATCTAAGAAATTGTTCTTGGTTCAAGTTAATTTTACTCGATTTAAGAATTTTGTTACTTGATTTAAGATGATGAAACTTTTCAAAATGATATTTTTGGTTCAAGAATTTTTCTCTTGAATTCATGAGGTTTTTTCTTTCACTATCTGGAACTATTTCCAACTTTTCAGAAGTATAATGTGTGTCAGTATCATCATTGACAAGTGTATAAATATCAACACCAACAAGAATGTATGTGAAGAATAACATCTCTAAAAAGAAACACATAATAATCCTCGCGTTTATAATATCGATAGCTCCCATTATTTTCAGGATGTAATAAAGAATGAGAGTTGATATATCATCATTATTCATAATAATAATTAACGAATTCTCAATTATCAAAAAAGGTTGCAAATGTGCCTGCAATAAAATAATTTCTTTCGAAGTATAACATGCATCAACAATGATTTATTTTCAAGACATCATTTTTTTTCGTTGACCTTGTTGGTCATTAAAAGTAATACAGCTAAATGAATTGATCGAGTCCCATCATCAGTAACTATATCATCGGCATGATTAATCTTTAATCAACAATTTAACCAAGTCATTATTATCCTACTAACATGCAATGTTATTATTAGAAAAATTATTATAATTATAAATTAAATTGAGGTTACCAGTGTGAAGATATTCTTCAGAAGATGTAGACATCAAGCAGGGATAATGATGATATCCGGAAATAATGTTTATATTTTTCTAGTAGCTCATCATGCCACGTTGTAATTTCTCTGTGGGTATTACGGACTTATTTTCATGGATTCCATGAGGTTTATTACACTTATTATTTGAGGTTTATTATGCAAATTTTTCTGAAATCAAAGTTATTAAAATTGTATTTATCTTTATAAATTCAAGTCAGCGTTAAATAATTTTTGGTATTATTCATTATTTATTAATATTGATAATAAATTTTATTACCCAATACCAACAAATAAAATCCTGAAAAAAGAAAATATTGAAAAAATCAAGTTTTAATATAAAATTTTCGACATTAGTTAAATTAAAATTTTTTTTTTTTTATTGATGAGGTAGTAAATTACATTTTTGTTTGTTTATTTTTGCACAATATATTTATTATTATACTTTAAAAAACGTATAGCATATTTATGATCTACATAACTATATATTTAAACGTTGACAAATGTGTGTCCGAGTTCTTTTGAAGTATTTTCGGATCATGTAACTTTTTCATCATTAAATATGACTATATGACCTTACAATTATCTTCAAGTAAATGACACACATAACGCCCAGTTTTTTTTACAGATTATACAGCATAATATCGCACGATTTAACAATAAGATCTTACTTATGTAATTATATAAAAAATTTAATTTGACGACTTGAGAATATGCGAAAATAGTACCAAGTTTCTATGTATCTCCTTAACAACGACTATCTACAGTCCAATAAAAATCTATTAAAATAAACTTAAATAGATTACAATAATTTACGAGAAACGAGAAATGTATTTACAACAGTTGAATTAATAAGAAGTAATGTCTAATTAAGTTAATAAATTAAATGAACGGAGATTTTAAGTATAAAAAAAATTAACTATAAATTATTAAACATTATGAAAACATAGTCATTAAATCTTGTACTGATATTTTTGAGCTTTCCTTGTTTTTACCGGTTAATATCGAATTAGCCAAAGATAATTTTTCTTCTTGTAATTTTTGGATGGTTTCTTCAATTGTATCATTGCATATAAGTTTATAAATATACACATTTTTTTTCTGTCCAATACGATAAATGCGGTCACAAGCTTGACATTCTAATTGAGGATTCCAATGTATATCAACAAGAATTAAGTGGTTTGCACCAACTAAATTAAGACCAACGCCACCCGCACAAAGCGATAACAACATAATTTTAGGATTTTTTTCTTTATTAAAAGAATTTATGATACCTTGACGATTTTTTACGGCGACTGCCCCCGTAAACATTTCAAATGTAGCACCGGGTACAGTACGTAAATTCTCACCAATTATTTGAAGATAAGTTGACCATTGTGATACTATTATGAGTTTTTCCCGTTTCGCTAAGATATCACGCACTAAATTAAGGATTACAGTCAACTTTGAACTACATCGTTTTGGATTGAACACTGGATTTTCTGATGTTAAGAGATGCTCAGAAATGCGTTTATCAACTCCAACTGCTTCATTTTCTTCGCCTTTGTCAGAAGCGTCCCTAGAAATATTTAAGCCTTCCAGTTGAGCAACAAGATTGTTTTGCGATTGGCCAGAATATTCACCTCCATCGGCTCCATCAATCTCAATTTCCTGTTTGTCTAACATATCGTGAATCAATGAAGGTTGACAACAAATTTGACGAAGTCTAAGAAGAAGAACTAAAATTTCAAATGTTTGAACATCAGCATGTCTCGCTAACAATTGCTGCTGTGCTTTATTAAAACTATTTTTAAATTTATTCGCAACACCAAGTGGAACAAGAGCTTCTTTTTCTGCCCGCTGATGTAGAAATTGAGCAAAAAATGTTCGAGAATACATCATAACTTTATCATATACAAGACGTTCGTCTTTATCTAAAGAAATTTTTATAATTTCCAAATGTTTTTCCGGTAAAGAATCAATGTCACCTTTATTAATAAGTTCATTTTTAGTACGGCGAAGCATTAAAGATTTCATCACCATGGCAAGCCTTTCCACACCAGCATCACTCTTGTTTTCGACCCAACGCTTCCAAATTCGTATATCGTCGAACGGTGAGCATTTTAAGAACTTCAAAATCGCAAATATATCCATTCCTTTGTTGTGAATTGGTGTGCCCGTGAGTGCCCACCGTTTTTTAGCTTTCAGCTGACAGACTGCTTCACAAGCTTGGCTTTTATGATTACGAATCGCATGAGCTTCATCTAAAATGACTCGTTTCCATTGGATTTGAAAAAGTTGACCATTGTTTTTTGACTCGCGTACTAATAAATTATACGTTGTAATGACTATATCATTACGAGCAAGACGTCTTGGAACTTTTTCGCGATTATTACCATGATAAACTTCAGTGACAAGGACTCCACGTTTGCATCGTGTATCTATTTCATTTTTCCACTGGTTAATCAGCGAGGCAGGACACACAACTATGGTTCCCCCTTGATATTTACACTCTTGATTTTCAATGTTATCACCATCATAGACATCATCATCAATTGAGCTATCTGCAAGTGATTTAATCACCAATGATATCATTGTGAGCGTTTTACCAAGTCCCATGTCATCAGCAAGTACACCACCTGGAGGTTTTTGTTTCTCGCGCCATGTTAACCAAGCTAAAGCATGTTTTTGATGAGGCATAAGATGTATTACTAGTCCTTTAGGGTCTTTAACTTGTTCATTTTCACTGGGTTGTGATATTAACGATCCATGAAGATGTTCTAGACGTTCCACTGTCAACGCTTGTTCTTTTTGAAAAGTTTCCAATGCTCGTTTTCCTAATCCTTCAGTGACTGTATTTGCAGTGGGTTTCAACAATTTTTTACGATCAAAATTCAAGCTATTGGAGTTTACTTCTGGCGAATTGACGCTGGGGGAATTGTGGGGATTATAATTAGGGTAATTCATGGAATTTTCTTTGTCAGATGAAAGATTATGACTCAAATCTGTGGATGCGACACTGGAATTGTTGTCTTCCATTTGTTCAAGCTGCTTTTTATACTCATTTAAACTCTCTTGATTTTTCAGTATAGATTTCCTTATATTTTTTCCTCCATCAGGAAGTAATTCGCAATTACCTTGCATTAAAAATATCTGAAAAATTGTTTTCATTACAATTTTTTGTTCAATACTAATTGAAAAATTTTTTAAATAAAATAATAAATAGAAATACCTTTGATCTTTCGATATCGGTTGTAAGACGTTTAATTTCTTTTTTTATTTCACTTCTAGTTGTTGGCTTGGTTAATGATCGCTTTGGTGGTTTTTTTTCTTCATTATCAGTAGCTGGAGGTTGCTTATCTGAAAAAGAAAAAAATTTTTTTTTTATAAATTAATGTACCTAAAGCTAAATAATAAAAAAATGACCTTTATCTAATTAAGAATAAATATAATACCATGATTAAATATAACAGTCTCTCGGGGTGTATCGTCTTGATGAATACTATCCTCATCATTTATTTCATATTCATCTCTGGTATGATCGTTGCTACTCATTATTCCACTTGATGAATTGATAGATTTATGAGAATCATTGTCGTCGATACTATCTTTTTTCGTTGGAGTTTTAAGGATCGCACTATCGTCATTTTTGTTCTTACTATTGATTTCACTCTCATAACTAACATGGTAATTTGTATTTGTTGTGTTTTTGCTACTATCTACATCATCATTATCATCATCATCACTCTCACTAATTACGCGTAGGTTATGGTTTTTACTTGTATCATTTTTGGATGTTAACATTTTTTTTCCACGATTCAAATGTTTTCGACTATGATCAACACGGTCATCAACATTTTCTTGATATGGTCATCACTCGGTGATGTATTATGATTTTTACACTCAAGTTCTTGATCGTTTCCATTACTACCATCATCATCCGACGAACTAGATTCATAATGAGCAATTTTGTGGATACTTCTACGTATTGCTTTTCGAATATTCATTTCGACAACATCCATATCATGATCTTCATTCATTCTGAAAATTAACATAAAATGTTAATAAAATTAATTGTTTCAAATCCGTCTTTAAAACAATAAAATCTTTCCATAAAAAGTACAAATAACTCACTCATCCTCAGAATCTGACAAAATTCTGTTTATTTTTTTTCTACTCGTGTTTGGTTTGCAAATAATACTTTCCTCGAGAATATTATCCGACTCCCTGCAAACAAAAATATGACAAGCAATAATTTTTATAATTAGTGACGTAAAATTAATAATAACGATAAAACGAAAGTAAAATTGTTTTACTTACCCTTCATCATCAGATTCAGGAATTAATTTATTAATACGAAGCTTTTTTTTAATATAATCATTTGATTTATTTACTGTTTGCTCGTCATCAGAGTCAATAACTACTATTGAATCTTGATCTGCCATACTAAGTTCTTGATTATTAATTTCTATAAGACTATATTAATCAACAGGTTTATGTTTATATAAATTAATGCATTAGTTACAGTTAAATTGTTACGTTGTGTTATGGTTTAGTGACGCTTTGTTATTAGTTGAAACTAGTTGAGACCCGTCCATGCTGTAACTGACAAAAGTTTTAAACTATCTTATGCTGCCCTCTACGTTTACTTTCTCTTTCAATGTTCCTTTGATATGACATTAAAGTTAAGTCTTAACCATTTTTTAATTTTTTTTCAACAAACAAATTTGGTTTGAAAAATTATTATAAAAAAAATTGCATTTTTTTTTTTTACAATTTCTACATATCAATTTTTTTTGCCATAATTTATTTGTTAAAAAAATTATTAAATATCTGCTAAATCAATTTTCTTGCTCCTTTCATGTAACATAAAATGTGTACACTATTCTCCCTCCAAGAGATAACACTCTCTTATTTGTTTTTTATTTAAAAATTAATTTTTACTTTTATCTACTTTTTATTTATTTTTAAACTTTTAAAATTATAAAATGTTTGTTAGATTTTACTTGAATTTTTTCTAAACTTTGATTTAAAAATAAAAATTTTTGCGTTTATTTTAGATGAAGGTAAAAAAATTTTTTTAATCGAAAATAGTTACAAACTAAGGTTTAAAATAAAATTTTTAATATCAATTAAATTAAAATTTTTTTCTTTATTAATTAGGTAGTAAATAACATACGCCTTTTAAATTTTGTTAATTTTAGCACAATGCATTATTATATTACTTATAAAAAAGTAGCATAGAAACTATGGATTTAAACGCTGGTACATGTATATATATCCGAGTTCTTTTGGAGGATTTTCGGATAATGCAACTTTTTCATCATTAAATATGACCCATCGATTGTCTTTGAGTAAATGACACACATAATGTCCAACCATCGTCGAAGTCCCCATATGTGAGATAAAGCCTACAAGTTTATAATGGCTGTCACCATCACGATATTCGACTTGAGCCGGTCTAATTTCTTCTTCCATCACTCCATGTGTATCAAGTTCATCTTGATGACTGATGATCCAGTCAACTGCACGCTCTATATTATTATCCGTTTCTTTGAGTGCTTTTACAGCACGATCTTCAGCAAATCCTAAACTCAAAAGATATTCAAGGCCTGCTTCACTGGGTACAAAAGGTGCTTTTGATAGTGTTATTTCAATTCCCGGTGGGACAAATTTATCTGCAAAATCGGAATCCATCATATGTTCTAAAAGCCAATTTGAAGCTACTTCGAGGCCTTGATTTTCAGTAAAATACAATGCTCTCTTGCATGCTTCTGGTGGGAAACCCATGTCAATCAATTGACTGAGAATAGTTTGATCATAAACCGGCATTGGGATTTCAGCAGCTGCTTCTGGCAATACTTTTTCATTAGGTTGTAATCCACAACCACGCAGAGAAGTCAAATCTAATATATCAGGCATCTCAACGGCGACATCTAATTTTGCCAGTGTCCAATCTTCATTGACGGTAAATTTTTTCAAGTGTATCAAAAGATAATCTGGAAATGTTGCAAGTCTTGTTATTTTTTTGGCAATTGTTTTACCATTAATTGCAGTACTATAAAATTGTTCAATAGATTCAACACCAGCAAAAGCTTCAAGGCATGATGAAAATTTTATATGTGGTCGTACAGTAACACTGGAATCTAATTTTCTACCCGCAGCTTCAGCTTCCTTTTTTGCTCTCTCATGGGCAGCAACTTCTTCTTTATTAGTTGCTGCTCCCATAGGAATCGGAAGTGGTAATAAATATTCTGGTCGGTATGAATATTGAACATTACCAGAACTACTGCATTCGTAACGTTCTTCAACTTTAAATTTGAAACAATTTGCTGGATTTGCTCGTTGAACACTGTGGCGTTGTAAAATACTCAATAAATGCAATAAATATTCTTGAGCATCTTGCTGACGATTAGAAGAAAATCCTGAATGTCCACGGCCTATTAAGCTTTTAAACATTCTTGGCTCAATACCTTGCTGTGCATCATTTTGATCTTCTGATTTTGGAGCGATTGAATATTTACCAGATAGTAAACCAGATCCCAATTTAGCCATTTGAACATTAAAATCATTGGCTGGATCACTGGTATTATTATCAAAAATTTCTATCGCTGAATTAACGAATCGGTCAACAAAATCTGGAATCATAAAAATCATCTGCATTACGCTATTCAAGTAACAAGAATTTCCAAGATTCACAAGACCAGTATAACCAGGTCCATAAATTGGAGTTAATTTACTGGCAGCTTCTTGAAGTGCTACCCATTCACCAAACTTTTGATTAAGATCTAACTCTAGTTCAACCATTGATTTTTCAGTTTTTTCTAATTGAGTAATATTAATGCCCCAGTGAGCCAAGTGTTCAATTAAATGAGGATCTTCAACCATATCATCTTCATCATATGAATACACATCTCCTTTTCCTTCCTTGGTGATTGTTCCTAATTTAACTGCTAAAGGATAACTGGTCTCTTGATAGTGTTGAACAGCATGATTATTACCACCCGAACCATCATAAAATTTACGTCCACACAAAATTGATCCATCAGTTAAATTTAACCATAAATTTTGATTGAGATCGCATTTATCACATTTCCAACCATTTGGTGGTATTTTTCTTCCATTATCAAGTTGCAATAAATTTTCAGCATGTTTAGAGATAATTTTAGCTTCACCATCCCAAGTACCCGCGAGAGCTTCTCTCTCAGCTGCTTTGGTTGCTGACTCAGCATTCAAAATAGACGTTATTGAAAGATTCATTTTCTCTGGTATTAAGTCGGATGGATATGGAAATGTTTTAAAATCTGGCAAAATAACAATTTCATAATGATCATCAAAAACATATTTCTTTTCATTAGGATTGAATCCACCAGGTTCACCAATTGCCAAACGAGTTATTTTTTTCGCAGGTCCATCAGCGGCTTGCTCACTTGAAACTTTTTTTAATCGTTTTATGTTAAGATAAACGCGGTGTCCAGTTTTATTGCTGTATCTTTCAACATAATCACGACCAAGTCCGTGAAAACTTGTCAGGCTCACGTACAAACCAGATGGAGATTCAGGTGTATCAAATGAGTAAACACATTCGTCTTTGTAAATTTTATCATGAGGCCCAGCGATTTTAACAACATCTGAGTACATACTCAACATCATTGTTGATTCCATTGTTAATTTTTCGTCGTATAAAACGTATTTATCAAACTTTTTAATAAAAGAATTTATATTATTCTGAAATATAAAAAATATATCAATAAATAAGTTGTACGAAGATTAAAAAGATTGATAAATTAAATAGCTCTCGTTTTAGTTAAATATAACTAGCACAAAAGTAAAAAGTTTAATTTTTTTACTTAAAATTGACAATAATAAATAGTATTTTTATTCATCTAATTTTTCGTGCAATATTTCATTTGTTAATAAATAAAAAAAAAGGTTTAATTTTGGCTACTTTTATCCTTTTAAAAATGCATATATTATAGACCAGATTGCACTAATTTTTTATGTTCATACTTAAAAAATATTTTTTGTTACTTAAAAAATACAAAAATTCTCTTCAATTTACAATTTTAATTGCGATAAAAAAAATTATTTTAATTTCTTTCATTTTTGTGCCGTGTTTTTAACTGTGGTTAAAACATTTCCGAATATATATCGAATTTGCATACTTACTTATTTCAGTTCTAGTTCAATAATATAAATTTGGATTCGTAAATATTATACCAAGATAATATTTTTTTACATCATTAGTAGTAAACTAAATAATAATGAACATCAATTGATTATAAAACTCTGAAAATGTGGGAAATAAAATTTATTGATTAATCAACTAATTATTTCAAATGCAATAGATTATAAAAAAGATATATTACAACTTACTTATTGAAATGCTGAATTTATTATAATATTAATAATGATTACTAATATATTTAATAAAATTTACGATGCGTTGGATTGAGATCACAGGGAAATTTTCTGGAAAAAAAAAAAAATAAATTATACCCTTTGGAATTTTCCGTATTTTCTAATAAAATCCTGATACATAAATTTTTTTTGGTGAAAGTAACTTTGCAAAATGTTATTAAATGTTATTTAGTTACAAATATAAATCTTTATAACTCGTAAATGATTCAAGATGTATATTTTAATTAAAAACTCATAATGTATTAGTTTTAGTTATTATTAAATATTATTAAAGATAAATTTACCTGTAACATTATTTTCTATATTTATTGACGATGAATTGTCATCAAAATAATAAGTCTTGAAAGTTTGGTTAGTTTTATTTTGGAGCTTGCTTATAATACACTTTTGTAAACTTCATCCACACTATATCTATATACATATAAGATGACGATGAAAAGACAAAATTTAACCAATCATTTTAAACCATACAGGAGAAAGACATTATTTTTATTGGACAATAAACGGACAATTGAATCTCTATGTATTGCTACTTTTCATGAGACATTATGGAGAAATCCATTATGAGAAATCATGCGGTAAAAACGCTACCTTTACGGTAAAAAAACGGAAGTACTTGCTTGAACAATTGATTTTAAATTACTAACAACACTCTCAATGACTATCAAATCATCTCTTGCTACAATTTTATATTTTTTATTTCAACTAAAATAAATATTTACAGAGATAATAAAATTAATATAATCAAAACACATAATACTTACTGGAATTAGCAGATATTTGAATATTTTTTTTGTTTTCACTTGAAAATCAGTTGCTTAATTAAAACAAAATTTTTTTTAGTATCATTTAAATTTAACAATTGATGACACTGAAGTTAGCAGACGTCTAAAAATTTTTGATTTTTTTTATTAATTAAATTACAGCTAAAAAAATATTTATAAAAAATTGCACTTATAGTTTTTCAAGTTTTTTACATGTGACAATTTTTTTTTTAATTGTTTAATTGAAATTTTTTCAACAAAAAATTTCTAAAAATTTTTAAATGTCGGCAAACTTTATTTTCATAACAAAAAATGTTTAAATTAATAAGACATAAATAAATACGTTTTTTTTTTTTTTCAGACAACAATTTTTAAATAATCAAAATTTAGTGGTTTTTTGATGATACCGAAATTTACAAACATCCAAGTGTCACAAAATAAAATTTTGACTTTTTGGGAGATTTTATTTAACAAGAAGTCAGAAATTTATAATTATCAACTTAAATTAAACAAAACATCACCAAAAAAATTTTTGTGCCGCTTGGGCATCTGTGAATTTTTGCGATTTTTATAACAGTTAATTGTTAACTAGTATAAATTAATTGTTAATTAAATTATTATAAAAAAATTTTAATTAAAAAATTCCCCATTTACAAATTTAAAAGAATTACAAGTATAATTTTTGTAAAAATATTTTTTCTGTCTAATCAATTAGTTATAAAAAAAAAAAAATTGTCAGAAGTCTGCTGATTTTAGTACCATGTTTTTTGTTAAAAAGTTATAAAATAGCGATTGTAAAATGAATTCTTAAATGAAACAACTTTGAAAATAAAAGTATCAAATAAAAAATCGAAAAGTTGAAAGTTTAAAAGAAGATTATTTATCAGATTATTTTCTTCAGATTATAGATACTCAAATAAATTGAGCTTTTATGAGACTGACTCTTTTCAAAATGAATAATTTATAATGTATAAATAAAGTTGTTGCCGTACGTATTAGAATACCATATTAATTTCTTTAATACCCTGAAGGGTAAAATAATAAATTATTACTTCAATCGGACACTAACATCAGAGATATTTACTTTACAAAAATGAATTGCTATATACTCTATTAACAAAGTAATTCATTCCGTAAAAGTCAAACGTGGAAATAAGAGGCTTTTTTTTAGATGATCTTATAAATTTTTTTAAAAATGATTAAAATTACACAACGCTTTCAAACTAATAATTATTTTTTTCTCCAATTGATTTCCGTGTTTTTCAAAGTACTCACACTTGCTCCCTTCACGATAACTATTCGCCGAACATCGAGTTCTTACGAAAACAATCGAATAATTGTTAACACTTCATATTCATTACCAGGATCAGTGTATAATATTTTTTTCTCATTAATCTCTATAGTGACTTTAGTTTATTTTCAATTTGATAATTGCACCCGCAACGAAAATTTAAAAATAATAGATAATCCTGATCTCAAGAAGTTGTATAAAATATTGATTGAAATGAGTGTTCCTTGTATTTCAATAATTATAGGGATTTTTTTCTGTTTAAAGCAAAAAAATTTTGTAGTGATAATTAATAAAATTATTTCTGTCAGCAATGAATTGAAGCAAAACCTCATTTGTCGCAGTCATTTGCACGATAATACGTATCAAATATCCATAGTTTTATTGCAAATTATTATAGTCATTGTGCTTCACATAAGAGCGGCCACAAACGACAATGATATAAGTTTAAATTATTTTGTCGCTTCAGGTTTTATTCTGGAAGGTCTTATGATTCAATACGCCCTTATTGTTAATTTTTTGAGAAAATTAATTTATAGTTTAAATGAATCTTTATCATTAATAGCAGATAAAGTTAACAGATTATCAAATGAGTTTCTACATTCCAACGATGATTTATATCATGATTACATGAAAAATTTAATTTTCGTTAAAAAAATGCATCGATCTATCTTTGAAATAATTCAAATGTTGTCAGATTTCTATTCATTTCCTATTTTATTAGCAATTATTTTTTCATGTTTATGGATGATCATGAGTGCGTATATAGTAATTTTCTACTATGAAACAAAATCTAATTCGCATTCTTATGACTTGCATAGATTATTTATTGTATTTGTTGATTCGCTGTGGCCTTTGAAAGATTTTGTTCCTATACTTATATTGACCAGTTACATAACAAAAACTATCACTGAAGTAAGTATCCATTAATAATTTATATTCTATAAAATTTTACTATACGGCTCCAAAAAAGTCTGTTCTTTTTTGGTTGTTTAATTTTTAATAAACATTCAAATATTTTGTTACAGATGAAAAGAACAGAAAATGTTGCCCAGAGGGTTAAACTCACACTTTTCAGATACCCTCGAATCAAATCTCAGGTAAAAATATAATTAACATAACAGTAATAAAACTTGTAAGTTACTTGACACTATTTATCCCAATATTTGTTATCTGGCTTTTACAGATTGAACAATTTTCCATGGAACTGTCTCACCGACAGTACACGTGCTTCACTGCTTGTAATTTTTTTTCAATTGACAGCACACTCTTGATACCTGTAAGAATTTTTTATAATTAATGTATCACTTTTGTATTATTCAGTTATCTTAATTTTATTTTTTAATCATTATTTTACTTACATTTCATAAAGTCAATATTAAAAACTCTACGTACTTATTTACTAATCAGAGAAGATTTATAAAAATTTCTTTGGACCCAAATCCATCAATTAAATTTTTTTACTTATTACAAAAATAACATCATGAATTACGACTCAATATATTTTATCAGGATTATGACAAGTTTAAATGTACAGTTTTTTTCATCAACATATCTTGTGCTTTAACCCCTTTTACTTTATTTGTGGTGGAAAATAATTTTTTACTACAAATAGAATTTAATCACATTAAAAGTATTTTCGTTTTTTTTTTAATAAATTCTCAATCTCTGTTAGGTATATTTTTAGATGAATCTGATACAGAAACCTATTTACTTGAATGGTTACTGGAAATTTTTTTATAATCTAAATTTTTTTTTTAGATACTGAGCACAACAGCAACTTATTTGATAATATTATTAAAAACCTCTTTTTCGGATGAATGAAATATTTTAAAAATAGATGTATATATTTTAATAAAATTGGTCAGTATTTGTAAATAAAACAAAAATACAAAAACTAAAGATGAATATTATTTTGTAGTTCAAACTGTACACGTTTGTCCAAGTAGACGTCATATTCTAAATAGATATAAAACTTAATTTGACTTTGATCGCTCATATAAACTAGTTGATTACTCTAGCGAATTGAATTGATGAGTTAAAATGTATAGTTTGGAAGGTTTGACTAAAAAATTAAAGGAATTGATTTTTTTTTTTTCAATTTCAGTAAATTATTATATTTATCATTAGATCAAGTAAGGAACTAATAATATTTACACTTTTTTAATAATTAAATTAAGTAACGATCCCATGGTGTAAAGAAGTGTAAAACATATATAAAGCTTTAATTTTTAATGAAAAGAAATATTTTAACATTTAAATAAATTTCTCGTAGATTTTAGTTAATAACTATTATTATTATTTATTTTAAAGCGCGTTAATAAGGTACTCGACCCTTGATACACTGTCGAAATTAGATTCCAACCTGATAAGATTTAAAATTATGCAGAGTAAAAGTATAAATAGTATAAAAAAAAAAAAACATTTACAAACTTAAAAACAAAAATTAGAATAAAATTTTGTACAAAACAAAAGATAATAATTATAGTAGGATATAACATAAAAGATAAAAATATACATAAAAATAAAAGTAAAAGCTAAGCAAAAAATCAAAAGTCACCAGCACTTGTTGCAACCCAGTAGATTCAATAGGTTACAAGGAACCGTTGATTATTAGAACATTCCGTTAGGAAGTTGAAGAGAGCCTTGGAAGATGTTACCGAATGATCATCGAGAATCAGAACTAGATTTACGTTGATACTGTGCTCCGGCGAGATTTTCAGGTGTTCTGTACGAGGTGTATGAAAGGAAGAGCATTCCAAGAGGAAATGTACCACTGTTTCGGTGTCGAAACTGTGACAGAAGCGCAATGGTTGATCGGGATACAGTTTAATCGTTGCCTACTGGTTTATAAAGATGTTGCATGATAAGCGGTTCGCCAGTCTGAGCTGAATTTTAAGTATAAGCAAATAATGAGAGTTATGCGCCAAATATCCTGGAAGTGTGTCGTGTTGAGTTCTGTGGATGATGAATTGGCAGGTAGACGACTGAGCATATCTGGTCAAGTCCTTATAGTTAATAACTAAAAATCTCTTAAGAAACTTTTCAAGAAATAGAACAATGTGCCTAGGCAAATCTTACTATTAATATTAACAGCTTGAATTTTTTTTAAATAATCATAATATGAACTTAATTTTTTTGATTAATAACATTATCACCATTTTAATAATTAATTTCTCCAACATGCATAGAATTTTAATCCTTTTAAAATTAATAATTCAGTTTATAAATACAGTGAACTTGTATTGTCATCGAATATATTATTATAATATCAATTCATTTAAACCTAATAGAAGGTGAAATAACAAAATAACAAAGCAATCATTTTCTTTCCCTTTTATATACATTATGTATATGTAAATATTCTAAGCTGATATTCTAATAGTATCATCTCACTTGTTGGGTCAGTAAGTGGATACAGTGTAATAAAACAGTTCGTAATAAAAATGAGTTTCGTAAAAGGACTTTTCAAAAAAAAATTACATTTCATTGCGAGTAATTATTACAATTTTCAAAATTCTCGCGCTTGCTCCACTTACGTTAACTATTCGTAGATCTTCAAATATTCACAAAAATAGTCAATTTATTATAAAGAGTTCTAATTCTTTTTATGGATCAATGTACAATCTTATCATTTCATTAGCTTCTATGGTGGCATTACCTTATTTCATTATTTTGTATCGTGACAATCCAGCACTTTTTAAAATAAAGAGTCCTTGCTTATACAGAGACTGCATTTAATGTTAATTGATATAGGTTTACACTGTATGTCTACAATTACAGTGATTCTTTTCTACGTTAAACGAAAAATTTTAGTATCCATAATCAATAAAATCATTTACGTCCACAATGAATTAAAAGAAAACCGTATTTATAATAGTCAATGGCGAGACAATACTTATGAAGTATTAATAGTTGTGATGCAAATTATTATAATTTTTGTTGTTAATATGAGAGCTTTTGAAACCAAACAACAGCTATCTTCTTTTTATAATATCGCAGCCGGATGTATTCTTGAAGGTGTTGTGATTCAATACGCTCTTTGCGTTAATTTTTTAAGAAAATTAATTCATAGCTTGAATGAATCACTTTTGTCATTTGCAAATAAAGTTGATGAATCCTCGAATGAGTTTTTACATTTCAATAATAATTTACATTCCGATATTATAAAAAAATTTATTTTTATCCGAAAAATGCAACGTTGTATCTATTATGAAATAACTCAAGAATTATCAAATTTCTATTCGTTTCCGATTCTATTTAGCAATTATTTCTTCATGCTTATGGATGATCATCAGTTTATTCATAATTATCATTTACCATGGCATAAAATCACCCCATACAAATTTTCATAATTTATTTATGTTACTTGTTGATTCATCGTGGGTCATCAAAGAGTTTATCCCTATTCTTGTATTAAGCTGCTATATAAAAAGAATTGTCACAGAAGTTTGTATTCAATAACTTTCATGAAGTTTAATCTAATTATTTAATTTTGAAGTTCATTCATTGATTGCAGATGAAAAGAACGGAAATTATTAACCACCGAGATATTTTGACTGTCCTCGAATCAAGTCTGAGGTAATAAGTAATAGTATCATTATCATGTCACTAGTTTAGAAATAAGTTACTGTAAACATTATCGTTTAAATGATTTATTCTCATAAATTTTTGTTTTTATAGATGGAACGATTCTCCATGGAATTATTGCATGGAGAATACTGTTTTACTGCGTCTCACTTCTTTTCAATTGATAGTACGCTCATGATATCTGTAAGAATTTTTATATTTTATTGTTTTACTCAAAATATTTAATACTATTTTTTTTATTAGTGGTTTTATTTTATTTCTATTGCAGATTGTTAGTACCACGATAACCATATATGATCATTCTACTAAATTCTTTTCATACCGAATAGCTATTTATTGACCAAACAAGTTCAGATAAATGATTGATAAATATTTAAAATAACAATTCACATCATTGTTAAATTTATGAAAATAAAAATTATACCATTTATAGACACATTTGTGCTTGAAAATTAGAAGGACCACTCAGTTCATCATCTTCGAACGTTACACGTCATGAGATAAACCAATAAGGGTTCAATAAGAATCCAGAAAGATAATATCATGTGTTTTGCTAATTTAGTTTAAATATTGTGGAAAAAATAATGAAGCTAGTCAAATTCTTCAAAGAAGTGAAATGAGTGTTCCATGTATAAATAACTGGCTGTTCTGAAGACATCCAAAATTAATTGGAATACAAATAAGCAAAATTTTTGATGATAATCTAATGTATATAATTTATATCATGAACAGAGTTAAGATAAAATTACAATAAAATTTAACATTCAACCAAAACCACGGCATCTCATGTATGAAAATATATTATATATCTTGAAATATAAAAAAAAATTTCTCAATGATAAAAAAATTGACTCAAGAGCCAAAATCTTGTACCAAGAATACCATTTTGAAGAAAATGATTTTTTTGAGTCAAGAGAATAAATTCTTGAGACAAGAAAAATTTACTTAAATCAAGAATTTATTCTCTTGACTCAAGAATATCATTTTCTTCAAAATGGTATCCTTGGTTCAAGATTTTGGCTCTTGAGTCAAGTTAATTTTTTTATCAGTGTATTAAACAAAGAAACATAATAAAGTTAAAGTTAATCAAAAGAAAAAAAAAATTTGATTTCTTACTTGATGATTAACTTCGAAAATTATCGCTCCAAGTACCGAATGATGAAGAAATTTCGGCTGCATTATCTACTATCAATTTTGGTCAGGAGTTCCTTGCGATAAATGTGTCTACGCAATGTATTGTTTATAAAATTTTTTAAAAACAGCTTAGATTAAAACATTAGCTTACTAAAATAAAATAGATGTACATGTATGTAGAAAAAAATATGTACAATTGTATATTATAGGTATTTACTTTATGATACTCAAATTAGCTGACATCTGATGATTTCTAGGTTTTTTTTTGGTAAATAAATTATTATAAAAAAAATTTTCTAAAAAATTTCACTTTTAAATATTTCAAAAAATTACTAATAGAATTTTTTTTTTTAATATTTTTTTAGTAGTAATTTATCTGCAGTAAAAAATTCAAAAAATGATAGATGTCTGCTAATTTCAGTTTCATATTTATTTTTTAATTTCAAGAAAATTTAATAATTATTTATTTAAAAAATAAGCTTCTCTTTATGACAAACTCATTGTTTTTTGCTTTTAAGTTTCTGGAAAAAGTTTATTAAAAAAAGTAATTAATGATGATAATATAGGTTTTGATACTATCTACTTACAATCAGCATGTAAGTATTATTTTACCAGCATTTAATAAGTAAGATAGACAACTATCATATAAAATTTTTTTTTATAATAATAAAATATAAATCACATTGATTTTAACTTCCCGTCTCTTATTTCTATTGTCTGTGATTTACCCCACACACACACACACACACTAACACTTTATTTCTTTCACGGCCTGTTTCATAGCAGTCAAGCAAGAACCATGATGACGTATGGTTTGTGTAATCTTTTCATAAACAACTCTTTTCAAACGTGAGAAATTATTTTACAGTTAAAAAAAATATAATAAAATATGTTTTCCACCACATAGTAATTATTTTACTTTATATTGAGTATTCACTAAGTGACTGTCACTTAATTTATTAAATTACAAGTATTGATATTAATTTTTTTTTTTGTTTATAATCAAATTAAATTTTTCTTTGCGTTAATTTGTGAAAAAGAAAAAAAAACAATAAAATAGAAAATTAAATGTTTCACAATGGTGAGACTAACGGAAGAAATGGTTGTTGCTAGATCACGAATTTCTGATCTTACAGCAGTTAAAAAATTAAATTGTTGGTGAGTTATTTTGTTGATTTTATTTATTTACATATATTTGATAAAAGTATTTAGATTATTGCAATAATTTTTCCATTATTGGTCGCTGAAATTTTTTTTCTTATCATTACTGTTTATTTCAACATTATTCAATAATTGCCAATTAATTTTTATTAATTAAGTATCAAATTATTTTAATTTTGAATGATAAGATAATTTTTTAATTACAGGGGCTCCGAGTTGACAGATGTGAGTATTCTACGTGAATTGAAAAAAGTAGAAGTTTTATCACTAAGGTATGGATTTAAAAATAATATATAAAGCAATTTATTTACTTTCGATATCGATTAACTGTTTTACCTTTAAAAGACAATTCAATAAATGTTTTTTTAAACATATGCATGTGATTGCTTGATACTTGTTCAACTTCAAGGCCACTGAGCCTACACATTTCTTCAGAATAGGTTGTTCTACCTACTCTAAATCCTTCAAACTCAGCAAAATTATAAATATTTAATAATCGATTTCATAAATTTTAATTTGAATTAATTACTTTACGAAATTATTATTGTTTTTAAATTAAATTATCAAGCCACTTAATCGGTATCATTTAAAGAACATGATGTTTTATTAAAAAGTTATTATAATAAATTAGTACGTAGTAATTAAATACTACGTATTAAATTATTATTTGTCATCAATAATTATGATTAATAAGTAGTATTAATTTATTTATGCATATATTTTACAGCGTCAACAAAATCAACAGTTTAGCAGATTTTCAATACTGTTCAAATTTAAAGGACTTATTTGTTAGAAGAAATAATATAACAGATTTAAATGAAATATGTTATTTACAAAATTTACCAAATCTTCGAAATTTATGGCTCGAGGAAAATCCTTGCGCTGAAAGAGAAGGGTAAGAATCATCGTAAAAATAATTAATTATCATTTGTAATGAATTATTTTATTTCGAGTTAATAATTTTTCTTCAATAATCCACACACTGTGTTAATTAACTCAATTATAAATTTTCTCTTATTAAATTAAATTACTTTCTTCAATGCTATTTCAACCAAATAATGTTATTAAATGTGCTGTTTATTATTCTTGTAGGTATCGTATGTCTGTAATAAGAGCTTTACCGAATTTAGAAAAACTTGATGATAAATTTGTGACTGCTGACGAAATAAATGTGGCACTATCACGCGGCAAAATTCTCGTTCATCCACTTAGTATGGATGCATCACCTCCACAATCTGATCCAGCGAGCCCAGAAGTAATATAACATATTATTTTATTTCTTTCAATCGCATGTTTTAAAAAATATGACTATACTAAAATTCGTATATTTTAATTAAAAGTTATTTTTGTTACTAATATTTTGTGTTACTAATGCTTATAATCAGGAAGTCGCCGAATTCATTGACGAAGTTGAATTAGAAAGAAATAGGAGATACAGTTCATCTAGCGACCAGGTAAAATCATAAATAAATTTCATCATTTCATATGAAAAATATTTCACACTTAGTTGACGATTTTATTCAATAAAATAAAAAAAAAAAAAAAAAACAGTTTATAAATTCTAATTATTGTTTTATAATTCACAGAGAAGCTATGATGATCCCCATCAAGGCCATGAAGAATATCAAGATACAGATCGAAGAAATGCTAATTACAATGCGTCATCTCCTCATCAATACTCTCAAAATAATCATTACAGTTATGATGTAAATATTCAAAATTTTTATTTCATTCTAAGCAATTCTTTAAAGCTTTTTATGTTAACATAACTTTATAGTATTATTAATCAATTAATTATTAAAAATAAATTAATAACTACCGATTAATGATTAATAACTACCAGCTTCAAAATGGCCAAACTAAAAATCAAATCAAAGATGAAGCAGCTAAATCAGTTGAATCTCGTACCAATGGTCACAGTTTGCAGACTAACATTCCTGAGGTTTCTAAGGTATTGCTAAGTATAATAAAAATCGATAAATTAATTATTTATCACAAATCCGCATTTAGCTTCTATGCTAGTTTAACAAATTTTTTTGCATTTTTTTTTATTTCATAAAAACTATAGGGTGCCTTTCGATCATAATCAGAAAAAAATTTTAAGTTTCATTTTTAATTTAAACATAATAAATAGTACAATTTAATGATGTACACCGGTATAAAACTATAATCTCTATTTACGCAACAGAATTAGAGCATGTGATTTGCCTTGTCACAATTGTAATCCAACTTGGCTTGTACTTTCATTCTCGAGTCATTCGCTACTTTTCCTAACTTTTTAATGTTTTATTTCAATATTTTATTGCTAAGTACTTTTATAATATAAAAATCGAATGAAATTTTTTTTTATGCAAATTTTTTCAATTACTGAATATTAACGTAACGGTACTGAACTAAAACAAGAAATGAAATAGATTATTGAAATTCAATATTATGTACGGTTATTCAATATACTGGATTTTTTTTTTGTTCGTTATTCACAATGATAGTATATTTAAATTATTGTATTTTTTAATGTATATTAGGATTACGATGACCGACCGGCAGTGGCTAGACAAAATGGAGATTATGAAGATCGTCGTGGTTACAGTACTGAGTATGAAAGATCGAGTGAACCCAGTACTCATCGCTCACAACAGGTACTGCCGTCACCAAGGACAGCTTACTCTGTAAACGAATATGGTGATGAAAGACGATCTATTGATCGTAATATTTATGAATGTGAGGATAGAAGACAACTAGATTACGAAGAACCACACCAATCAAGACGAACTTCTGCTCATCAAAATGAAAGGGTCAGTTAACTTGTCTTTTGGTCTATTGATGTGAATTTTTTTTTTTAGTAGATTTCATAGAAATCTAACTATTTCATTTGTCCTCATGGCAGAACTTTCGAAAAATTTTGTTATTTTCTGACTCAGTTCGTCGAGCTAATTCAGAAAATACATATGATTCAAAAGTTTATGTATGTATGTATGTATTTATATATACGATATAACGCGGCTTGTCCGGACGATAGCGTCTCTAATTCATAATGGATCTTCTCCAAACTCAACATACTTAATCTTTAGACGAATACCTAGGTCAAGTTCAGAAATTACAGGGTTTCAAAATTTTCAAAATCGTAAAAATTCATATTTTGGCAGTTTCTTTCGCGAATAACTTTTCAATAAAATAATTTATCGAATTTTTGTAAATTAAATTTTGAAGCCCATTAAACGAGCTTTAATTTTCATGTCATTATATTCTCCTAGACTGAAAAAAATTATTCGTCTGTAGATATTTAATGAAATTTTACTATTGCATTCGTTTTAACTTAGAAAGAAGGGATTTCATCAATGTGATTGGAGTATTTGTATTATTAGTGTTGTGATTTTATTTAAGTAGGAAATCTACTTCCATTTCGGCTGTCGAATGGCACTTTTTTATAATTATATTTAATATAATTAAAATAATCAACTTGATCAGACCACAAACGCAATGTTGACAATTATTTCACACTTTATTGCAACGTTTCATCGGAGATCCCGACTTCTTCAGGCAATCTAAAATACATACATCAAATAAATAAATTATTTCAATAAATCATGTCAAAATACAAATTGTCAAATAAGACTTAAATTCATCATTACAATACATATAAAATAATACAATATTCCATAAACCGATTAAATTACAATCTAAACTCTTTTAATTACATAAAATTTGTTTAAAAATTAAAAAAAAAAATTTATAATATAAATACATAATAACAAAAATTTTTTTTTTATTTTTAAACAAATTTTATGTTATTAAAAGGGTTTAGATTGTAATTTAATCGGTTTATGGAATATTGTATTATTTTATGTATTGTAATGATTAATTTAAGACTTATTTAACAATTTGTATTTTGACATGGTTTATTGAAATAATTTATTTATTTGATATGTATGTATTTTAGATTGCCTAAAGAAGTCGGGATCTCCGACGAAACGTTGCAATAAAGTGTGAAATAATTGCCAACATTGCGTTTGTGGTCTGATCAACTTGATTATTTTAATTATAAATTCCCTTGGACCTGATTAAAACAATGATGGATATATTTAATATATTAATTATTTTTAACGCAGGAGGATCCTCGAGAGATGCCAGGCTGGGTACGACATGCAGAAAAAGAAAAATGTCGATTTCATTATCATAGGAGGCCCGTTACGAGAGTAAATAGAATTTTTTTGCAGTTAATTTAAGAGTTCTTACTGTTTTTTAAATAATTATTATTCGTTTATTTTTTGTTTAGAACTCAAACATTTTGTCAGCTGTTTTGTGTCTTGTGAAAGAATTGGATTATCCGAGTTTAGAAGTCGTCGAGATGGCAGTTCGCAACAGAATGGACGAATTAGAAGAATGATGTATCTGACGCCGTCCCCATCGGGGCACGGCTATGAATTTGCCATTATCAATGGTTAATGTCGACTCAATGGCACCAAGTCCTGAATATTCTGACTCTTTAAATACAGCAGCACCACTGGATTTAGATCGTTTTTATGATTTATGTAACTGTGAAACTAAGATACGGTCTACTAAGAATGTTTCTATTGATCCAAGTCCACGTTATTTTGGAGAACATGATAAAATGACCGGTGAAAAAAGTCCAATACTAACTTCAATGACTTCTCCTCGTGGATTTGATGGTAAAATTATTAGTGATAAATATATTGACGAACCACTAATAGATCACAAAAGCTGTAGCAGGAGAATGAAAGATCTAACTCTTTCAGAAAATTCATGTTTCAATCAAATTCAAGATGTAAAAGGAAATTATGTACGAAGAATTGCTAGTAGTGATAGTATTCCTTATGCTCTTTCTAAACGAGAAAATTATACGAGAGACTATCAAACTATTGATGAAACTTGCTGTGTTAGACGTGTTAATAGCCCTGATGTCAGACAATTGCGGTATATTCAATCAGCGAAAGGAGCTTGGTCTTATAATTTATAAAAAAAAAAATTAAAAATTTTAATATTAGACTGTGGAAAAAATTTTTCAATGCAGCAAAAGCCTAAAGAAACTTCATGTAAAAGTGCAATAATTGACAAATAATTTGTATGGCTCTACTAAATCATTTTTGTAAGATAAAAAAACATGAACAAGAATTCTTAGGAATCTTTTTACAATACTTTAGATAGAAAATTAAGTCCGATTTTTCAAATTTAGAGAAAAAAATATAATTTAAATTATATTGTTATTTCATCAATTGATAATTTTTTTTTTAATACAATCAACTATATATGTATCTAAACTCATAAGTATAATTTATTAAATTTTTCTGATAAGTTTAATAATATTTTATCATAACTTTTGTTTTTAATGACCGTCCATTTATCTTACTACTTTAATTAATTTAATTAATTGTTTATAATCATTATTAATATTCACATATTATTTGGAGTTAATCAAATTTACTTTGAACGATTTAAAGGAAACCAATTTAATTAGAATCTAATTATTTGTTATTTGTTGTTGTATACTTTCAATTAATTAATTATTGTTTAATGGATTGTTAATCATTTCAAAAAAGTTTGAATATATATATGATAAAATTATTTTTGTTAAATAATTAGTAAATTATTCAGTGATAATTATTAATTATTACTGATTGATAAATATTTATATTATAATTCAAACTATTGATTATACAAATCTTCCAAAATATAAAATGTACATATGTTTTAGAAAAAAAAATATTGAAAAAGGAAGCAAAACAAGAGTATATGAAAAAAGAGAGATATTAGACTAAAATAAGACAAATTATTTCATTTAAATTAGTTTAAGTAATTATTATGATTAGTCTTTTTGTCAAGAGTATTTTCATTCCATGATTAAATACTGCTATCAATAAAATAATTTTAATAATTCAATACGTCCAGTAGAACCTTGGCCACGTAGGCAAAATAAAAATTTTATTATTGTATTGGTAAGCCAATTCTCTTGCCAGTTCAGTTTCACTTGACTTTTGAACGATCAAAAATTAAACTGTATATACATACCTAAAATAATAGGCTTTTTAAATAAACGCCACACCCTTAAATATTTTGAAAATGTATTATTTTTTTTTATTTGGTTATACATTATCAATAAATGTAATTTCTTATATAACGCTATAAAACCTTGTTTTTTTTTAATTGACCATAATTTTTAGGTTTATCAAAAGTTTTTACAAGATCATATTCGTCGTTCTTATTTGTGTAAGCCTTGTAACTATGTTAATGCAATTGCACTACAATGAATTCTAGTTACAAAGTTTAAAAAAAAAATACGACTAAAATATCAGTTAATTAGATTTTCATTCAACTTTTTTTTATTTTACTTGTGATACATCATATCTAAAAAATGTCAATTGTTCATTACATCACGGTTTTTTTTTTTACTTTTTGTTAGCCATTAAATTTTTTAGAAACAATTTTGGTGGTACAAGTTGATTTTAATAAAAAAATTATTACTTGTAAATTTTGTTATTTTTTTGTAACAAAAATTTTTTTTTCATTAAAAAGTTTCATCATTTTACTTTGAAATTCTGATTTGCAGAAGATGAAAAGCTTACTATTTTTATTTATTATATCATTCTTTTTTTAACGAAAATTGGTTTCAGCGAGAACTCCAAAATTTGATAAAAACTTAATTTTTGGAAATTGGACTGAAAACAATAACCCAAATTCTTAAAAACTTTTTTAGTGTAAAGTTCGAATAGTAAACGAAGAATAATAGCATGAACTTTCACAGGAAATTTTCTTAGGAAATCGCTTGTGAAATTTTGATTATTCAAAAAAAATGAAATAAAATAAAAATTAATTTTTGATAACACTGAGATCAACAAACATCTTACAACTTTTTTAACAATCAAATTATTAAAAATTAATTTAGCAGATATTTGATAAATAAAAAAAATTTTTTTAACAAATAAATTATAGTAAAAAAAAAAAAATGAAAAAAAAATTAATAATGCAATTTTTTAAAAATAATTTTTCGGAAAAAGTTTTTTTGCTATTTAGCAAATTAAAAAACGATCGAGTGACTGCTAATTTTATGAAAATATCAAATTATTATGAAAAAAATTCTACGAGTAGAAATTAAAAAAAAATATAAGTGCGAATTTATGACAATAAAGTTAGCCGACATCTAAAAATTTTTAGAATTTTTTTTATTAAAAAAATTATTACAAAAAATATTTTTTTCCAATTTCATTTGTAAAAAATTTGAAAAACTGTAAGTGCAATTTGAAAAAAATATTTTTTAGTCCTAATTTAATAAATTAAGAAAAATCAAAAAATAAAAAATGCCGGCTAACTCTATTATTATGCGAATTTTCAAAAATATTTTTCTTTTATCATAATTGATTTGTTATAAAAATTTCAAAAATTGTCAGATGTCTGCTCATTTCAGTATCATGTATTTTTGAACTTTATTGCGTTAAATATTCACTATTTTCAATAATTTTCAATTATTTACAAAAGAATTTTGTTCAACAATTTAAAGTGAAGGTAATAAAGCTGAAACTTACCCAAAGTCAACAGTTGGGGGATCCTTTACGTTGTATTGGCCATAAAAAACATGAAATATCTATAAACATGATACATACATATAAGTATTGTTCACCTTGCACAATTAAGTTAATTTCATACTATACAAAATTTGGGCACCCTTATTGTTATCAAACTATGCATTATGTATGTTTGAAGCAGGTGGCGCCGATAGTTTTAGATAGAACAAAGGATTAAACTTAATTACCTCATTATTAAATCCTCAACTACAAAAGCTGCAACGCCATTAGCGTCTTATCGCTTCGTCTGTAACAATAAGTTGATAATTTTATTATCAAAATGTTTAAACGCACTACCAAGGATATGAATTTTCCTCCAAGCAAAAAACAACGTCTCTCTGTGAGTATATATTTTATTAATTAATAATTGTTATTTCATTAATTTACGGATAAGCATCATTTGAAATTCAAGGTCATATAAGGACGCTATCTTCAGCTAGCTAGTACTTTTTCACAGAATGCTATTTAGCTATAAGGATTTTATTATTTATATCTTCTGAATGTAACTTCTTGATTTAATGAAATTTCAGTCGTCCAAATCATCTGAAAAGGAAAATCAAAATTTGTCTGTGGACGAAGATAGCGGTCTGGGTCCCGAAATTGACAATGAAAGTAGCAGCGATGAAGCAGCGACCAGCTTCGGCTCACAAAATTCACATTTCGCTTCTCAAAAAACAAATATCAACAGCAAAACACCAGATTTTGATAGAGATTCACAATCATCAGAATTTGTCACTCAACGTCGTACCCGCTCTCTTAGCTTACAGGACACCAGCACAATGAAAAAATTAGTTACTCATCAACCTAATGGTAATTAAATTATAACAACAATAATAATGTAAATTTTTTTAAGAAAACTAACTTAAAACTTACCATTACTTTACAGCTGTTTTTGATAAATCTCCAAGAAAGCTTTCATTGCGTCCAAAGAAGATTCGCCAGTCTTCAACACCGGATATCGTATTGTTTTTTGAAGATGCTGCAGATGACCAATTGGTAATGTCGCCGCAACATGATGAGCATTCATCAATGGAGGTTGATGAAGCAATCGATATATTTTCACAATTTTCGGCTACTCAAGCGTCTAAGGATAATTTTAATATAAATACAATACTTGAGACTCTTGAATCTCCACTAAAAAATGGAGATCTTTCGAAAGCTTCACCTGTGAAGATTCAGTCTCAACATCTTGAAAACGGCAACGAAATTCTGCTTACTGATTCTTCAGTATCTACAAGCCAAACCAATGCCCAGGCTACGGAAGAAGAAACAGAAAAAGAAGGAGCAGAGCTCACACAAGATTCTTTGTCAAAAAATTCTACGAATGATCATGCTGATTTATTTAATGCTGAATTTAATCAAGAGAATGCAGAATTTGAGGATGAATCCGTTCCTTCTGCATCTTCTCAAGAGTCCTCAACCGCTGAAATGCCAGAGATAAAAAAGAAACGACGCAGAAATGGTACCCATTTTACTCACATCAAGAAACACACAACACAAGTGATTGACAGTAATCTGGTTGTTGATAATTACAAGCCAGGGTTCAATAATGACCGGGTAATTATTTTTTCTTGTCAAGTATATTAATTTCTTTCTATTTTCTGGATCTTTTTAAAATATTTAAAATACATGTACTTTTATGTTAATAGGAATTAATTGTTAATAATATTACCATGCCCAAGGATTTTTTAAGCCGTCTCTTTAGAAAAATGAGTAAAATTGAGCTAACGAAAAAAATAATAATTCATTATTATGGACGTGATCGAATGCCCAAGATTGCATTGAAAGAGCCAACACGCAAGTATCCTGGTAAAATTTACCCGAGTCTTCTCGTCAATGACAGTCAAGTTCAGGACATAATGGGTAAGAAAAAAATTAATATTCCATCATATTTATCAATGATGATATTTAGTAATAACTTATTATAAAAACAATCTTTCAGATTTGTATGAATATTATGGTCCACAAGTGGGTTTGACGGGTCCTCCTCTACCATTCAAAAAAGTACGACAAATTATTGGAACTTTATGTTCTCAAATTAGAAATTTCTACTGAGTATCGGTAATCAGCTATTTTTGGGTAAATTGGACCTCTATTTAATTTATGATTAATCCGTTAAATTGATTTATTCAAGTAAAATAATACTTAAACAACGTTAGATTTTTCGCTAAAGTGAATTAATTTTTAAAGGCGAAATGACATAAGTTAACTATAAGGCGCAATATTTTTATTTACGTACTCAGCACTAAACTTTTCCTAGACTAATATTTGAAGTTGATATCTGGAATATTAAATAATTAACTTTGTTTTTGATTAATGTTTATATAAGTTTAAAATTGTTAATTTATTTAGTTAGTAAAACCTAAAAAGGTATTTAATTTAAAGATTTGTCAAAAATCGAAGTTTATAATTAAAATATTGAAAAACAATTTTGTTTTTGATACTAGCTAATACTATATCTGTTATTAATCATTCACAAATACTAATCATTGTTTAACGCGTTACTTAATTTTTTATGACATATATAAAATTGATATTCAAATTCCTGAATAGTTTTGTTGAAAGTTAACAAATCATATGCGTAAGAATAGTTATAACTACATTTAATAATTATAATGTTATTAATAATAATTGAGCAAACTCAGTAGTTGTTTGAACGATACTTGAGAAAAGTAGACTATTGTAATAACTAATTTTCATTTAGTTTATAAAATATAATTCAATATCTCGTTAATATATTGAAAAAAAAAAAAAAAAAAAAAACATTTATTTTGTAAAAATTTTAATGGCTTTGTTTTATAGTTCATTAAAATTTATGTTAAGAAATTAATGTAATTCAAGTGTTTTTGTTAACTTTTGTGTTCAATAAATTTATGTTAAAGATAAAATTAATTATTTATTCACTTGAAATTATTGAAACGAAGAATTTTTCTATAATATTGATAATATTCTTCCAATTTTCTAATAATCAGACTGATCCCATAGTTAATATTTTCAATTTCATTTAATTTTAAGTAATTAATTAAAAACAATAGTCAATCAAAAGAAAAGGATATAAAGTGTACATTGAAAGACTTGAATTCTGCTAAAAATATATATTTAATTAACACAAATAAGTCAAAATCATCAATTAGACACAGCCGTAAAGTACTTATCAACATTGAAGAAAAAAAACCGAATCGACTAGCAACAACAAAGACCAAAAGAAAGACAACAGCCAAGAACAAAAATGAAAAGAAGTTACCTCCAATTATCAGGAACAAAAAAAAATCAGTTATTTGATGTCATCTACTGGTGCGTTATTAATTATTATGAAACAATTTAATGACTGTACTGGTGACAATATCACATCTACTGGTTTTCATCGTTGAATTAAAATTTGCGATGTTTATTACGTCCAGTGAATCAGAAATTATCAAAATTAATTGTAAATCTGATGAACGAAATTTGAAAACATATAATATATAATCAAATTACTTTTTATTTAAAAACATATGAAATTGAATGTTAAGTACGATTATACCAAGTACAAAGATAAGAATTATATTTATATATGATTATTATTAGTAATAAAAAAAGATAAATGAAAAAAAAAGCTTAATTTTTATAATAAAATTCACGTTTGATTTCTTGTTGATTATAAAAATGAAGACTTGCATGGCTGGAACTATCTTCAGATAAAACTGAAACAGAGAAAATGAAAATAAGTAAATAAATAAATAATCATTTTTTAGTAAAAAAATTATAATACTATACCATTATTCATTTTTCATATCAGTTGTATATTTACGCTTGAGTAAACGTAAATATAATGATGGGTGGGATTCTTCCAGAGCCTCAAATTCTTCAGTATTTGCAATTTTTATGAAATTTGCGATAATGAAGTTTGTTGAAAAGTCCATTAAAAGTTTAGCGTTGTAACGTTCAGCTAATAGTAGTATTCTAGTAGCATTTTTAATCGTTAGAGTGTCAGATATTGAATATTCACAGATTTCTCTAAGTCCTTGAAGTTCATATTTATGAGCGGCTTTCAATAGTTCCTCAGCGTGATCATCCAAATTTTCAATCTCGCACGTATAAATAAATTCGAGGATTTTTTGAAATATTCCAGGTTTAACTTCATTTTTTAAGTTTTCGTGCAAAACCATTGCATAAAGTACAGGACTGCGTGCCATTAGAATACATTTGTGAGCTGGAAATGCTTTATCATCAATTGCAATAAAAACATCACTGCCTTCTTTAGTAATAAACAATTTTTTAAAATCTTCGATCATTTGATCTGTCGCTTTAGTTTTCAATGGGATTTTTGTATTGCTTAATGATACGTGGTCATCATACACAGTAAGATCAACGGATATTGTTAAAGTACCATTTGGTAAAAACTCATCTTTTTTTTTTAACAGATCACTTACTGGCAAAGTACCACCATCAAAATAATTATCAAATCGATCCCAAGAGTCAGCATCTATGAAACATCCAGTAACGTACTTTTCGTAAGGATGACTTACAACTGAAAAACTAAAATCGTGTTTATCTCTATTTTTATTTAAGATAAAAACACGACATTCAGCCTTTGGTTTACATTTGCTAACCGAAGTTAAGTATATGTTGGTCACATTATAATTCGGCAAAAGACGTGTATCGCCCATAACTTCGAATACCAAATGCCATTGATCATTATTGCGTGAACCCGTTGAAAATGTAGGGGATTTAATTTTACCTGGACCCTCAATACTTGTTGTTGAAAATATGATAAATGACGTTGCTTCTTTTATTTCCCATTCGTAAATAATTGAGTGCTTATTTGCGTAGGAATAACTTTTCTCCATTTTATCACTAGCACTTCTTTACTTATATGATTGAAACAATTCAATTTTTTATCTAAAAATGTTCACAAATATTTTATATTATTTTAAAATTAATATTCGCGGTACATTGATCACGAATTGGTACTAGCCATAAAAAAGTGCGTTAAAAAACAAAAGACGCGAGCTCCGTTCCAGAATCCCCTCTTTTTCATAATAATTGTTTATATACATGTAAATCACCCTTTTGTATGGGACTACATTATTCAAAAAATACTGATTTGTTTTAAAAATAATTGAACTTGGATTCATGTAATTGTAAAAACAGTGAATAAATATAATTGTAATAATAGTATGTAAATTCAATAAATTAATAACAATAATACGTTATAATAAGAATACCAGTTACATGTCTACCAATATCATATCAATTGATTAATGTCATAAGTCATCATACTAAAGTTAACCGACGTTTTTAATTTTTGGAACGAAGTTCCTTACGGCAGGCTTGGAGGGGATAGGGATTTTGCTGCGTGACCGAAGTGAAAAAAATGTGATAGTAAAACCGTAAGAAAAATGCGTGGAATATGTAAAACCGTTAAATGAGACGTGCGCAGGCGCGACAGTCACATACACAGACGAGTAGTGTATAACACCTTTCTCTTTCTCCCTCTTTCTTTTCGTTCTCTCATCCCTTCTCTTTCTATTACCACTCCACCCCGCCAATGCGTAGTATATACACGGAGAGAATTTTATGGTAAAAATACTATCATCTGAGTATTGTAAAAAGCTCTAAAATACTTCGATAGTGACAAATACTACCTTTTATTATTATAAATACGATATAAATTATTACAGTTACCACCAATATGGTAATTTTTACCATCTTTTATATTACTATAAGATTGTATTTTCAATTATTTAAGATAATTTGATTAAATATCTTGATAATAATTTTTAAAATCAAATTAATAATTTCTACAATCTTTGATGATAATTATTACCATCAGAGTTTATATTTAGAAAGTAATTTCTAATATTATTTAGAGTGAAAAAAAATTAATTTTAATTTTCAGTTTATGTCTACCACCACATTATTATTATTATTATTATTATTATTATTATTATTATTATTATTACTAGCAACCTTGCAGTCACTATGTGACTGTTGTGACTTGTGAACTATAAATAAATAAAATTTTGCCTCATGAAATAATGAGTTTTCTTAAATTGCACTGTACTTCTTTAACTATTGACGTTTTTAAAGATATAAGCTCATCCCGATGTTACACCCATCAAGAGCTTTCATTTGATTACGCACATACATTTTTGATATATTTTTCATATTTACATATATATAATATATAAAATATATGAAAAATTGATGTGGGTACTCAAATGAAAGGTCTCGATGAGTGTAACATCGGAATGAGCTTATATCTTAAAAAATGTCAATAGTTCACAAGATACAAGGTCATTTCTTAATTATTGATATTTTTTAAGATGTAAGTTCATCCCGATATTACACTCATCAAGAGCTTTCATTTTAGTACCCACATGCCCTGGCATATATAAATACCCTGGCCACAAAATTTTGCTTATTCTCATAATAATATAGATTATTATTATTCTATTATTGATAATGTTGTTGATATTAATTCAGTGCTTACTTTTACTGAATAGCTTATAATACAATTCGTAACTTTATAACTACTTGTGATGGTAAATGTAACCATCTCGATAGTAAATGGTACGATCGCTCTATTTTAGAAATTATTATTTATTATTGTATTGATTATAATTTAAATTGTTATATTTATCATTTTAACTTTTATAAAATTAATTACCATCTAAGTAAAATCTACAAAACAAGTATTGTTAGGGATAACATAAAATTCTCTCCGTGTACTCATGAATTCATGGACAAGCACGTGGCGAATACTCACATTATAGATACATTTTACTCGTGAGTAGCCACGTTTATTTTCATATAATTTCAATGTTTTTTTATTTTAAGTAATTTATTATTTCCTAAAATACTTAATTTCCTAAATACTTTCTTGTACTTAAATAAAAACTAATCAGTAAAATTTAAGAGAAAAATCAAGAAAATCTACATAAAATTGAGCACGATTTTTTTGCAATTTGTGTCGATTCTACATTAGCCGAAGGAACTTCGTTCCTACCTGGTGTCCCACGACACCACATCATTTTTTTAT